AATATAATATAATTTTTTATTAATAATTTATATAAATTAAAAAATATATTAAATTTATTAATAAAATTAAAATATAATAAAAATTTTATAAATTTTATAAATAAAAATTTTTAATTTTATTTAAATTTAAATATTTTTTTACTGTATATATTAATTTTAAACTTATTACGGATAAAATATAACATATATATATAATATATTTTATTAATTTATTACAATTAACATAAAATTAAAACCAATTATTAATTTTATAACTTTTTTTATTAAAAAAAACTGTTAATAATTAAAAAAAGTAATAAAAATTTATTATTTAAATTATATTTTATTATTATTACTTTTATTTTTTAACATAATTAATTTAAATAGTTTATAATATATTTTATTATATTATACTTATTATTTATTTTATAAAAATATATAAAATTTAATAAAAAAACACAAGTTTAATTTTATTAATTTATATTTTATTAAATTTTTTAAAGTAAATAATTTTTAATTAAAGGTTATAAATAATATTATACCGTTAAAACGTTATTATTTTTACATATTTAAATATAAATAAAATTGGGTTTTAATTTTTTTTTATCGTTTTTATTATTAACTATTAATAAATTTTTTATATTTAATCGTTTTTAAATTTATTAATTAAATAGTTTTTATTTTTAATAAATTATTAAAATTATAAGTTTTTTTAAAAAATTAATGGGTTTTTTTTGTTAACGTTAACGTTTTTATTACATTTAATTTACGTAAAAAGTTTTATTATATTATTAAAATATATAATTTTATTTAAAATATGTATATTATATTTAAATTTATTAATAATTAATTATAAATAAATAATATGTATATTTATTTTAATTGTAAATAAATATAAAATATAAAAATTTATTTATTAAATAAAATATAATTTTATAATAATTTTTATTTTTATTATAATTAAAATAAAATTATTTTATTTTCGAAAATTAATTTAAAGTAAAAAAATTAATAATAATAATATAAAAGTTATTATTTTATATTACGAAAATTAAAGCCAAAAGTTTTGCACATGTTTAAATTTTAACACCGTATTTTATACGTTTTTCGACTTATTAATATTGTATTAACCATACGTTAAGTTAAAAGTCAAATAATGGCTTGTTTATTAAGTTTAAATGGTTTACCATTATATTTATAACAATATTAACCATTATAGCTTAAATAAAACCGTATAATTTTTTTTTTATTTGCACGTGGTTTTGCTAAGCTTAAATGTGCGAAACTTTTGGTTTTAACTTTTGTAAAACTAACGTTATTTATTATTTTTTTATGTTTTTATAAAGTTTTTTTTTATTTAATTTATTTAAATTATATTTATTAATAACGTTATTATAATGTTTATTAATATTACCGTTAAATACGTTAATAATAAAATAAAATATATTATTTATAAATTTATTATATTTAATAATAAAATAAAAAAATATAAAAAAAAAATATTTATTTAAATTAACTTTATTTAATTATTTATTAAAATAATTAATGTTTATTAGTTTTTTACCGGGTAAAAACAGGGCCGTAATTAAATGAAATAAAATAACGTTAACGGTTATTTTAATATAATTTACTTATTATATATTAAGTAAATAAAGTAAAATATAAATAATTATTTTATTTATAAATGTAATAAATTAATTTATTTATTACATATAAAACAATTAAAATAAAAACATAATAATAATTATAATAATAATGGTTTTAACTTTATTTATAACGTTAATAATTATTTATCGAATAACGTTTATTTTTTTAAAAAAAAATAAATAATTTATTAAAAAATTTTAATTATATTTTAATTATAAAAGTTATAATTATTTAAATATTAAAATAAAATTTACGCTTTTAAAATATATTATATTCGAATTAATTAAATTTATAATAAGTTTAATTAATAATATTAATTAAAATTTTAATTATAATATTAATTATAATAATTTTAATTATATTTTATTAAAATTTAACATATTTAATAACGTATTAAATAACGTGTTTACGAAAATATTTTATGGTTTTTATATACGTTTAATAAACAATTATTTATAATTAAAACTTTTATTAATTATAATAAAAGTTTAAATAAAACGTATAAATAATAATAAAAGTTTAAATAAAATATATAAATAATGGTAAAAGGTTAAATATTTAAATATATAAGTAATAATAAAAAAATAAATTTAAAATATTAAATATTTACAAAATATATTATTTATTTAAATCTTTAAATAATTATAATATATATTATTATTATTTAATTTTTAAAATTTTAAAATACATTATTTAAATATAAACAATTATTAATATAAATATTATATTTAATATTTATACTTTTTTATATAAATTAAACGGATAAATATTTTTTAGCTAATAATGATTATTTACTAAAAAATAATTTTCAGGTATAAAATGATTTTTACGTCCGATAACCGTTTTTTAAAACCACCCTTTGCCGCTATGGTAAGCACATGTAAGCCACATAAGATGTACTTACCTGTACTTACCGTATACATGTACACTAGAATAATAACATTTCCAAGACGCCGCTGTCGACAGTAGCTTCCTTCCCATCCCAAGCCCGCTTACCTATTAGCGTACCCCGCATACCTAGAGAGGAGGTGCATAGTAGCTTCGCATAACCAAATCAGGCAATTGACCCCTCCACCGAACGGCCGCTTATCCCTCAGATTGCAAGCTTGTACCTTGGAGTGCGTCATGCCTCGGGTCGTCCCACGATTGAGTTGGTGCTGCAGAAGCATATGATCGCTGCCAGCTATAGAAATACATACCTCTTTGGGATTAATTCAACTGGCCAGGTCGTAGAACGTGAGCTATTTGTTTTCTGTTTTTCTTGTTCCTGGTTGTGATACCTTCGATACGATTTTTGAGCTTCGACGTCGTACGAGTTATACCGCCTAGCCTAGCCTATCTAGTTAGCTAACTTTTATATACCCAAGCTTCCTCTTGAATTTATTTTTTCATCTTTAGTCCTAGACGCAGCTCCCTGAGACATTAAACGCCATGGCAGCTCCGGCATCCAAGACAATTGGCGATCTGAACGGGAAGTGGGTTCTGGTAAGCAAGCCACCACCACCACCACCACCACCACCACCGTCCCGAGCCATTCCCGTCTCCCGTTCAACCACTAACTTCTCCCTCCCATAGAACAAAACCCTCTCCGACCCCGTCGACCCAGCCCTCTCCCTCCAAGGCGTAAGCTGGCTCGTGCGCAAAGCCATCGGCGCCGCCACCGTAACCCTCGCAACGAAGCAATACCAAGGCGCCGCCACGCCCCCCAACACCACCAGCACCGAGCTCGTAACCCGCATCGACATCCAGCAGATCGCCACCGCCGGCGTCAAGGGCACCGCCGAGAACCGGTGTCTGGACTACGAGTTCCGCGAGCACAGCGACTGGCTGTTCGGCCGCGTGCGCGGGCGGAGCCGCTGGATCGGCTCGGAGGAATTAGCTGCGCACGTGGGGCCCGACGGGGAGGCGCGCAAGACGGGGGTTGTGGAGGATGATTTCGCGGCGAGGGATTGGCTTGAGGGGGAGGAGGAGAAGGGCGGGCCGCTGGGCGAGACGCATATCTTGAATCATGTCGAGAGTTTGGATGCGGGGTGGACGGCGCTGCAGGTCTGGGGGTTCCAGAATGTGGGTGGTGAGAGGAGGTATGTACGGAATGTAGTCGTGGCGAAGGACGGCACGTTTGTCAACTTTAAGATGGTGTATGACTGGGTCCCCGAGTAGTGTGCTGCATCATTGAGAGTTTCTCGGGTGTGAAGCACTCACTCTTCATCTAGCCGTGAGTTGGGGCGAGCTACTCGAGCGAGTGATATTTAAGGGAGTAAATATGAATGTCTATATTACGGTAGAATTATTCGTGTTGGCTCGCAATCTGAAGCGTATTACGTACAATTTGCGACTTCGTCTTTGCTCGAATGTGGCCTCCATTTCATGTTGAACGGTGCCCCTATAGCATAACCAGCCCGAGGTGTTGAATCCCTCAATGTAAGGAATGCTCCGTAACAATCTCGAGCCCGGTGTGATAAAGTACCTTCTTCCTATAGCGCCTTTCCCTTAATTACCCGATCTTAGCCCATTGCTTGCCATACCCTCCTGATATCGAACCCCGTCTAGATCACGTCGATTAACTCCTAGGCGCTACATCCACTCACTCATCCATCACGCTGGTCTTCTCTTGACGAACTCCTCCAGATCACTCCGCGTGGCAACCCCGAGGACGAATCTCCTATCCTCGTCGGTTACAACAGCAAACTCCTGCTTCTGACCGATGCCAGAAGCGCCGCCCTCGAAGAACTCCTCGAGCTCCTCTAGCGGTGTGGCCATCGTGATGACCTTGTACTTCTTGCCTTTGCGCTCGAAGTGCGCCATGGCTTTGGAGATGGGGTCCTCGGGTTTTACCTTGCCCGTCTCGAGCTGTGCCTGCAACACCGGTATGGCGACGTAGCCTAGCAGCGCACGAGTCTCCGAGTCTACAATCGTCAGGTGCGTGTAGTCGCGCTCGAAGGATGAGATTAGGGCGAGCGAGACGGGGTCCGAGGGGTTTAGCGAGAGAGCTGCGGGAGGCTCGAGATCTTGTACTGTAGCCTAACGTAATATGTTAATATTCGGGAGCACATCTGGTATTGAATGGGAGATGTATGAGTATTGATATTAGACTCAATTTCTCAGGGGTAATATGACATACTCCTCTATATCGGGAAGACCATTTCGACACGAACGGCTTGCCTCCTAGAGGCGACGGACCGACGTGCGCAGAACTCTTGATCGTTTGCGCCATGTCTGTATATTGTGTATAGAAATGATGCAGCAGGGGCTAGATCGGAGAATCCTGGCCTTGGCAAAGAGCTTATTAAGGCGGTCTATCCTTCTCGAATGAAAGGTTTGCCTATCTTCGGTAACAGCCTCTTCGCCTAAAGGTGGCCTCGTAATGCTAAGGGTCCGTCTCGCGGATATTAGAAAGGTTAGGTAGTTCAACGTATGAGTAAGAATTTTGGATTTGCTCGAGTCTTTGTGGAGTCTGGGATGACGGAAGATATCACGAGCTAGCCTTCCTGACAATTTCGAGGTGGGGCCCTTCCTGGTCTTTTGATGCCCCACGGTAACACAGCTCTAGTGTAAACCACACTAACTTAGAAGCTGCTATACGTTAGGTACGAGGTACGAGGTACGCACGTGTCTTGAACTTGCCCGTTGAATTAGAATTGGCTTTTAAGGTGTAATGTATTGTATGCTTTAATAGCAATATTAGCAATATGCGTTGAAATTACCCCGCGGAAGCATACTAGAGAATGGTCGTCCTTCGAGTGCTCGAGAAACATAGTAGGTAGCACTTCTGATTGCATCTTTACGTCACTTACTACTAGATATCTCGCGCAAGAAGTCAAAGCCGCAGCAGATGACTTTATAAATCCCAATTGATCCGGCGAGGTAAAAAGGAAGAAGACTCATCTTCATCTTTATATAAACTATAAACGAGCTTATCTGTCTATAAATTCAATGCTTGACCCCGCTAAATCGGAAAGTCTAATCAATCATTGGGCCCGGGCTTCTGTAACAGGGTAAGCCTGCCGACCCCTCCGACGTCACTAACAGGAGATGCCTCGACAAGGGAAGGAATCGTATTGGACGCTGAGACTACCTTGGTAGTAACCATACCTTATCTCCGGAGAATCCTTCCCTCATTCCTTTTTCCCTGTTAAATCTTTGAGCCTCCAGAATCCTTCTCCCGAATAACATTCATTTCCTTCTGTGCAGCGGCAACTAGATTCGCGATCCCCAACTTGTCAAGTCGCCTCATCGTAGTAGCGTGTTTGACATCGGGATACTGAGGTTTGCGACCGACCTCGAATTGATCGGAATAGAATAACCTACCTAAGTGAAACAGTACGTTGCCCGTTAAATCCGCTAACATATTGCGGTATCTTATTCCATTGAGTTATTATCCAAGTTTGAAGATATTGCGCCGTAGAGCAATGCACTTCAAGGCAACAGTTGATATTGTTGATAATGAAATGTCTCATGCTAACTGAGCGGCAGTAGATCGAATCGGACCTAGTCACGATGTCATACTTATTTCCTAACCAGCATATCCTCCACCAGTCCTTCGGCCCGCCGTTGAACACCAAGGCGCGGGCTACTCCGGCTACCAAGGCCACTCCGTACCAGGCCCGTCCGGAGCTCTACGCAGCCTACTCCGTCGTTGACGACGCGAAGAACAAGACGAAGCAGCTCAGCGCCGAGGCTCAAAAGGAGCTTGACAAAGCTAGCGATGCTGTCAAGGGTGACAGCAAAAAGCTGGAGCTTTACAGCCCTACTTTCTACGCTGCAGCCACATTTGGTGGTCTTCTCGCATGTGTAAGTGAATAAACTCATCATGCAATCCCTTTCGAGAACTATCTCTCATATTAGAACTATAGGGCCTGACTCATACCGCCGTCACTCCCCTAGATCTCGTCAAGTGCCGTCGGCAAGTCGATGCAAAGTTGTACAAGGGAAACTTCCAAGCGTGGGGCATAATTCTGCGACAAGAGGGTATTCCGGGTATCTTCACTGGTTGGAGCCCGACGCTGTTCGGATACTCGGCGCAGGGAGCGTTCAAGTACGGCTGGTACGAGTACTTCAAAAAGACGTACTCTGATCTCGCGGGCCCCGAGAATGCGTACAAGTACAAGACGCTACTATACCTATCTGCTTCTGCTTCCGCCGAGTTCCTTGCCGATCTCGCCCTATGTCCGTTCGAAGCCGTCAAAGTCCGCTTGCAGACGACAATACCGCCACCGTACAAGGGTACGTTCGACGGCATCAGCAAGATCACAGCGGCTGAGGGTATCGGTGGACTGTACAAGGGTCTATACCCGCTCTGGGGTCGTCAAATCCCCTACACCATGATGAAGTTCGCTTCCTTCGAGACTATTGTCGAGAAGATCTACGAGCGCCTCCCGGGTAAGAAGAGCGACTACGGCACGGGCGCCCAGACGGCCGTCTCCTTCACCGGTGGATACTTGGCCGGTATCCTCTGCGCCATCGTCTCTCACCCTGCCGATGTGCTGGTCAGCAAGCTCAATGCGAACCGCAAGCCCGGCGAGGCTTTCGGTGCCGCCGTGTCCCGAAATTACAAGGATATAGGCTTTATGGGACTGTGGAACGGTCTGCCGGTCCGAATCGTCATGATTGGTACTCTCACTGGTCTCCAGTGGATGATTTATGTAAGTGTCAAATATTACCTTTTCCCACGGGAACAAAATCCGTATTAGTTAATTGGGCGATGTGCTAACGACGCGATAAGGACTACTTCAAGATGTTCATGGGTTTCCCGACGACGGGTGGCCCCGCGCCGCCGGAGGAGAAGTAAGGTAGAAGAAGTGCAGAAAGCGAGATGGTATGAGAATTATCCAGGCGGATGCGTTGGTACATGCCTTGCTGCGATATTTGCTGATCCGGCCCGCTTTCTTCATCGCGTAAATCTTAGCAGTCGGGTTTGCCTAGGCTCTAATCAGGGGTCTAGGCGTTTGCGTTGACTGCTGCCCTCCCTTACGTATATAGTTATTTTGTGCCCTAGCAAAGTTTCCTGTTACTACTGAATATTCCCATGTCGTAATGTTGCCTTGGACTTTTAGATAGTGCGAACTAGTTACCTCTCTACTCTTAACGAAACGTTATTTCCAAGTCTTGTACGCCTATTGGGAATCCATGAGTAAAAGTGCTTGCGTGATTTATGTAAGTAACGTAACCAAATGGTATATGTCTTCGTATGATCTCTTAGAAAGACCCCTGATAGATCACCCCTTGCAGGACTACACATTCCAGTGGGTGGACGCTAAGTGGAATGAAAACTAATAGTAAGAATGTTGATGGCTCGTTCTAGACTTCGCTGCAATTATGAGCTTGACCGCCCAGCGAGTCTTCTCACGTGTACAGTAAAGCTATAAGGTGATTTATTGAGACAAGTCGCGGCTCTTACCTACAGTATGTATAAATTTATAGCATATTCGTATAAGATTCGTGCCTTAGGATCGAATTAATAGCACCGAGTGGCCAACTGCAATATATATTGGTATATAGATAGGCGAATACCTGATAATATATATGAAATGCAACGCTGATAGGTGATGGTGACAATAATCATATCATGGTGGAGCGGGGTATTCAGCTGCCATGATTTAGGTTGCCCGTATTTCCTGGAAAAGGCCTCAAGCGCACATCAGCTCGAGGTCGCACGGAACGCACGCGGGTATGTAGCCCGGATTCTGTATCGGTGCCTTCTAGAAGGCGCCCTACGAAGGGGGCAGCAGCAGATATTTCGCAGCTTGGCTGGTCAGCCCTTGCAGGCCTGCCACATGGGCTTTGGGGGACTTCAGACCGCGCGGAGCGGGATTGGGCTATGGACGCCCGCGCCGCTGTATTCCGTCATCGCGCGTTTACCACACCTTACGGCTGCAGCTCGCTCGTGACAGGTTTGCTCGTTGGCTCGCTCCCGATGCAAGGCGGCGCTTTCTCGGTTCTGTCCTGCGTGCTGATCGTCCTGGGATCGCGTGAGTGACACAAAAAGCCAAGTGCGAGAGCTTAAGCAAGCTGCGGCGTCTCACTTTTTTCACGTCAGTTGCCCTCTGGGCTGACGTTCGTATTAGCGGTTAGCCAACATCACCTGACAACGACAGCGGGAGGATAGGTAAGCACGCGGAGGAATGTTGTGATGTTGTTGTAGTGTAGTCTGCTTGCTTGTAGTCTTCGTTTTCCTGCGATCGAGATGGGATATTCGGCCGAATGCATTCGTCAGCCTTGGGGGCTGATTTGCTATTCATGGGCGCTTGCAGGACCGTATTCAGGGTCATGGAGCGATTGTCGCTGGCTAGCAAGTCTGGCAAGCCTGGCAAGTTTGGGCCAGGTTTGGGTTTAGCATGGCGAACTATCTCCGTTCTTGTGTGGGAGTTTGCCCGCTTGCATACCGTATGTCCGTCACGACCGTTGTTGGCGGCTAATAACCCCACAAAAGTCGATATTCAGACAGACCAGAGATGCATACATTGTAGCATGCATAGTCCTAAGCTAAGTAATTGGTGTCACGCCAAGTGAACAAGGAACCGATGCCTGCGGAGAAGAAGCCTGATACGATTTGCGGTAGCAAGATGCAAGTTACCGTCTTACATACTGCTGATAACTAAGTGATGGTGGGAGTCCACCGCATTGCTGTAGCAGTTATAGTAGTAGTCGTTACACTTCTGCATCGATAGTGAGATCGATGTACTTTCTCTTCCCGTCTTAATGTTGCCGCCCCTGAGTTAGGAAGAATGCTGGAAGCACGATGGAAGTTGTCTGTATCCAAAGCATTGGGACCAAGTTGTCCCTAGTAGCATCATGTTGATCACCTGCCCCTTCAAGTCTAGAGAGGACGCTTGGCTCTGCTTAGAAGCGTGGTAAGTGGAGCTTGTTGAGACATAAATTGCAAAAAGGTTCCCAAGAAACTCCTGTTCGTGGATGGATGTGGATGGATGTACGTACTGGATTCCCCGGTCCCCCCACCTTGACGAAGTCGCCGCTTGCTAATTGCGGTAACGTGGGCTTGATAGGTCTTCATTTTCAAGGTCGTAGTACCAAGTTGAAAGCTCCGACTACGACGCGGCAGGGAGAGTCGTTAAGGGGGAAATTCCCGAGTCGAATATGAGTAAGTAAATTACAATAGAAATAGTAAACAGGCGCGGTACGTAGTAGACGACCTAATATCGCTGCCTCGCGTAATGAGCATGTAACCAACTCGAGCGTGCTGTGATTTTCTTGAGTTCCTCGTCCTCGATGTAAGGTGAGTCCCGTTATGGGAAAACTGCCGTTTTTGGAACCAGATCGAAAGCCCGACTGGCTGTCACATCGAAACTAGAGCACCAACCTTCTGTTACCCATACTAGCCAGAGAGGCCGGGAAATGTAGGAATATGTATATGCAGAGACTATCTTTGTTGGGTTGTTTAGGTTTAGATAGGCAATCTTGGTACCGAGAGACTATTCTCATCCCACGTAGTTTGACTAGGTACCTAACATAGTAATAATGAGAAATGCACCTTATGCTTCATGACGACTGACGACGCACTGCGGCTTGTACATATTTGGGCTTGTATTTGGAGTTACAACAAAAAGTTACGACAGCAGTTACACGACGCGCTTAATACAGAAATGTTAATACGGAAATACAGAAAACTTCAAAAAGGAAACCACGGTCTCCAGTGGAGAAATGGCTGGGTGTTAGCCCGAAGAGCGCTAGTTTCTCTGGGGGTTACCCCTTAGGTACATGTAAGTGTCTGGTTAGGTCAAGGTATTACCCCATCTTTTTAGAATCTCCAGGCTTTTTTTCCCAGTGCTCTCTAGTGCTCCAGTGCTAAATTTGTGGCGTTGGTTCAGGGTGCTTCAGTTGTACCGTCAGCGGCACGACAACCCGGTCACACTTCCGGCTCCTTCCAATCTATCCCCCGATCGAATCCTCTTCCCATCGAACCAGCAATAGTCACTCGCTTTCTCTTTCGATTCTTAGCTGGCAACTCCTTTTAACAACTTCGACCTCGTATTCCCTCTCGCTCGACAAATTACCGTTTGTCATCTTATAAGTTTTGCCCGCGCCATTCGCTTACTTGCCGCACAAACCACAAAGAAAGTTGTCGGCTCGTCTAAGACGTTCGAACACCTACGTACCTACTTCTTACAGACGCTCTCCTTAGTTGGCGACCTCGAATAATATAGACTCTGGAACGACGAACAATTCCAACGTCCTTCGCTTACGGGACCTACGGCTTAAGAAGCGCGAACTTATATCGTCTAGTGTATTATCTGATATCCGAGAGTGTTCCTGCTGTTTACTGCCGAGGCAGAGTCCTTCGGATGACTATCCCCATCGACTTCGTCCGTCCTCGCTAACCCTCTGCCGCGCTCGGCCGCTGGCTTGTCTCGGTCGAACTCGCGCAATACCGCAATCCGGTCGCCTCTACGCTCGCAATGGCGAGTTTTCTAAATAAATGGAAGACCAGCGGCGCTGTATGTTACCAAACTTTAAGCTTAACGCCGAGTCGGATGTGTTCACTTGACAGAGTGCACCTCTGGGGTCTCGAGCTACGCACAAGGCGATTGTTAAACATGCTGATGCGTTTCTAGGCGGCCTCGAGTTCGGCAGGCAAAGACGGACCCAAGAAGAAAGAGGAGACTCCGCTAGAGGTCACCCCGTTGGAACGGATGCTTCAGAACGCTGGCGCGCCCAGGCAAGATGGAAGCGACAAGTTCTTCGGCATGGAGAATGTAAGTTTACCTACCATATACATGTATATACCATCATTTTTGGAGTAACAACACTAACTTCAATTGCATAGTTCGGGAATACTTGGTAAAGACAAGACGTTTATTTTGCGCATTGAAGGCCATGATCTGACCAAGACGCAGCTATTGCAACTCGATCGTCCAAGCCCTCTACTATACCGTACCATTTCGAGAGCAGGTGCTTAAGTTCCCGCCATTATCACCCTCAGATACCCCTAACGGAAGCCGACCTAGGGTTAACGTCCAAATCCGAGCTCCAGCTGTGAACGGAAGCGCACACGGAGGCGCAAACGCGAAGAGAGGTTCCGTAGCTGATGCGATGGAGAAGAGGAAACAGATTAACTCGGGCCAAATCCAGCCAGTTCGGCCAGAGGATAAGCCCGACACCCCCGAATATAAAAAGAAGCAAGCGATGCTGAAGGGTCCTATATTAGAGTTGGCACAAGAAAGCCACGAAACCTACGGGATGGATGAGTGCACGTTCACGGGCCTACGAGATATTTTTATGACGCTCGTAGATAGTACTGTTCGTACTGGGGTTCTTAGTCCGCAGCGGTTCCTTGAGATCTTCAAGCGCGATAACGAAATGTTTCGCAATTCGATGCACCAGGATGCGCACGAATTCTACGGGCTCGTTTTAAACGATATAATATCGAACGTGGAGAGCACGGCTAAGCGGTTACTTAACCAGCAGGTCTCTTATAGTAACGGTAGTGTTGAAGAATCGCTCAAAGCAGCCTTAGGAGCAATTGCTAAGACCGCTTCGAACGGTATAAATTCTCCGGGGACAGGCTGGGTGCATGATATATTCGAAGGCGTGTTAACATCGGAGACGAAATGCCTCACTTGCGAGACTGCTTCTCAGCGAGATGAGACGTTCCTAGACTTATCGATTGACTTGGAGGAGCACACCTCAGTAACTGCGTGCTTACAGAAATTTTCGGCCGAGGAGATGCTTTGCGAGAGAAACAAATTTCATTGCGACCATTGCGGTGGCTTACAAGAAGCCGAGAAGCGAATGAAGATTAAACGACTGCCTAAAGTGCTGGCATTGCACTTGAAGAGGTTCAAGTATACGGAAGACTATAGTCGGCTGCAGAAGCTGTTCCATCGTGTAGTATACCCGTATCATCTGAGGATGTTTAATACGACGGAGGATGCCGAGGACCCAGATCGGCTGTACGAACTGTACGCTGTTGTTATCCACATCGGCGGCAACGCATACCACGGACATTATGTCTCGGTCATCAAAACGGAAGATCGAGGTTGGCTGTTATTCGACGATGAGATGGTCGAGCCCGTTGATAAGCACTACGTCCGAAACTTTTTTGGGGACAAACCGGGTATGGCCTGTGCGTACGTGTTGTTTTATCAAGAAACGACTTACGAGAAGATGCGGGCCGAGCAAGAGGCGGAGGGTCTTGAGGAAGTCAGGATCGCCAGTGAAAAGGCCGGTGTTGCTCAAGAGGATGGTCAGCCGAACGGTTCGGTTTCCGGGTTATCAAGGCAGCTAACACAGCCGGTTCGGCCACCCGAAGATCGCGAAGGACTGACCACTCTAGACCACGCTGCTACGGCACCCGATATGTTCATCGATCCAGCTGCTCCTTCCCCGGCGTTATTACCTCAGCTAGACGGCGCGGTACCGCCCAGCCCCTTGATTTCAGAAAGAACGGATACGACTAAGGGCGAAGCGAAGTCAAAAGAAGAAAGGAACCGAGAAAAGAAAGAAGCCAAGGCTCAAGAAAAGGCACGCAAGGTGGCAGAAAAGGAAGAGCTCAAAGCCAAGGAGAAGCAGCGCAAAGAGGCCGACGCGCGGTTGCGCGAAGCTCGCAAAGCCGAACAGGAGGAATTGAAGAAAGCCATCGAGGCAAGTAGAAAGATGGACGAAGAAGAAGACGAAGCCAGTCGCAAAGAACAAGATGACAGCGTCCCGTCGCTGCAGAAGCCGGATAGGGGTAGCAGATCCATGTCAAGAAAGAGCTTCGGGTTTTTAAATAGAGACAAAGCAAAACGGGATAGCCTAGAGGTTTTACCCGAAAACAAACAGAATGGCGAGAGCGCGGCGCCCAGCCACGACAAGCCAGAGCAACAGTTCAAGCTTAAGAAGAGCTTCAGCTTTAGTCTTGGGCGAAGAAAAAGCCATAGTACCCTCTCGTAAAAATACATAGGAGTTAGGGGAATATCTTTGACGGTATCGTTACTCTTCATACCCTAGCTAATTAGCGCAAGGGGGATGGGGCATATACGGAGTTCTGGGGGGTATCAAAAGAAATGCAAAGGTTCTTGAGCATTTACGGAGGACGCGCACCAAAGCCGAGATTCGTTTTGGATACTCTGTAGAACGAGGTTGCTTCTGTTTCTCAGTAGCACTATGAGCGTGAGGTCTGCTCACGTTGTGATGGATATTCTGTATAATAAGGCCAGACGCCGGAGCTCATACCCCTTGTAGTAGCAGAGGTACGAGGAAAGAAAAGACAAAGCCTTCATCGCCATCATCTTGGACCGAATCTTGATTGTATAGTGTTGACTTGACGTGTCGCTGTCACTCGAAACCTCCCTTCGCACGACCGCGCGTCTCACATTGCCGATCTCATTTTAGCCATATTACACCAAACCAAAGTGTATGTACACCCGAACGCCTGGTTGAAACCGAATGCAAGCCCCTATACGTCCGTCATCGTTCGTAACACCTGCATATCCTCTCTAACCCAAGACCAGCTCGTAGAGTATTATTAAAGTGTTGATCGCTATCAGAGGAACTGCTCTGCTGGTTAGCTTGGTGTTATTACCTCGTAAAGCGACTTCTCTCTCGCAAATAGGCCAAGCACGTACTTCTCATAACCATCCGGACGCTAGCAATTAGGTTGACGACTTTCGCCTTTACGCTTTGGGAGTCGGGGCCGGCGCCGAATGCCGGGTCGAAGGAGGTGGATGAGAGGTTTACTAGTTACAGAGAAGGCGTTAGTACGGAGGGATGGGTCTTGTATGGTAGGAATTCGTACTGCGTGCTAGGAAGCGGTCTTCGGACAGGATGGCGATTGCGTTTATAAGGAGGATAGAGACTATGATCGCATTAGCTGCTGGTTTCCGGTAGGGCGTCTAAGAGATGCTATACCATAGAGTAGGTTCCCGAGGAGAATCATTTTGACGGGCTAGAGTCTTGGGCGACGTGTTAGAAAGCGTGAGACTGCTTCTGTCAAAGGGCGATAAATCAAATGTTGTATATCTGCATGTACGTAGTAGTAGACAGGTGTCGACGGTGCGGCGCCAGGTTGCGGGAACTGTCCATTTGCCTTATGTAAACACTATTGAAATATTGTGGCGGTGCTTTACTGCATCAGCCACGTGTAACTCGGTTCGAACAGATACTCCTTACACAGACTTCTCGAAATGAGATGAACTGAAGTAGTACAACAGCAGGTCTGTCAACAAAATGGGGGTTTGAAATTATAATCTAACCATATGCACTCGTTACAAATTGATATCAATTGAGTTATATCGAGTGCATCTGTTATGAAAACATACCCTCGCGTTCTCCAGATATAAGCTACCAATGGCAGCTCTCGGTATGTTATTGGTATCACGGTATTTACTAACGAAATAGTAACTTACAATGGCAATAGACTTACTTCTGTCGCTGGCTATACCAGCCTTAATAATCATACACCTCTTGGCGGCTCCATATACCAAAGTCGAAGAGTCTTTCAACATTCAGGCGACTCACGACATTTTAGTGTACGGGACGCCCACTAAGGACGTGTATCAACGGCTCTCGTCTCAGTATGACCACTTTGACTTCCCTGGTGCTGTCCCTCGCACCTTTATTGGCCCAGTTCTACTAGCGGGGATCAGCCAGCCTATCATCGCGCTGGTAGGCTTCCGGTATGCACAACTTATCGTGAGAGGTATTCTGGGGCTCATCAATGCTGGAGCGCTGTTGGTGTTTAAGTCGAAGGTGGAAAAGGCGTATGGAAGGTCGACTGCGAGGTGGTATGCGTTATTGCAACTTGGCCAGTTTCATATCTTGTTCTACGCTTCTAGGACACTACCTAATATGTTCGCTTTCGGCTTGAGTAAGTGGTCGCTAAGTTTTGAGAGGGTCTTTTATATTGACAATTCGTAGCGACGTTGGCCTTTTCTCAACTAATTGGAGACCCATCTCAAAACGTGCAGGCTTCGAGATATAAATTGGCTATTGCGTATCTCACTATAGCTACCGCCGTATTCAGGTCCGAGTTGGCAATCCTCATGGTAACCATCACCCTCTATGGTCTAGCTCTCTCGCATATCTCCTTGGTAAAAATCATCCCTACCTTCCTCGTCTTCTTTACCATGTCGTTGTTACTCACGATACCAATCGACTCTTACTTCTGGCAGAAGCCGTTGTGGCCGGAACTATGGGGATTTTATTATAACGCCGTTCTTGGTTCTTCCTCTGAATGGGGCGTTTCTCCTTGGCACTACTATTTCACATCCGCCTTACCTAAGATCCTCACGAACCCGTTGAGCTCGAGCGTCCTCGTTCCCTATGCACTTTGGAACGCTGGGACGAGAAAACAGGCTCAATCGCTAGTGATCCCTAGCCTTCTGTTTGTGGCGATATACTCTCTTCAGCCGCACAAGGAAGCTCGTTTCATATTCTATGTCGCACCACCGTTGACAGCAGCAGCGGCTTTGGGGGCAAATTACATCTTCGCAAGACGTAATAAGTCTATCGTCTTCTTACTTACCTCCATCGCAATAGTTGGCTCGGTGCTTGTTTCGTTCGGCCTTAGTGCTGCCATGCTTATTATATCTTCTCTCAATTATCCCGGTGGCGAAGCGCTCTCGGAACTTCGTGGTCTCGTTACTTCGTCTTCCTCGTCCGATCTTCAGACTATCATGGTTCATACGGACGTACTGTCATGTATGACAGGAGTAACACTCTTTGGGCAACATCCCTACCCCCCTAATGATCGGCACCCGGCAAATGGATTGACGTTCAATTACGATAAGACAGAAGATGAAAACGCTTTACGGAGCCCGTCATTCTGGGAGAAGTTCGACTACGTGCTCGCCGAAGATCCGGCTTCGGCTATCGGCCCTTGGGAGACAGTTGGTGTAGTGGAAGGTTTTGCCGGAGTTGAGCTAATCAAACCGAGTGCACCCCCCGGCGGCGGCATCGAGAATGGCCAAGACAGAGTATTCGGCAGAGGGGCTCTCGTGAGAAGAGTGAAGAATTCCGTTAGAGCGCTAACTGGTGGTTGGTGGATTGGTCCGAGGATGGAGCCGAAAATACACATACTCAGAAAAATGCGCGAGGGTGAGGCTAGACGAGCCGTAACGGAGTAGGAATTTCTGGTAGATAGGCTGAAAGTCGAAATCGATTGCCGAGCTCGGCATTCTATCCCCGATATGGCTTTACGGCCCGCGGACCACATCGGATGCGAGAAGAAGTGGGAATGTCCGGTGACACCGAACGCCGCCCCGCTGGTGTGCGTTTAGAAAGGGGCTGACGGGACGTTACGATAATATGTAGCACATCGCGGTAGACCTATCTAGATTTACCATAACGTTTACAGGTCTGCCTCGTAACCAATCTGGCGAGTCAGCCCAACACCACCAGATCGGCCGTCTCACAGCCCCCAATTTAGAATGTAACCCAACGTAGCCTTACGCACATCTAATTTTGAAGCGCTCAACTAGCCTCGCCATATACCGGCATCTAAACATTTAAATAGCAACGCTGCTATGAATTCCGGCATGCTATGCATATCTTTTTATATCAATGTGCAGGCAACGGTGGTCGAGAACGTGGGCCCATATGCTATCAGTGTTTTAGCAAATTATACAAGATAGACTGATATTTCATGATGTTCACTAATATAGCTTGATAATACGAGCAGGATATGTTGACGAGGAGATATATTAGTAAGGACAAGCATATGGTAAAATTCAGGGGTCTTGGTTTAAGAGGATAGGCTATCGCAGTATTAGGGACCTCCTAGGATACCTCAGCATCCACAATATAAAAGTCAGTGAGAGCCGAGGAAGCAGAGCAATCCAGACCGGCGGCTATGCGCGTCTGCAGAGCGTCTGTCTGCTAGTACTTCGTACTGAATTCTAATGCTGAGGTGCGCTTAAGGCATACTATTTACAAAAGGATTCGTATCATATAACATACCAATTTTAGAATGGGGAGAATATCGTGATGAGCCTCGCGGGCTAAGGGTTGTGTACGAGCACACGAAGACGTATTATACCTACCTAGGTAGCATCTCCTTTTAGTTGCCTCGTAACGGCGACGCCAAGAATAACCCAAGAGGGTGGTCCCCTGAACGAGGATATGTAACTATGGTATGCACGTAGGCGGGCGCCACACTAGCTTAGGGTCCACCCGAATGTCAGGGTCTCGTTCGATTCGTCTTAATATGCCAAGATGCATACAACCTAATCCATACATGTATGTACAAATCTTATTGCGCAGCTGCGATAAACTTCCAATTGAGTGGTACAGAATTGAAGATTTTAATCTATTACCTCTGTACCTATGTACGTACGTACATGTACCTACATATGTATAAGTAGCGTACATAGTAGTGGTAGGAGGCATCACTGATAAAGCATGGAATATTTGTACATCCTAGGTAATTGTGAGTTACTATTGGACTCAAGTACGGCTATAGTACTCTTATTATCACAATCTCATTTTAGATAATCGACGACAGCTCCAGTCCTTTTTAGAACTAGATTTTCAAAAGAGTCCCAAAAATTTAAGATATATGCACGTGTCGAGGACTGGGACGTCGGACCTTTGAAAGATGCGGGTTTCGCCTTAGTCCCGGACCCAGTGAGTTGTAAGTGTACCTGAAACTTGGCCGATCTGCACACCAATTCATGTACCTAGCATAGTACGATAGAAGCAGCGGCAGGAGCAGGCAATTACCTGGTACATATAGTTACCTAGTTCAATACCACAAACCAACAGGTACCAGCCAGCTTCCACGCCAGCATACGTACATGTACCTTATTACTTGTATTACTTGTATGTTACATTATGTACTCGAACTTGCACCCCCGAACCTCAGAAATAAAACGAGAGGGTAGACAGCGACGGGTGACACACGACACACGACACATTATTCATACGATCCCGTCCAACAAAGTAGATTGAATCCAACATCCCTTTCTTCCCTTACCTTCTTGTCTATTGTCCAATTCACCTCGGCATCACTTTGACAGTCTTGTCGCATCCCCCCGCCACCTTCTTTGGCTTCTTTGGTAGATTTATAGTGGGTAACAAGGACGAACTAACCCTCTGGCTGGCCGCCTGCTTGTGCGCGCCTCTGTACTACTGTACTACTACATACGCTGTATCATTATTCACCCCCTTGGTCCTTGGTGGACGACGATCACAGCCAAACTAAATAACATCACAATCTCGCTTTCGAAAGCCCGTCGGGTGGAAACTGGGCACACAAGTAAACAAATACAACCCTCCACGACAACTCCCGCCGAAATTTCATATTAGTCCAACCCATTTACAGCCATTACATTACCTATTATATTCGATACATTCGACAAACACGCGACACCACTAAGCCGTTCGTCTTATCAATTAACTTATTTTTACCCTTCCTAGTAAATATTACTTCGCTTCGCGATATTCTCGACGATTACTTAGCAACTACACGCCAGAACCACGGCAAATTGATGGTTTATCTAGGCGCATGTTGGTATACCCCGCGAAATCACGGCCGACGATGGAGAACGATGCACATAATGAAGGCCCCCGACGACGGGATCGTATAATGGGGAAGCTGTTTGGCAGTAGCAGTACGGTTAGGGACAAAAAATTGTCCCACGAAGAGAGTGCAAACGAAATATCCGACTTTCTTGGTCACTCAGACCGACTGACCGTCTCTCACCCCGTTCCTCAACCCCCGTCGACTGTTCCCAGAGGCCCACCGTCTCTGGCTCTTGATACGTCCAAAGTTAGCCGCTTCCCACAAACTCTAGGGGTTGAGAATGAATCTCAACGGCGGGCACGATCACGCAGCCCTTCCCGACCGAAGAAAAACAAAGGACTTGTTGTCCGGTTCGCCGATAATTATCCCGAGATCATTGGCGAAGGAGGTGACGAGTGCGAGACTGCCGTTGCCGAGATCGGTAGGAGGAAGAGATCTAAATCTACACCACTCTCGGCACCGATACCGCCTACGAAAGAAGGCCACGAATATGCCAGGCAAGTTGGGGCATTTCAAGAAGTACAGAAGAAGGAAGATGAATTTGTACCTGGTCCTATACGCCGGACCCAGACGGGCTTTTCTACGATCTCAGATTTCCGGTTGGAGGAGCCGGGGCCTGCCCCTATTCCTAATCCGCCGCCGCCTAAGCCTCGTGCCGTCCCGGCAGGCGAAGCCCAGTCCCGTTTCTTAGGTACTAGTAGTCAGAAGGATGAAAACCGCCGCTCATTTATCGAGATCCACCAGCAGGAGCAACGGCAGGCTGAAGGAATGGCGTTTGCAGAAGCGATGCGATCTGCTAGCGCCAACTCTCACCACCAATGGGACGACCAGATTTCTTCCCCCGAGCCGGTCCGGGATACACCGCCGCGCCTCAAGCAAATTCAGGTGCCGACCATGCAGGAGCCGACACCACCTCCGGAAAGATCCATGTCTCACCGTGACCAGTCTTCAGTATCGCCTTCGCTACAGGATTCCATCTCTTCGGTATTAAGAACTCAATCTACGAGATCTCCCTTGCGGCCTTCACCCATACCGCAAGCAGCATCGAAAAGTCCTTCCACCGTCTCACCAGCACCCCCTTACCACGAACTACCTCTACCACAAATCCCATCTTCCTCTAATAGATCAGCTTTACCTCCTTTGCCTACTCACGATGCACTGCCAGACTTCGACATGGTACCCACTCTGTCACAACGACCAGTGTCACCCGACGAAGTACGCGTCAAAACAACCCACACCGCTGACAGTCCTACGTCCCTGTATTCAAACTCTGTTCATTCGACTCCCGATGTCTCACACAAAGCAACACCGATTACGCGGAATCCTTCACGTGGATTCCCACCTTCTCCAGAAAAAACTACTCGCAGGCTTCAAGAGGCGGTAGTTGCGCCTGACGTTGATGCACTAGAACTATTTATTGTTCGTACTAAGCACTTGTACGAGTTGTTCCGTCTGCACGCGGAGCAATATAGGCCCTTAGGTACCTCCCGGCCTGATGACATGTGCCGAGCAGCTCTGTGGTGGTTCCTGAAGGGAAGAACAGCTCTGGAGACGATTATTAGAAGTCGTCCAGCAGACCCCGACGAGCCTCGTCTTCTCATGGCCAGGTACCAAGCCTATACGGACTTGGCAAAGGGGTACTGGCTATTAGAGCATGCCCTTCCCGAGATTGCGGAAGGCAAGTATAGCCCCGTAGATGGCGAATTGGGCGAAGTTAGGCAAGTTTTGATATCTAACTTGAGGAAACTATCTGGGTCTATGAAGCGAAATGGTTTCCTACCGCCCGAGGAGCCTTTCCTCCCGCAAACGATGGACAAATCTATCTGGGTAGAGTACCCGGCCGTGAGCCAAGATATAGTTGCCCTTCTCAATGGAGTCTGGGGCTCGGCTGTTGCCGCCGTAAATCAGCCAACTCGTTCTATGGAGGCGCTAGAAGCCCTCCCGATTGGCGATACTACTAAATATTTTAATTTTGGCCGCGTGATGACCAACGTATACTTCATGGAACAGGGCACGGACTCGAGACAGGCTTGTTTCCCCTGCATGTTGTCTGTTGTTCGATCGCAGAATGATCCAAACCTCAACTTCGTTATTGCTAGTCAAAACGGTTCCGTTTCGTTGCGCATACAGACAGACAAGAATTCAGGTCTAACGTGGCAAGATGTTAAATGGAGACCAGACTCGCACCAGTTAGATATCAAGTTACCCCGAGGCTTTATGCTTGCCATCGAATGCTCGCAGCAAGACTACCGGATGCTATGGAGCATGTACGACTTTAGCTCCAAAGTCCAATCTTACCTATATCAGCGAAAGGATGAAGTCGTGAAGCATACTACCGTCCTTCGCGGCTTTCACTATTTCGATGCTAACCCTCAAGGAAGGACATTCCCTAAGGAGCCTATAGGACAATGCTCTATAGGGTTGTTCGAGAAACTCCTCAAGGAGAATAGTCCGACTGGACCTAGGACCTTCCACCGGGGTTTCCGACTCGCCGTGGTTACCGGACCGAGAATAAGAACGCTGAGCGGAGTAACTCATTTGTTCTCGCCACAACTTCCTGTCAAGTTCGCCCTATTACGGGGCGAGCAACGCGCCCCGGTCCTCCAACTTGATTTTAACGACGGGAAAGACAAAGGGCGGATGGTTTTGACGTTCGATGATGATCGAGAGCGCGAGATGGTATTGAAAATGATTACGGGGACGTATATCAACCAGGATGAGGACATTGTTACAGAGGTCCCGTTAGAGGGTATGAACATATCAGACGGTGTCGGTGATACGAAAGGAGGCCTTCCGGCTATTCAGCGCCTACCTTGGCAGCGTGCTCGTATCATCAACGATAAGTATTCAGAAGTCCCGCCAACGGTATTGGCGGAGAAGCTCAGAGTTGAAATCGAATCGTTGGATAAAGGCGGAGTTGGTGTGGTCAGCACCATTACGGACCGAGTCAATGTCGCGCCTGGCGAGCTGAAGCTCAGGCTAGGTACCAAAGATATTCTGACACTGCAGGTTCTACGACACGCACAGGCCGATCTAACGGTTTCCATACTAGAGAGCCTCGTACCTCGAGAATCGCATCGCGAATTTCAGGGTTTGCAGAATACGATCCAGCGTGGGCCAACGGTGCGTACCTACAGGTTTCCGAGCTTCCGGGACTTGCATGCATTCCAAGCGGGGCTCACGGGATACTCGGTACTCTTCGACGGTATCGCTGCAAGCCTGAACATCTCGCGGCGAAGGATGGTAGTACCGATTCACAAGAAATGGGAGGCTGGCACTACGCGAGTTCAGGTGGTGCAGCAAGAAAAGACGGTTCAACTACTAGCATTTTTTGAAGATTGGAACCACGGACAATGCATGGGGTTCATACTCAAGGGAACCGATGTGTTCGAGTCGTTCAGCCGAAATGGGAAAGCGGGCTTGAAACTAGCTGACGCCAAGTTCCCGCTGCCGAAGACTCCGCATGAAGGCGGTGACAAGACGGATGAGATGGCATTCCTGTGTCTGGACATGCCCGATTTTGCTGGCGAACATGATGACATAACGATATTATTCGAGGATAGTTTTGGTAAGTTTTACCATGTATTTGAATCTGTTTTATTTCAGGGACTAACACGGTTATACAGAAAGAGATAGACTTTGTTCGGTTCTACCCGCGCCAGTCAAAGGGTCGCGCCTCAGTAGGGGAAAATGATGGAGTTCGGCACGATTGAACGAGAACATGATTCATGCAGATGGTCTGCATAAAGTTTGCACCGGAAGGGCGTTGAGTCCTGTAGTAATGCTATGTCAAGTTACTGATACCCCCTGCGGTTATTCGAGCAAATGAGGCGCTTCCCGAGAGGCGCAAGGAAACACAATGGCAACAAAATAGCCTAGCCGACAATCGGCTTTTGCATCTAGACTTTGGTTGTTGAAGACAATTGGAACTGTCTGCATATATCTATTAAACTGAAAGCAGGGTTTGAACCTCGATAGAAAGAAAACCTCAATTTTTATCAAAGACCTTACAGACCTAGTCTCGGTTGAATGTAGATAAATGATACACCTAATTGACGTACGTCATCGTTTCCCCCCTGGACCTCGTGGCCTCCAGCTTAGTGGATGCTTAGGTACGGATCCGTACTTTGCAAAGCCCACTACGTAATCACAAAATGTGCAAAGGCTGCAGTCAGTCACTACGGATTAGTCACTAGGTTAATGCCTAAGATTTCCCACTGATTATTCATGTACCTAGTGAGCTGAATAGATGCATTGCGGATTGCTCACCATCCCTTGTTCGTTCACAAATCAGGCATCGTTATTTGTGCATGTTATTTGTGCATGTTTAAGCTAGGCTGCTGCTAGCTTGATAATATTTGCTCCCTCTTCTTCTTCTTCTTTTTTAATGTAACTAATGTAAAACTCTTCCTCGTAATCCATTCTTCCTATTCTACCTTGCTCGTGTCAGTGAGGTCATCGGTCAACCCCCCTGTGCTTTAGGGGTAGGTTTAACTGTAAGTACAAGGATCCTTAATCGATAACAACCCGACAGCCCTCTCCAGCGTGGGGAGGGGTACATACGTTCACTATAGGCACTATAGGCGTGCCTAGGACCTAGGGCAGGACTTACATAGCAGCGTTACCCTTTAGTTGCGACCCTTCCAGCCCTTTTTCGATATTGTTCGACAACCTTTTACCTGCAACATTTATTGTGGACAAGCTTCTTTAAGGTTATATCCCCCCCCTCTCCCTTATTAGGCGCATTCGATATAAAAGAGAAATGCACGCGGGAAAGATCGCGTCGGGTCTGGCCCGTCGTCGCCGGACGCAGTCGAATGCTAGTATGTAACGGGTTTTTTTCTGTTTCTTCTAAACGACGTATTGCGACTTCGGACTACATTTTCCTATTGGCGCATTGCACCCTTCTTCTTTGCTGGATATTATATTTTTTTTTTTTTTTTGCTCTGTTAGGCATACTAGATCGCTGACACTTATGCCGCCGCACATAGGCAGCAGGTCGTCTGGGGATGGCGTCGATGACGATGATACCTCCATTATAGAGCCCGAGCAGGGCAACGGTGAGTCTGTTCGATATGTTGGTATTTACTGCGGCTAACGGAATGGCCTGGGCAGTTTTAACACATATTATCTCGCAACTGCGGCCTGGCGCTGATCTAAGCCGAGTTGTTCTGCCTACGTTTATTCTCGAACCCCGAAGTATGTTAGAACGAATCACCAAGTGCGTACTCCGAAACTATTATTTTATAGTCTACTGTATAGATGCTAACTTTAGAGAACTATAGCTTCATGTGCCATCCGGAAATGCTCCTCCCTATCCCTCATATCGAAGATCCCGTCGAACGTTTTGTCTCTGTCGTCAAATTTTATCTTAGCGGATGGCATATTAGACCACCGTATAGCTCCCCCAGCTTCCACCCCTAAGTCCACTCTATAAATCACTCGATATTTACTAACATACAAAAATAGGGGAGTCAAAAAACCTCTCAACCCGATCCTCGGCGAAGTCTTCTCGTGCTATTGGGACCTGCCTGACAATACCCGCGCCTACTATATCTCTGAGCAGACATCGCATCACCCCCCTAAGTCGAGCTATTTTTACATGGCCCCCGAGCACCATATCCGTATCGACGGTACTTTAAAACCTAGGAGCAAGTTCCTAGGCAATTCGGCCGCAAGTCTTATGGAAGGAATCGCCGTGCTTACCCTCATGAATAGGGGCAAAAATCCTAAGCAAGGGGAAAGATAGTACGTGGGATCTACAAGGCTTTTTGCACGAAACATGAACTAACAGTATCTCTAGCTGGTTAACGCAACCCAATATGTACGCGAGAGGAATCCTGTTTGGCAACATGAAATACGAATTAGGCGACCACAGCGTGGTGCGGTGTCCCGAGTTAGGCCTCACAGCTGATGTCGACTTTAAGACGAAGGGATGGGTCAGCGGTACGTATAATGCGATTGGCGGCACGATAAAAGACGAGAAGACTGGACAAGTGCTCTTCGAATTGTCGGGTTTATGGAGCGAAGAAATGTTTGTCAAGGATCTTAGGGTGGGTGACCCGTAAAAGTGTTGCCTCGTCGCTATCTAACGCTGCATAGAACGGACATAAGGATATGTTCTTCGACGCCCGAAAAGTAAAACCTTCCAAACCGCGCGTTCGACCGCTCGAGGAACAAGACGAGCGAGAGTCGCAAAAATTATGGTATAAAACAGCGCAAGCAGTAAAGGACAGGAATCACGAGTTGGCGACGGACGAAAAGACCAAAGTCGAGGACCGGCAGAGAGAGGAAGCAGCGAAAAGGGCCGCTGCAGGCGTAGAATGGCATCCGCGGCTGTTCCGGAGGGTAGACAAAGACTACGGCGGCACGGGAGAGGATATGGATCACTTGGAATGGATTATCAACGCTCATATGTGCGTGGCGCCCCCATAGCTGACGGCCTTTTCGAGATATCACTACTAACTCTAGATCTAGCGACGCCACAACACCTGAGGAACAAGCCGAGCAGATCATGTCGATATACCCGGTCATACCCGGACAAAGGACCAGCGACTGGAATATAATCCCGCCGGGCGGACACCTGCACCCGCATCCTCAAGCGACCGAGAAACAGGCGCAAGCTTCAGCTCCCCAAGGCGAGACGCAGGATCTGATCGACTTCGGCCAGAACGATACTAATACGCAAGCCCAGACAACGCATAATGCTCCCGCGTCGCCGCCGCTCAATAAGACGGGTAGTAAAGAAATCGCCACGATTCTGCAGTCGACGGGTCAAAAAGCGGAGGACGGCCCGCTGCTCGATTTCACAAGCGATTTGATGAACGACTTGCCTCCGGCCAAGGGTAACTTGAGAAAGGAGGATACGGCAGACAGTAATAATACGTTCTTCGATGCCGAGGGGTGATTAGTCGACTGTGTTAGTACAGCACGTATAGTATAGTTCAGGGGAAAGCCGAGGAAAACACCAATGTTGTGCCCTCGCGATTACCCGTTGCTTTAGAGCTCTCTACTTCGCTTCGCCTGGATTGAGCTGTTTTTGGCTGCGGGGTAGAGGGTTCATGAGCTGGATTTACATAATTATTCAACAATTGGCTGTTTTGGCTGCTGGGGTGATTATTGGGTTGGTGGTGTATGAGCATGCTGCATGGTAGGTAGGTATCTTGCTTTCTGGCAATAGGGGCAGGGCAGGGCAGGGCAGGGCAGGGCAAACCACTAGGTTTAGAAGCCGGTAGACTAGATATAGTATGAAGAAAAGGAGACCCTGTTTAATGAAGTTGACAAGCTATGTGGGCTTTACTTGTGGAATATCGTGACTTCTATCATGACCATAAGATTCAGGTGGATATTATCTTGATTTAATCCTTGTAGGGCTGCTAATGAATCGAGTATTTTACATATGAATTGCTCTGAGAGCCCTTCTTCTCCCCATTTCCCCTTAAGCACCATACATACTCGTCTTATGATCGAGAAACCGTAGGCGGGCAAATGATGCCGCTTCACGTATAATTGAGAACAGCCTATTTACTCACTCAGCATGTCTTTTTTCCTAATAATGTAGTAGTGTTAACGCAAAGATAGAGAGACGAACCGGTCCAAGGGTATCTATCCCGAATCCTGCGTATTTCTCACACGAGCGCGTCTCGTAAATGCTTGCTTGCTTGCTTTGCCTGCTTTCTTAGCCTCCGTCTTGTATCACCTCACCTCATCACGTCCCGTCTCCTAGTATATTAATAGACCGCGCTCGTGCGTATGCTGCCTTCTCCGTCTCCTAGCCTTCCGTATCTTAATTGGGTACTACCTTCGCTCTCATAAAATAAGAATCTCAGTCTCAGCCTCGAGGAAACGATCGATCTCTGCTTCCCCCCCTCCTAGTAATAAATAAATAAATACAACGTCATCCTGCCTTAATACCGCTTCCGCGTCGGCTCCGGGCTCGGGCTACGACTAACGCTCTTCGCGTCGCGGCCCCTCATCTTAAGCCACTTCTTAGTGGACAGGGTCAACTCCCTCTCGAGCTCGGGGGAGGGATTCTTCCTGTGGATGAAATTGCAGAAGCCGCCGCGGACGCAGCCCTCGCCGCTGTTCAGCCGGCAGCAGGCCTCTCTAAAGTCGGTGACGGGGCTGAGTTCGCAGTAGACGGGGCGGCCGGCGTACCAGCGGGAGTTGAGCTCGTCGCAGGCCTTCTGGGCCGAGTCCTCGTACTTGAAGCGGGCGTAGACGTTGCCGACGAGGTGGTCGTTGGTGTTGTCGCAGACGACGAGCTCCTCGAGCTCGCCGTACCGGCACAGCTCGCACCACAGGTCCTCGTAGAAGGCGTCGAAGTGGTTCGCGCACTGCTCGGGGGTCAGGCGCGCGCGCGTGTCGTGCGCGGGGTTCTGGTATAGGGATGGTAGCAGGATCGTCTGCGAGTACGACGGCTTGACGTGTTTCCTGCTGCAGCGGTCGCCGTGGCGGCACGCGCCGATCTTGTAGTAGAAGGAGCAGTTGACTTTGTCCTGCTCCGTGCCGAAGATGGAGGCGAGGAAGTTGGCCATTTTGATGGGGGGGTGTTTGTGTTGATTGTTTTTTTTTTTTTTCCTTTCCTTTCCTTTTTTTTTTTCCGAATTGATTGATGGGGGAATGAGTATTTGATTATCGAAGATGGCTAGGTCGAGGGGAGGATATTTGAATTGTCGCGTTTCTTTGACGATTGATCGCGACGATTGATCGGTTGGTTGGTTGGTTGTTGTATTTGGGAGGCGAAATTTCCAACGGTCTGGGCAGTAGGAAACGCTGGAAAGGGAAGATAAAGTTTAGAGCTTGAAGTTAAGTGGAGCCGGGATGCAGGTTACAACGCAACCAAAAAGCTTGGCAGTAGCGAGGCTGGCCAACCACAGTATGATGAGGCATGAGCTACCTATGAGCAGGTCACTCGCCACATCTAGATACTTCCACAGCCACACCTTAAGTCCGGATAACAAGATTAATCAGCTTCACCTGCTCAAGATAGTCGTGCCATCTTTTGAATTGGCTGAGAAATACATTATTAATTATGATCTCTCGATAAATAGTTTAGTAATTCATAAGGTGCTAATACTCAAAGCCTAGTTGGGAAGATTATTCCGTAGACCCAGAGGTGATATGAAATAACTGCCAAGAAACAACATCAGATAACTAACCAAAGTCTAAGAGACAATATTATTATCCTCATCTTCCTATCGATCGATAGAGTCAATTCGGGCTATATATAGATTATAGAATACAACATAAGCAAGGTGTTATTATAATAAATAAAGTAAACACATTTTCTTATAAGATATCCGGTGGATATCGTTGTGTCAAACGTTTCTATTCAACCCCATACTCCATATGAATATAAGATGACGGCGTTGTATATACTAGCCAATTATTCAAAGATGCTACCTCCAATTCCCTATCTCCTATCCCAGGACGCCCGTGTCTATTCCCCGTATACCCATTGAAGTGTGTGCGCGTCGCGGCATGTGCGTTCCATAGTGCCGAATGAAAATAATATTGATAAGCTTTTTTGGTACGACTGGTGGTGCTGCTGAAATCTGTTCGGCCGGTGAAGCAGCCAAGAAGATGATGACCTTGGTGGCCGGGTGACATGGGCTATCACGCAAGTACCCGGCATTTTGTTGAATATGAATGGGCGCCCACGCCGATTAGGGCGGACCAAGATGCTGCGCTTGTTCCGAACTTTGCCCCCATCGTGGGACATGTGTAACATATACACGATACCGAATATCGGTAGTTATTGTCTAGACGATGTTATATACCCTCTTCGCAATGATAAAGCAGGCAAGGCCGAATAGTAGCAGCGCTGCGGTAATGGCGAAGAACCACTTCAGGTCGCCCTCGTACTCTTGGCCTGGGACCCAGACGTTCATGCCCCAAAGACCGGTGATGATATTCATAGGCATAACGATAGTACCGAGGACAGTTAGCTTGCCTAGAACATCGGCGGTCTGCTCCTGTCGTTCATTCATACGGATATTGATTTGTGCAATGTAATTGGCATGGCAACGGGCGAGAATCCTGCTCAGGTTAGTTGTAATTCCAAAAGGGGGACCAAAGGGTTAACACTCACACTTCGTAATGACTAAGGTTGGCCGTCATAGTCACGATATGATCTTGGATGTCGCCAAGGTATAGCCCGATTTCGGACCGCGGAGCAACTTCCCAGTGTTCGTTACAGCGCTTTGCGAAACTTTTAATGACATCCGCCTTGTTTCCAAGAAGTCGGTATAGAGTCATAACCCTCTTCCTGCAGTCGCCGACGCGACGGAGCATGTCTCCACCATTATCCGCATTCGCTTCGGTGCCTTTCTCGCCGTCTCTCTGCTTTTTCTCGTCGGGCGACAAAGAAGGATCAGAGTGAGAATGGAACTGTAAGATTCTGTCGTCGATATCATCCACCTCCTCCTCGATGGTCTGGATGAGAGGGAAGTAGACGTCCGTGATGTCGTCGATAATTGCATAGCTGATCCAGTCTGCGCTGAGGATCATAAAATCTTTAAGCTGGCGAACCCTGCGTCGAACATGTGCCGGGTGCGGGGTCTGGCTGAAATGAAACGAGAGTACACCTTCGCGGAAAACCACGACATACATGTTGATCGGCTCGAGGTGATTCTCTGATTCGGCGTCCTGATCGAAAGACCTGTAATTGACGAAGTAGTAGTGTCGGAATAGTTCAACCTTCTCGCGCTGTTCCTGGAGCATGATATCCTCTGAGGTTAGAGGATGAATCCCGAACGCTTTGGCGAGCACCTTCATCTCCGATTCCGTGGGGCTCAAGACATCTAACCACCATACGGGACGTTCGCCGTATCGAGGCTGTTTCTTCCCGTTTGGAGGAGGTGATTTAATGCCGGAGAATGGGGACTTGGACCGCAATGGGCTGGGGTTACCCGAGTGATTTCCAGAGGAACTCGCAGACGTTGAGACTTGTTGTCTAGAAGCTGCACCTGGATTAAGGTCAGATGTTGGGAAATTTGGTGTGAAAGATGGCTGGCGAGAGGGTCCTCTGGTAGTTGCGCCGCCATTTCTAGTTAAGTTTGGAACCTGGGTAAGAGGTTCATCATCATCGTCGTCGTCGGATGAATCGGATAGGATTGGAGGATCTGGGAGGAAAAGTTCCTTGAAGCCTGCGTCTGGTTGAACAAGCTCCGATATGGTCTGACTGTGGATCGTGCTTTGGAACTCCTCGTTGAAGTAGGTGAATCGGTACGGAGCGTCTTCTTCTGTTTGATACCACCCCTTATGGATCGGCCGCAACCTGCCGTTCACCAATTGCGGCTCCGTGATTTTCTTCATTCGTCTTTCTTCGCTCCGATCCTCCTTCTCGATCCGGGACCACTCTTCGAGGATGGCCAAATCCGGCCACTTGTTTCGTCTTCTGCGTCGGGCCCGAATACTGCGGCTGTCGCGAGCTTGCCGGGCGTCCTCCTCGGCCAATTCTGACATTCCCTCTTGAGGAAAGCAGACATCCGCCTGTGCCTGCAGTGCAATCGTATGGCGTCTCTCAAAAGGAGACTGGTCGCGAAGCGGGTCGTTGTTCGATTCTAGTATGTTATCGGGGCGAGTTGCATCCTCTGCGAGATCATCTCTCATCAAGCTATCCCCATAGCTCATATCCAGGGGATCTGAAGGCCCGAGCGTAGGGCTTCCGGGAATGGATGGTGGATAGTTGATATTATATTTATCAGATGGTGTTATAGGAGCCATTTGGGATTTCTTGCCCGATCTGCTAGAACCGGCACGACTGATGGATGCATCGTTCTTCCGTCGTCCATCTCCTGACCCGTAGCCTCGCGAAGAGGTAAGATCCTGTCGCGGAGAGCTAGATAACAAAGGTGCGGTCTCGTTATTGTCCTCCTCCACTTCCTCGTGGTCGTGGCTCTGACTACCCTGCATTATACGCGATCGGCTTGATTGCGGCATGTGAAGGGAAGCCGTGAGGGTGGAAGGTCGTCGCGGGCGAGGATATTGATGCTCCCTGGGTTCAAATTAGTTATAACGCTATGATGGATATAAATTGAAGGCCGTAACAAACCTGTGGTCGAGAAGCGCTTCGCTTTCGATGCTTGTATTACTTAGATTCCTCCCACGCATGTAGAAACCGGGCCTATTACCGCTGTGGCTGGATGGAGGTATATCTTGGTCTGGGATGTTTTCTGGGGGAGCAGCGAAGGACTTCCGTCTCGCTTTCTTGTGCTTTCTTCCTGCACGATGCTTTTTCTTGGGTGTCTGGTTGGTTGATGCTGTCGCATTGGAAGAGATCGAGGGGTCAGCCGGTGCGCGAGAGGAACCGAGAATGGAAAACTGATTGCTAGACATAACGGCGGATACGCATTCTCGTTGTAAGAAGTCTAAGAAGAAACTAATTGTTTGGCAGCAAACGCTCGGGGATGAAGTCGAGGTTAAGTTCCATTTCATAAGCAAGGAGATAATGGGGGGATTGAAGCTAGAGCTTAGTTCTTTAGCTCATTCTTAGCACATCCCTCGGTGGTGATGTCAACGGAAGTAGACGGGTACATTAGGTACCTACCTAAAGTGTACTTTTGTGGAGACATATGCAAGATCGGTGGTTGCCGGTATGTAGAATTTAAGCTTGAGCGTTGCTTCTGGGGTATCTAGACGTCTCATGAATGCTTCTATTCGGTTTATATAAATTCATAAATTAATTTATGTCCAAAGATTGCTATTCTTAAAGACCTTGAATCGATCTAGAATGCGGTACCTAACGGGACGGGACACCTGCAAGATAAGCCTTGGTAGCTTCCAATTTTGGCCGAGAACATTAAGTGGGTAAGGTAACTTTACATAAAGGGCTTGCATTATGCTGGCTTGATACATATCGTCGAACGTTGGTTTATTTACTATGTACGGAATACAACCTCGTCTTGTTCTTCGATCGACTTCAATGTTGCAAGCAACAGTATTTCGGTAGAACCAAGATACTGGCCTTATGCTATCTAATCAAATATAGGAAACATATCATTGGCTCCGATGTCTTTGTAAAGAGGCGCGGCTATCTTCGAAGTTAGTAACGACGCGTAATCGGGGTCATATCTAGAGTTCATATTAGGTCCAAGAGTAAACAACGGCAACTCATCATCATGGGACACGCTTGGACTAGAATATTGACAGTAGCGTTGCCTTATTGAGTCAGTGCTAGTAAAATGGTATGAGGGCCACGTTCTACGAACCAGAATACGAAAGGATGAATTGTTAAAAGCTGAAGCATATTCTAGGTACGACGCCGAAATATATCCGTTGAACTTTTGGTGCCACTCTAGTACGGAATATGCGTATAAGCGTAGCTCTCGAGATGAATAGAAACCCATTATTAGATGTGTTCATATCGTAGATTTAGTATTCGGCATTACGTTATTATCAATGCCAAATCTTACTCTCCCATGGCACACCAATAGCGTTATTACATATAGCGCGTAGTACCAGCCCTACTCCCTCGAGATAGGGCGCGATGCCTTGTGTTCCGAATGCCTTTGTACCTGAACCGTAACCTGAACGCCAACTTGCAACTGTCCGCAGGGGTATGAGAAAATTGACAGAAAATGACTATACCTCATGGCCACCAAGGCACCTAGCGTCTTTGGGCCATCATGCCCGCTCTTAGAGTCAAAATCTGTTGGCGCTCCGCCTCGGGAAGCTGATCGATCATCTCCTGCGATAAGTTCATGACTGCCTGCATCAGGGCCTCCGTATCCTGCTGTGGCGCCATGGCCGGCGTGCTAGCTGTAGGAGGCGCATAGCCAGGCTGAGCAGTTGCTGCAGCGGGCGGCGCATACGGTGCAGCGACTGGGGGTGTGACCGTCGTGGCACCCGTGTACGCGGGGGGATAGCCGGGTACGGGTTGTTGGACTGGGGGCGGTGCAGCCGAAGAATCGACAACAGAATGTATAGCTTCGGGAGAGACGAGACCCATTAATAATAGAGCTTGGAAGATAGCGTAAGATAGCTGTGGCGCCTGCTGTAGCAGTTCCGTCGCGCGGCCTGGGTCGGTTGTTGCTAGAGATTTCATCTGAGAGAGAATATCGAGAAGCTGGCTCGGAGGTAGAGTGTTGAGCGTTCTGGAGATAGCATCGGTAGCGCTCACTCCAGCAGGCAGCTCTTTTCCGGGTGGGAGAGGGGGTAGCGAGCCTGCGGGAACAGTCTGAGGAACGATATACGAAGCGCCATTTGCGGGCTGGCCAGTAGTCGTGGATGCGCTGTTAGAGTCATCGCCATCGACCCGACCTTCCGTACTGTAGTCGACACGGAGCTTCCGCCCCATGATTTCGTAGTCGTTTAGGTTGCGAACTGCTGAGGCTGCCGAGTCTAGAATGAGAAGCAGTAAGTATGGGTACGATGTACAACCGTAGTAGAGGCCAAGATCCTACCTGCGTCGGGGTACTCTGCAAATCCAAAGCCCTTGGGCCGACCGGTATCGCGATCGTAGACGAGACGGAAGTTTAGGACTTTGCCAGCAGTGCTGAAGATGTCGGTGATCTGCTCTTCCGATAATCCATAGGGAATATTTCCGACGAAGACGACACGCGACGGTTGTTTTGTCGACATTGTTGTCGAGAGTGACTCGCGGATTGAAGGTCGAAGAAGAACCGAGGTATAATAGAGGGAAAGGGGAGAAGAAGCTGCTGATAGGAAGGTGAATTGGTTTGGTTCGGACCAAGCACAAGAGATACTGGATACTGGATAATGGATAAGGTCTGCGTCGTAGCTTTGAGGATCCGAGATCGACGTTTTTGGTTATCGATAAGGCATATGTAGAAGTCGCGTTCACTAATGTTACCGCGAGCACGGGCCGCTTACAGGTGCTGGAGCCTGGGATGGATTAGTAGGTACCTAGGTACATGTATCTCAGCTCCATTGAGCAACGTCGGAGGGGAAAAAAACCGGAACACGATTGGTTGGAGTTAAGAGCTTCCGGATCTTTTCAACGTTCTAGCACCACATCCTCATTTGTCACTACATCACCAACGAAACCGCCACCATTCCCATTTGACATCGCATAACCCTGCCCAAGATGTCGCGTTCTCCAATGGACGACTACGTGGAGAGGATGCGGTCGATGGTGCGCCAGAACCGAGGTGGATTTCCTGGTGGCCGCCCTCCTCGCGGTGCGGGTATGGCAGCAGCAGCTGTCGGCTTAATTGGTGGTGGGATTTTTCTGCTGCAGAACTCCCTATTCAACGTCGACGGTGGTCACCGAGCCATCAAGTACCGGAGAATAAGTGGTGTCAGCAAGGAAATCTACACTGAAGGTTAGTCCGGCCTGTCCGGGTTCCTAACTTCTGTCGTACTATATAAAATGCCATGCTCACACGGCTACCTATAGGAACCCATATTATGATCCCTTGGTTCGAGACTCCGATAACTTATGACGTACGAGCAAAACCGAGAAACGTTTCGTCTCTTACCGGCACCAAGGATTTACAGATGGTCAACATTACTTGCCGTGTGCTCTCCCGACCTAGCATCGAGGCGCTCCCGCAGATTTACAGGACGCTCGGACAGGACTACGATGAGCGAGTTCTGCCTTCTATCGTGAATGAGGTTCTAAAGAGCGTGGTAGCACAGTTCAATGCCAGCCAGCTGATCACGCAACGAGAGAACGTTGCTAGACTAGTTCGAGACAACCTGTCGAGGCGAGCTGCACGATTCAACATCTTATTAGATGACGTTTCTCTTACGGTACGTTAGGAGTGCTCGCATGAGAGTAGAAGATTAATTTACTAATTTTGGTTATTAGCACCTTGCTTTCTCCCCGGAGTTCACTGCCGCGGTTGAAGCGAAGCAGGTAGCGCAGCAGGAGGCTCAGAGGGCGGCCTTCGTTGTCGACAAGGCGAGACAAGAGAAGCAGGCCATGGTCGTTAAGGCGCAGGGTGAAGCACGATCAGCAGAGCTTATCGGAGAGGCGATCAAGAAGAGTAAGGCGTACGTCGAGTTGAAGAAGATCGAAAACGCAAGAGTCATTGCCGCCCAATTGCAAGAAGCAGGTGGCAGAAACAGACTGCTACTCGACTCGGAAGGTCTCGGCCTAAATGTGTTTAGCGATGACCGTAACAGCAAGCAATAGGGACGAGCGGCTAGGAGTAGCTAAAATCTCCACTGTATGTTTAAAATAATACTTGTAAAATACGAATTTACGACTGCGTCCTGCTTTATAGGCTCAGGCTTCGATGAGAAAAACAGCTTAGTGCTTACACATGCAACGCTTTGCTATATTCAAACTACACAAGATAGCCTAAACTGATCTCCACTCGGCTTACACATAGATGGAGAGCATTTTATAGGAGTATGAATATGATTACTCACTTACCTTAGGTAGTCGTTCATGTTGGTAAATATGTTGATATCCGAAACTAAGAGTTTGATTTGTTTAAGTGAGGCGTTTTGGATATATGATACCATTTGGAACAAACACATAGGTACATGTACTTGGGCATGAGTCCATTACCTAAGTGAGCACTCAGCAAGTGAAGGCTGCCTCAGGTGGGGTACATACCTTATAAGCCCCACCTGCCCAGGTAGACACCCCACTATGCCCGAGTATGGGACCATGTCACCATGGGTACCTCTCTCTCGTCACTTATCATAAGCCAACCATCTCCCGTCATACACATACGCTGCCACTTGCCTGCGGATACAACATCCTCAAAACCACTCACTTCTAAACCCCCCAGGTCGCCACCCTCCAACACCGCCAAGATGATGATCAAGTACGTCGCCCTTCTCTTCTTCGGCACCGCGCCCGTGAGGTCGGACGGACGGACGGAGCTAACAGACGGCGCAGAGTGAGAACCCTTACGGGCAAGCTGATCTCGCTCGATGTCGAGCCTACCTCCAAGGTACGCTGGCCTATCTTGTCTCTTGTTCGTTTGAAGGAGTGCCGACGAACTGTTACCGCATTGCGCCATCTTACCTCTATTCCCGAGGAGCACGCAAGCAGACAGACAGACAGACAGATAAACGGCATTAGATGTTAGGGTGCTAACCATATATCTCATCTCCCTAGATCGAGGATGTCAAGAAGAAGGTCGAGGAGAAGGAGGGAATCACACCCGATCAGCAGCGACTTATCTACGGCGGAAAGCAACTGTACGTTCTCTCCCGTTCTCCCGCTTATTCCGACTACTAGTTCATATCCTCCCCCTCTACCCTCTACCCTCTACCTTCTACGCAAACAGTTATAACTAATCCCATACGATACACCCAGACACGACCAGTTAACCATGACGGAAGCCGCCATCGTTCCCGACGCAACTCTGCACTTAGTCCTGACCCTGCGTGGCGGCTGCTGCTGCTGCTAGACACCTCCCTCCCTCCCACCCCTTCCGACCCTCCCTCTGGATTCTAAACTCCCAACTCCCAACTCCCAGCTCCCAGCCACGTATCTGTCACATTGCGCCCTCGATACCTACCTAGGCAGCCGTCACACCTCCTACTTCTTATAAGATAGAGTCTGCAGTAGTACCGGTAGGGATGACAAGGTCTACTACGGCGTTTATGCGGGAAATAATAGTGCTGCCGTCGGGAAAGATCGTGGATAAGCCTGCGCATATTGGAACTTATGCTCTCTGCTGTTACGGAAGACTCCTGTTCCGCTAGGTAGACTTGGTTGGCATCGCGGAATTGCCGCTACCTAATAGACCACATAAGTACACGGACCCACGCACCTAGAAGTAGCGTTCCGAATTAAGATGAACTACATGAATCTTGACTACTGATCCAGCTGTGAGCCTCCGTGCTTGGCTTTGCCGGCCGAGATATATATCCCGCTATTTTGTCAGTAATCTGGCTATTTCTAGCCGTGACAGCACCGGAGGAGTTCTAAGGGATAGTGTCTACTAAGTCTTGACTGCAATTTACGATAAGTATATGTGTAGTATGGTTTACGTTACGTAGACACAAAGATAGGATAGGCCTGGCTTTTAAAACCCAATGCATCTCATTATAAATCAGTGGCTGTCTATAAAGTCCGCAGCTCATGGACTAAATACAAACGCAGCGTGCTCATCCGCTACTTCCTTTCCGCAGTATATATCCATCCTCCTACTGCCGAGCTATGCATATACAGGCCAGCCTCCGTGGCGCATTTCCACCAGGATGCCGTAGTATCGAGAGAGGTGACAGGCATCAATGTCATATCTAGTAACTGGCCTTCTCTGTTCCCTTCTTGGAATAAAGAGAAGCAAATCCGCAACGCAACGCAGCCTTTCTCCTTGCAAATGTCATATCCTCCGACGCCATGTGTAAATCATCGTACCCTCGTAAGGGGAATAGAAAGAGAAGAAAAAAAACCGTTGTACAGAGAAACGATAGATCCGATATCATCGTTACGCCCATCCTATAGTAGAGAATCCCTCGAGATTAAACCGATTTTAGTAGTGGTTGAAAAGAAGAGAAAATCTCGTAGAAAGTGACGAAAGCGTCGTAGAATGAGTTTGCCGAAGCCGGCTGCTTAGCGGTCTCGTGTACTAATAGATAGAATCTTGCATACGTCTTGACCCCTAACGAGCAATCTAAAACCCGCGCTGGACATTATGTCCTTTAGGACATTCGTCGGCCCTTCGACTTTGGCTTCATGAAAACGCTAGGAGGTTCCTTTCGCTTCTGTCCGAGCATAGGTTTGGGCTTGGGTTTAGGGTCGGCGCTTGAGTTGCTAGTACCCGTATAGGTAGAGCCCTCCGCGGGAGGATGCGAAGAGGATGCTTTTGATGGCATCGAGGGTCGTAGGGGAGGAGAAGCTGCCGTATATTTGGCCGCTGGCGGAGAAGATGCCGATGACTTAGAAGCCGTCTTTTGCGTAGGCGACTCGATGGGAACAATTCTCATAGGGTTGTTCTTCCAGGAGTGACCCATCTTCATCCCAGCGAGACCGGATGAACCAGATGCGCGAGTAAGGCTGAGGTTGGTGACCGATGAGTGCGAAGAGGAGGGCTTATTCTGAGACACCGCGGCAGTCTTGATGGGTTTGGGGGCATTGGATGTAGAAGGCGTGTCGTCGTCAAAGAGATCCTCTAGCTCTTCAACATTCAAACTACCTCCCTCCCGGACCTCGTCGTCGTCGTCGTCGAACTGGTCGTCTTCATCAAACTCGTCGTCCGAGATAATAGTCGTTTTCTTCGTAGTAGTTCCGTTCTTCAATTTGAGCAACCGAGCCTCACGTTCCTTCTGCTCTCGCTCCCAGCGCTCTCCGGTACGCGGCTGGGGCGCTTGAATTCTCCTCGGAGTAGGCATAGTAGGAAGAGTCTTGATCCGATGCTCCTCTCGCATACCAAGCGGAGCTTGGACGATCTGTCCCCGTCGGACCGGTAGTTGGCCGGTGGGAGTCATGAGCTTATTTCGGCGACTGATTTCGGCTGCTTCCCGTCTAGCCTTCTGCATAATGCTCTGAGCCGATGTCGTCTTAGTTCGCGATCCGCCACCCCATCGAAGACCGCCCGCGCCAGCAACCTCTCGTCCGCCCACGCCTTTGCGACGACCTGGTGCGGGACCGAGGATCCTTGCGTCATAATTGATAACCTTGCTGGCCTTCTCCTGCTTCTCCTTCTTAATGGTCTTCAGGCTAGAAGTCAACTTCTCCAATGCAGCGCGCTTCTCCTCGACTTCGATCTTCTTGTATTTGTCGTAGACTTTGTGCCACAGGGTAGGGTTGCGTGGTTCGAAGTTATGCTTCTTTACTTGGTGAGGGAAATCGCGGTTGATGAGACGCTGCCAACATTCGGCGTCATCGCCTTGGATGTGAGGAGATCTCTCCTCCACCTCTCGTAGTTGCGCGGGATTGTCGATCTTCAGAAGGATCGAGCGCAGAATTGAGTAAGGCGCGCTGCCTACGTCGGAGATGTCTAGCGAAGGACCCATTATGTTAGTGTTGTTTGCGAAGTTTGTAGGAGGAACAAGAATTGTGCGATGTGGGAAATTGGAAGGAGAATACGGCGTAGAATTGGTGGGATGGGAAGCGCTTTGACAATATGTGGGATAATAATGAGGTGGAATGATAGTGAGGTGTGCGGTACAACAGCAGTGATGGGATTAGTGACTTACCTTTGACGTTTTTAATGCACACATTGGTGCACAGATCAACTAAAGTTTTGACCATTGTAGTTTCGATCCCAAGAGGCAAAAAAACAATAAAATGTTGTAGTAGCCTAGCCTGGGTAAGCCGCTGAAAGCGAGTTCGCGGACTCGTATTGTTTATTATTCCCTTGTTTATTATTTACGTTTGTTTACTTTGACGATAAAGTAATAATTCCGATCAAAGGGAAAGGAGTTCCGAACTGGATATGTGGTATCTCTGGGAGTAAATATGGAAGCCGTCGATTAGGATATAGTCTGAAGACAATGGAGGAAGTGTACGAGGAGAATGAGCGTCGCAGTTTCTATTGACAGCTTAGTTCTCGTCTGGGAAGTGGCCCATTCGTTCTTGTCGAGTATGCTATTATCGTCCTTGCCGTTCTGAATGGGATATCCACATGCTTGGATCATCCAGGCGAATCAAGGTTTCCAAGTAGTAGCGACGACCTATTAGAATTAAAGTAGTATTTCGGTAAGAATAAACATGTACTATACAGTTTATTGGTATTATAATTGAAAGCTAAGGAGGTGGCTTCTTTGGAGCTCCGGCACATTGTTTCTATACTCGTACAAAGACTCAAAGGGAAGAAGATGTAGTCATGAAGTTGGAGTTGAGGCTGACACGTGGGTCGCTGATCTGCGATACTAACTTTTGTTTGGTGGCCCTACCGGTCCGAGAGCATGCTACATTACGGTTCACGCTAGTATATTACGTTACTTATGTACCTGGCTATTTACGTCTTAACCTTTGTGTAGGTAATACGCACATTAATGACTAGGATATGCGCCACAAATGTTTTGAGGAAGTCAAAACTTTATTGCGCTAGCTTGGGTGTAAATAAAGTCATAATTGTAGATATATACTATAGCAGGCATAGTCAGATAGACCTAAGGACTAACGCTATAGTTCTATAAAGTATAACTAGCTCATTACTGGATACCATATGGGACATCACTCAACTTACTACACTAAATGTATAAGCTATTTACATCACTAATTATTTACCATATAATATTCAAAACGTAGTTACTGATATCCGCATAACTACCTATACTACATACGAACTTGAACTCGTTTGAAAACAACGCTTTTGCGATGTATTAACTCAGTAATATCAGACTCTGTCGCCCGGGAGCTATCTAAGGCTAAATCATAATCAGAATGCAACCAACCCAGCCCGACCCGAATGAAACTCCCATCATGATTTTGACGACCAATACGCCCGCGGCTGTTGGTATCTTCCTAGCCCCGTATCTCCCATGCGCCGTGACACCGTTAGACTATGTTTGTTAGAACCGCTCGGGAATATCCCAACAAGTGCAGCGAAGTATATACATGAACCATTACTTCATCTTTATCACCACGATCACCAATTACCCGGTAATAAGCAATAAGCAATCATGCTGCCGCCGCTACAGCTCGAGAAGGCGTGGCGATAGCAGGCTCGGGTTGGTCGGCTTGCGGTGCTTGTTCTTGGTTCGCAATTTCTCCGCCAGCTTCTGTCTCGGCCCAGGCTCCCCATAGACCACGCTTTCCTCTGACCCGAATAGGACCGCCGAGCGTACCTTCTTTCTGCTCGACTTTGATGGCATCCTTGGTTGCTAACACTAAGCATTCAAAGAACATCTTCGTAGCGTCCGCCTTGGAGGTTCTCCCTTCGGGGAGAAGGTCCTGGAATACTACCGACTTCTTCCTCTTCTCTTCATTGGTAGCTGCCTCTTCGCCGAACAGATCTCGAAGTACGTGGACCGCATGTTTCGTACCCATGGAGACTGGGCCACTATCAGCGGGGTGTACTATAGGGGCTGTGGTCTCGTCAAACGCCGGCATTGGGCTTCCTTCACGTGGCTGATGATCGTCATCGTCGTCTTGGTGTACGATAGTGTCGTCTGCGGGAATCTCAAGGATAGTGCCATCGGGGGCAACGCTGCGATCACCCAGGCCTGCGCCGGCGACAACTAGTCCGTCGTCGTCGTCACCTATGTCCAAGCGAGGCGATTTAGATGCTCCTTGGTCCTCTTCTTCGCCAACATCAGCAACACCGCTATCTCTCTTTCGCTTTAGGTCATTGATTGGTCTGATAGAATCAAGTGATAGCAGTCCCCTCAATTCCGGAGCCCAGGCTTTGCTACGGGCGTCGCCCATGATGCTAGACACAAAACTGCCGCTGTTCTTAAGCTCAATTAGGGCTAGGAAATAAGGATCTCGCGAGATAAAGGTGGGTGCCTTCAGAATATTTTCGTGGCTCTGTTGCTGTTCTTTGATGTGCGCGCTAGTAAGCTGAGTAGATGGGTCCAGCCCAAATATCTTGCGCTTCTTTGACCTCTTCTGAGGATGGGGTTCAGGCTCCTCGGGTTCTTGGCCCGGTTCGTAGATGCTGGTGTTGTTCAGACGCGTCCACTCCTCTACATCCCGGGCTACGTTCTCGTCGATATCAGAAAGAGGAGACTCCGAAATGCGAGCTCGATCGAGGCCAAGAGCACCACCCATCTCAGGCGCTACTGACTGATCTCCAATATTAAACTGGAAATCATCGTCCATCGGAATATCACCATCCCCGTCCGCGATCCTAACATTATCGTCTCCAAAGTCGAGAGTCAGCGATGGCTCACGGCCCGCGCCCTTTGCCAGTGGCGCAACATCTAGCTCGCTAAAGATATCATCTTCAACCGCTCGAGGTGCAGGTGCGTCTCGACCCATCTCGATACTCTTGTCCCCTCGGGGTCGCTCGTCGATATCCATTCCAAAATCCAGGTCTAACTCCAAGTCGTCCATAGGAGCAAGTGCTACCTCGTCCTCATCCATATGATCTTCGTGTAAAAACTGACTATTGTTGAAATCCTCTTGCAAGTTGATATCGCGATTGCTCGGTCGGCCACGGCCTCGAGAGCCCGCGCTACTCTGGGGGGCGTTCACATCTTCCATCTGGCCGAGCAACCAATTGGCATCTGGTGGTGGTAAAATGTTTAAGTTGTCGGCAGGGGTAATACGATCAGGAAGCATCAATGCCTCCCGATTTGGCATATTCAAATTCTCCGGTATATCATTGTTTCCAGTAGAACGAAAAGCCTACCAACTCAGTTAGCGAGGCAAGGGGTAACCCGTATGGAAAGACTAACCATTTTAATCTTGAGCAGAGCTTCGTTGCAATCATCCAGAAGATAGCGGGCCTTCCGACTGTAGATTCGGACAACACCAAGTAAGAGCTGACCACTTAAGCGGAGCGCCATCGGCGCTTGGTTAGGAGTGATGATGGCATCGACACTGTCAGGCAGATTGGATTGCAGAATGTGAGTTTTGGAGAGTTTGCGCTCCAAGTTTGCTGACAGCCAGACTCGGGCCAGAGGCCCTGTCTTCTGAAGCAAAGTCTCGGAATAGAACATCGCGACAGCGATGACGGAGTGGCTTGGAGGAGCAGAGGGTTAGGATGATAGGGAAATGCAAGGCAACCGAGTAATAATTATGACATTAAAGAAATGATAAGGGCTTTGCAGGTGCGACAACGCGTTAGGGTCGGGTCCCCTTGTCTGAGATAATGACGAAAGGCGGGAGGTATCGGGTGGTGTAAACAAGGGAATAGGAGCGCGTTGTTTTGGGCGCAGACCGCGTTGGAAGCCAGCGCTCGCACCGACTTTTGCTAGTTTGAAACCCACAGTTTAATCGGCGCGACTGATGCGCAATCGTAGTATTGCGCGCGTAAATGGGATTGAAGCTACGAGCGATAGCAAGTATATATTGAGTAGGGGTGGTGGATGTTTGCAAGGTCGGAAAGAGGGCAGATGAGTTGAATGAAAGACTGAAATTAGAAGTGGAGGGGGGATCTTTGGGGGGGGAACAGCGTAGGAAAAAGTGATTCGAGATTGGGTCGTCCACTGACCGCAAGCGAAAGATTGCTGAGCAGGGCGACTAAAAAAAAAATCATCCGTTTCCCTGCTTAAAATCCAAGTGGCTGGAGGTCTACTAGGGTACATAGTGGGGCAGCTAAGGTGAATAATCCATTTAATTGGGTTTCCTGTGACTTGGACTATGACTTTTAATTGGGTATTTCCAGGCTGCTACCTGCAGACAGTGCTGAATTGTACCTCCCCAGAAATCTTGTTGGAAAAATGATTACGAATGTAAGCTAGGACTAAACTCTTTCCGGGTCGAAATTCTGTGGCTGGTAATACTTTACATTAGGTACCTAACCTAGGTAACCTATACCTATCTTATAGTGCCTTTGTTCAACATATATATATCTTTAGAGGTGCAACTTGTGCGTCTTTGACCTTGCTTAACTTCATCTATTGAGATCATAAAATTACCATTTGGGTATAAAGTCCTACGTTAACACCTGAGTATAAAGTGTGGATAACTGCATTTATATACCAAGTTTTGAAAAGTTACTCACATCTATGTAGAGCTACATTTAAAGCCTTAAGTTGGAATAGGTACCTGTATAACTAGGTACATTAGCAATAAGTATATGAATAAGTGAGTAGGTAGGTAACATACCAGAACTGTTATCTGAAAATGCAAATACTGGCTCGTTTTATAACTTCCATTTGAGACATGAGCCGCTAACGACTTTTAGAAAACATATTTATAGCTTTATGTCGTATAACCTATAAACTTGACACCTTTATGCAGGAATCTAACTCTAAGCCGGAAACGAAACTCGCTATAGGACAAGCTATCCCCTTTTCAACGAGAAAGTCTATAGCATTAAACTATGATTTTAATATAGATTAACTAGGTTTTACAAAAGGAATCCCATCAAGCTCGGGGCTGTCCTATGCATACGCGTTATGCTTGATGCGCAACATGAACTTTTAGGTAACCTGTGACGAGTTTGTATCCCTAGGTACCTCATAAAAACTGAGGTTGTTCATGGTATGAGGCTGAAGGTCTGCAGCCACGCAGCACGCTGCACCGCTGCAACAAGGGGTTAATCTTGCCTTAGCGTGCTACGATGGCGCTAAATACTACCTAACGTTAGAGGTAGGCTCGATAAGCTTGGTAGGTACGAAATCGGCAAGCAACTTTCCAAGATCCGAGCTTGCCTTACAGGGCACTGCACTCCCAAAGTATTGGTTGTGGCCCCAATTTTGGGGGAAAAAGGTCCACCGTCCACGTCGTCCAGATGCGCATTTGGCCAAAAAGTTCGCCAGGTGCGATCTTCTTTAGACATCACTAACAGACGTCACTCTACTCAACCCAGCTCGTTAATATGCATTTTTCTACTGCTTTATATACTTCATAATTCTACGAGTACATTTTTGTTATCTTCTCAAGCAATCCTAAGTTGCTAGTGTGTTTGTTAATGTAACTAGATCTCCCCCCGATGTAGCACTGCGTTTCTGCGGTTTGCCTGTCGCCCTCGTTCCCAAGATGCCATGGCCGTGGCGCGATCGCGAGACCGATAACGAGTCACTGCTTCCTATAGCGATACCCAACATTAATGGAATAGATCGAGACTATAACCAAGATGGAGACGACTTTGATGAACGGTCGCGGTCGATCACTAGAAGATCGGGCCATGCCCGTACCACATCTGCTCAATCACGGGTAGGTTTTCCCCCCCAGGGACACCTCGAACGATGGCCCAAGAGGTTTTCGTTAATGGTTTACCAAGCTGGAATAAGCTGCTAACATATTTCATTGTTGCAGTCCGTAGCAGATAGCTTTTCTTTTCTAACACCTGCCGAAACAGCAGCGCGGCTTCAAACCTCCTTAACTTACGGCCTCTCGCCTACCGAGGCCCTCTCGCGACTAGGAGACTTTGGCCCGAACGAGATCCCTCACGATCCCCCAGATCCACTATGGCTTCGATTCATAATGCAGTTCCGAGAGCCTCTGATTATCCTACTCCTCTCCTCCGCCTTCCTCTCGATCTTCGTTGGTAATATGGACGATGCTGTCAGTATAACCATCGCTGTGACCATAGTCGTCACCGTTGGCTTCGTGCAAGAATATCGATCCGAAAAATCTATCGAAGCTCTCAACCATCTAGTTCCCAACCATGCTCATCTGGTCAGGGCGCAACCGACGCGGCCTTCGCCAGGAATTAAGAATTCAACGTGGCCTCCCGCCATTAGCGACCCCGAAGAGAAACCTATCGGATCTGAATCAGAGACGCCAGGAGAGGAATTAATGGAAGCTACGTCGTCAAAGGTCATGGCAGCCCAGTTGGTCCCGGGGGATTTGGTATTTTTCACCACGGGCGACCGTATCCCGGCTGACATTCGGATTACGAGAGCTGCCGATCTGACCATTGATGCATCGAATCTCACGGGGGAGAACGAGCCGCTAAGAATGACTGCCGATGCGCGATTCCGTAGCCATGCACCATCAGCGTTTGACCAGAGTGCATTACGACTCCCTATCCCGTCTGCCCTATCCCCCCCTTCGTATAATGGGGAAACCAAAGAAGATGCACGCAATCATGGAATTAACAATATTGCGTACATGGGAACTTTGGTCAAGTCTGGTCATGGACAAGGTATCGTCTTTGCTACCGGCGGCAACACCCATTTCGGGACGATCGCCACGAGCGTATCAGGCACTGAAAGCCCCCGTTCTCCCCTTCAAATAAGTATGGACCATCTAGGAAAACAGCTCAGCCAGATATCATTCGGCATAATCGCTTTAATTTCTTTAGTTGGGCTATTACAAGGCAAGAACCTCCTTGAGATTTTTACTATATCCATCTCGCTTGCTGTTGCTGCGATTCCCGAAGGATTACCTATTATTGTGACAGTCACCCTAGCTCTCGGTGTCCATCGCATGGCGAGGCATAACTCTATCGTTCGAAAAATGCCAAGTGTCGAGACGCTAGGCTCCGTTAACGTTGTCTGCTCTGACAAGACAGGGACGCTAACCATGAACCATATGACAACAGCGAAGATGTGGTATTTTGGCACGAAAGATCCGGTTGATGTTGATTCGGACGACGAAGCAGCAGAAAGGACGCCTAATACCGCGGTACGGGGGATCCTACGAATCGGCAATATCGCAAACAATGCGCGCCTTACTCAATCCGCTAAAACCGTACTACCAGATTCTCAAGGTAGAGAATTTGCCCCGTATACGCGATGGGTTGGGCAGCCAACTGATGTTGCAATGCTCGATTTGCTCGACCGATTTAAGGAGCACGACGTGAGGGACTCGATTGGTCCCCGAACAGCTGAGACTCCTTTTAGCTCCGAAAGGAAGTGGATGGGTGTGGTAATCGGCGCGCAACCCGGGAACAGCGACAAGGAATATGCCTATATGAAGGGCGCCATAGATAAGGTCCTCGATGCTTGCGACACGTTTCTTACTGCCGACGGCCGCGAGATTGTCATGGACTCTGTCCGGCGTCAGGAGGCATTACAGGCAGCCGAAAAAATGGCGGAAAGGGGACTCAGAGTCTTGGCGTTCGCGAGCGGTCCAGTCACCAAATCCTTCCGAAGCAAATCCGGGCATGGTGTTTCTACACGAAGTACTACGCCACTTAGTCGAGATGGGAGTCAAAGCCCAGGGCTGCCGTCTCACGAAGAATTGTATAGAGGGTTGACTTTCACCGGATTGGTAGGGATGAGCGATCCCCCGCGACCTGGGGTCTCTCGTTCCATTCGAAAATTGATGCGAGGCGGAGTCAAGGTCATAATGATCACTGGCGATTCTGCGACTACGGCGTTGGCTATCGGAAAAGAACTCGGCATGCAAATTGCTACGCCTCGTGAACACTCGTCAAACCAAATTGCGGTGAAACCCGTACTCACGGGTGACGAACTTGATGCGATGAGTGATGACGACCTCGCGGCCGCGATCCAGAACACGACTATATTTGCACGTACAAACCCCGATCACAAATTAAAAATCATTCGAGCCCTCCAATCGCGCGGCGATATTGTTGCCATGACTGGGGATGGAGTTAACGATGCGCCAGCGTTAAAGAAGGCTGACATTGGCATTTCTATGGGTTTGCATGGAACAGACGTGGCAAAGGAAGCTTCCGATATGATTCTAACGGACGATGATTTCTCTACGATCCTTCGCGCCATCGAAGAAGGCAAGGGCATATTCAACAACATCCAAAACTTCATCACATTCCAGCTTAGTACCAGCGTAGCTAGTTTAGCTTTAGTCTTCATCTGCACCTGCATGGGGTTCAAGACCCCCTTAAATGCTATGCAGATTCTCTGGATCAGTAAGTACTTCCGCTTCTCTATTATTATTCTACAACTAACACTAAATTCAAAGATATCATTATGGATGGCCCGCCAGCCCAGTCTCTAGGTGTAGAACGAGTAGATCCCGATGTCATGTCCCGACCGCCACGATCTCGAAGTGAGCCGGTGCTTACGAAGGCCCTACTTCAACGTGTTTTGACCTCAGCTGCCATCATTATGGTGGGTACCATGGTCGTATATACTCGCGAAATGCTAGATGGCGAAGTCTCACGACGGGATACGACAATGACATTCACGTGCTTTGTGCTGTTCGATATGTTCAACGCGTTAACGTGCCGGTCGGAGAGCAAATCTGTTTTCAGGGGTGAAGTGGGCTTATTTTCCAACAAATTATTCAATTGGGCAGTGTCGTTGAGCATAGCTGGTCAGCTGCTTGTTATTTACTTCCCGTGGCTCCAGGAGGTGTTCCAGACGGAAGCCTTGGGGCTATTTGATCTCGTCAGGTTGGTCGCATTGTCGAGCTCGGTGTTCTGGGCAGACGAGGCTAGGAAATGGTACAAATACGGACGGAGGCGGTTGGGCGGATACAGCCACGCGGTTTAGTAATTCTAGACGACGATGTTACATTGTGCGAGGACTGTACGTTGGATTATGCAAAATATGTAAATCTATTCATGAGTATAGATATCTATCACCATTTGTAGGGTCCGTAGAAGACATAAGTCGTCGATATTCCGCCTCGTCTTTCGGCCCTCTCATCTGTATCAGAAGCCACCTTCGCACGTCCCGTCTCCTGCGGTTATTAGCTTTCCCCATCCCGTCGTTCAGGGTGCCGCCGCATTGGTACCCACCGGTGCATATGGCCTCGTAGACTTCTTCGCCTTTTCTCCTGTCGATGAAGGTCCGAACCCCGGTGCTCCCGTTGGTCCCAGTTGCGGTTTGTTCTTTGGTGGTGCCCGGCTCTGGTTTTGCAATACTTTTTGCATCGCTTCCAGGCTTCGTGGGTACGGTTACAGCCATTCGCAGCAGAGTTGAGAGGAGTTATGCTACGCTACAACTACTTCTGGTTGTGAATTATACGTAGCACGAGGAAATTTCTATTGCTTAAGCTACTGTGCCGGACACGATTGGTATTGGTAATCAGGTAGAGGTAGCTAATTGTAAACTAATATGTTTAGGTACTCAACTATGGGACGGCGAATATGCCAGTTGAGAGCCTAGGGAGGAGATACGACACTTGTAACGTTTCCCCCGCCGTGATAGTAATATGATAATGTAAATGGTTTAAGGATGGTTCTCCTAGAAAGTATCCCACGCCGCTAGCAGCGTGATGCATCGAGTCGGTAGCTATTCGTAACCTTGTGTTCCAAAATCTCTCCAGGAGCTTTGTACAGGTACTTTGGAGTACTAGGAGAGGGAACAAGCAGTTCATATAGAAAAATATCTACATCTTCCTTTGACGAGTATATTCTAGGTTCAAGAACTTGTGTCTATCGTCATACCACTAGAGGCGGTATGCAACGCCATTGGATAATCTTTCTGTATAGACATTCTCTTAATAGGGTGTAACAACTAGCTTCAGGTAGAAACAGTTGACCTAGGAGCTGTTCGGGAGACAATGGAAGTTCTCATAATTTACGTAGCAAGGCCTTTGTGCCGTGCTCGTTAGCTTGGGTTGAGCTCCTGTTCGAGTTTCTTTCATTATACTTTGTCTTGCTGTCAACTATAGGGTTTGTGCTGTCTGTTTCTCACAATCGCTACTGAGTTCTAGCAAAAGTATGACATAGGCATTTCTCTCAAAGTCGAGCTACTCAGAGACTACATGTAGAATTTACATACTGGTTTGGTTCCAATCTGATCTTTATATACAGGTTTGTCTGTGACCATTAGAGAAGATTTTGGTGAATATAGACAATGAAGTGATAGTGACCCCCCCTTTAATTTTTAGTTATAAGAAACGTGCAACCCAATCTACCCTATAAAATATAGTTCAACATCGATGGCTCATGGTTCTACCACTGCTTCAAGGCGCATCGGTAGGATCCCTATAGCTCGTTGTCAACATAGGCTATAGTCGGTAGTATTTATTGCGCGTGACTTACCAATCCGTAACCAGTTTCTCATCAAGTCCGTCCATCGTCTCCATATCCTCCGCGGAGATCTCAAAGCCACCTACCTGCGCGTTTTCAAGCAGACGCTCGCGTTTTGCGCTCTTCGGCAAAGGAACGAGCCCGTGCTGAAGCGACCACCTATCTACCGTTAATATCGATGCCCAACGTAGAAATTCTCTCGTCGTTATAGACTTAACTCACCGAATCATTAGCTGCGCAGGCGTGCACGAATACTTATTTGATAGTTCCACGATGGTCGGATGCTTCATACGCATGGCTCGAGCTAGCGGAGCGTAGGCCTCGACGACGATTCCGTACTTGGCGCATGCGGCCCTGATCTCAGTTTGCGTGTTGAAAGGGTGTACCTCGATTTGGTTGACCGTTGGAGCAATCCTTGGCTTTGACGCTATGAGCTCTTCTATCTAAGCCCAGCTGAGCGGTTAGTCAAATAAAGCTCTCCCTAGGCAACGTCTTCCGCTTGAAAGATGGCGACTAACGTGTCTGACTCCGTAGTTGCTGACTCCACCCGACTTGACCTCCCCCTCATCGATCGCATCCTCAACGGCCTTCCAACTCGTCAGTCGAGCCTCGCGACCGCCATACGGGCTATGGAGGAGAAACAGATCGATATAGCCGAGCCCGCAGGCCTCAACAGACTGCCGTATAGACCGGCGCACGGTCTGGTAAGATGTGCTATTGCTAGCTAGTTTCGAGGTGTAAAATACGTCCAGGCGCGTGAGGTCCCCCGTACTGCCGTTAGAGCCGGAAAGGTATTCCCGGATAGCTTGCCCGGCTTCCCTTTCATTGCGGTACATCTGGGCACTGTCAAAGCCCCGGTAGCCTGCAGCCAACGCCCACGGCACGGCTGCTTTGACTTCCTGGCGGCTCATCAAGTACAAGCCCAGCTGGATCTGGGGCATGAGCTTGCCATTCGGCAGCTGACCAATTCAACGTCAGCTGAGTGAGACGGGGCTTGCGATATATTGCATTTTATAAAGATGATACATCACTTACCTTGACCTTACTGGCTAGCGAGAAGTTGCTTGGCGACATAATGGCTCCGGGTAATTAGATGCGAGGTTGGGGAATTTATAGCGCGGAGATTCATTGTACGGTTCGGAATTATTGAACTTATTAATCTATCCAAGGTACCGGGTGTTATTTCTCTTACCTCATCGACGTCGACCGTCGACGTCACACCTGCCGTACCTAACCTATGCCGAGAGCGGCCCCACCCGGAGGACGCCGAGGGGTAGATCTTCCCGCTCATTTTATGCTTATAGGTAGATATTTCTTTATTAAGATAGAAGGCATAAAAGCCTAGGATATCCCCATAATACTATTTGTGTTTGTTTTATTGCTACTAATCAAAAGTCAATAATATTAGTTCTGCCTGCCATATCCTTTTCTTAATCAAGCTATAAGAGAGGTATGCAACCTTCTTTGCTGAATACCTCCCTTTATGAGTAAGCATATCCACGATGATAGTGTGGTACTACCTACCTCTTAATATTTCATATGTGTAGCTAGACAGGTATGCAGCGGGCATGTACAGTAGTAATAGGTAATGGTGTGAGAATGCTTCAACAGCAACTCCCGGTCACGGGATGATTCCTATAGGCCGCCCAAGAGCCACCTCCGCTACTCGGCTTAACTATTGCGGCCATGATTATGCGTAGCACAGCAGTAGGAAGCTAATGTATGGTAGTATAAAAGGCAAGCCTGACAAAGGTAGGTAGGGAGTCAAATAGGTAGGTAGGTACATGTAATACTGTCAAATGCAAGACACGACATGTCATGACATGATATGATATAGTCACATAGATGAGGAGAAAAGTCTTGGTTCCTGGACCTAGCTCCGGTGAATGTTTAAAGAATTCACCATCGCCCTGTATGTTTCTATTCAACCTTGCGGAGATCAAGAACCAAAATAGTACCTAATGTATGGGATTCTTGGGCATGATTGATGGACCTCAGGTCTCTTTTATCGCTATCGGTGAAAAATAATATGTGGCTGTCGCGCTGTGATAGGTTCTACTAAACGTGGCTAGTACTAAAATTGGGATTCTTACTGGAAAAGTTAGGTTGTATCTTTGTACCACAGCAGCGACCTTGTAGGCGTTGCATAGGTAAGTCCAAATCACGCCAAGACTCATTCAGGCAAGAACGCACTGGTCGCTGTTGTTCTGTCCGTCATCCGTACCCGCCTTTGCCTTGCCTCGCCTCGACGATTTCCTTTACGCATGAACTCATTCCACCTCTCGCCATTCTTTGTACCAACGAACATTTTGCTAAGCATCGCGTCTCCGCCATTCCCTTTACGCTACGTACAGTCCTCACCGTCGCTTTGCGCATATAGGCCAAACACGCACTACCGAATACCATTTATTTTTTAGAGGGACCAAAGAGGCATTATTAATTCTGTACCTCGTATCCCCTCGACTTTTTGAATTTTACGACGAGAACTCCCATGCGAACAGGACAAAGACACTAGAAAAACCAGACTACATCGAAAGGAGACCTCGCACCCCCCTCGCCGACGAAATATACACATGCCTCAGAGCATCAGAGCATCGATATCTCCCGCTTGTTTTCCGATCGATATCGCAGAGGCCCTGGTGAGCCCAACTTCAGTCTCGCGCCGCGCCGGCGGAAGGGGGTTCGAGGCATATGATGCCTGGTGTCGTCATGATGGAGAACGGCGTTCGGGCGTCGCTACCCACAAATCATGACAGAGACCACGGTCAATTTGTTAACGGCAACGGGAATCACGCACCTCAATCCGCTCCTGACCGACACAATGGCAATGGCGTTTCTACCGGGGCCGGGGCTGGGGCTGGTAGCAATAACGGAGCAATCTCCATGGCGAACAGGAAAGAACACGGCGACGCGGCGAATGTAGCGCAGCTACAGCGAACAGGCTCTAATCCGTCGCGTATGAACGACCTCCCAGATGAGATAAAGCACATTACAGATGGATTCATTCCCTTGAGTGTGCTGCTGTCGCGACTCGCGCAGAAAACCCACAACCAGCTAGCGGATGAGATCGTTGCTTTGGCTAAGATGCCGGCGCCGTCCTCTGCTGTTAACGGCAATTCCTCACACGGTCCCGCCATAACAGACGATACTTCACCCGAAAATCTCAGCAAGAAGACTAGAATTCTAAACTTCATCCAGGATAAACACGCCGAATGGGTAAAAGCGACAGTGATTGCGAGATGGAGCAGGAACGCCTCATCTGTCAGCAGTCTGATCGACTTGCATTCTTTTATCAGAATGGAGCAGAAGAGGTACTTTGATATTATGGCCATTATGGCAGATCATCGATGGTCCCTGGCCTTCGCGCGACTTCCAAACCCCGACCTGCGAACTGCTCTCCACGTACTTTCCACCGGAACCGCCCCCTGGATGCCGGACCTCAATTACATTGACCCTCCTCCTCTGACTCAAAAAGAGCAGCTGCAATGGATCGAAAACCTGAACACGCTACTTTCGATTCGACTGAATTTAGAGGACTATGATAATATTCCTTACCATTTTCGAGACTACACCATCGATTCTGGGCGCGTCACCTTCAAGGTTCCTGGTGAGTTCGAGGTAGACCTCACAATAGCCGACGAGGACTTCGAGAAGCAGTTCTGGTTCATCGACTTTCGGTTCGATTTCACCCCGGCACCCTCTGAGCTATCCGACTCGATGAGAATGCATTTGGAAGGCAAAGTCAATGAGATGCTAGAAAAAGAAGGCCTCAGGGGGTGTTATAAATTCCTCCACGAGCTGGTGCTAACTCACAAGATTACGGAATACCTGCGCCAAGCTTTCGAGCTGAATAGGGATCGTTGGGTGGATACCCTCAAGGTCGAGCGGCTTAACCGGGCTTTGGCTATTCAATATTGGGTGGGCCGCTACCCGCCGGAGGGCCCGAAGAGTTGGATTATCTTAGGTGTTAGTACCGGCAAGAAAGCAGATGCACCCGAGGATCCTAAATCGACGAGTCATCTTACCTTACGTTGGTTTAGGGATAGTAAGGAGGTGAAGGACGTAGAGGTTCCACTTGACGATGCGGTTATCTCAACGGAGGATCTTTTGAACCGTGTCATCGGAAGGCATATCGGACATATCCTTGGCTCAATATACTCCAAGTTAAAACCGAATGGACGATTTACCAAGCGGGAAGCCGGCCTTGCTCTAGACGTACAAAAGGACGACCCGGCACAATCGTCGCTCAGGGTGCAAATAGGTTACGACCACTATCTGACCGTTAGAGTCAGCCCCATCACCGGATTGTTCTCGATGAAGCCGCAGTCGAGCATGTCTTGGAAAGGAGAGCACAGGTTAAACTGGCTGTCGAAAGATCCTATCCAAGACGGGGCTGTCTGTGTAGAAGGTGTAAGATGTCACTACGTCGTCGACGAAATTATCCGACGCGGGAAGAGCACAGGCTGGTTCGTCTGCAAAGCGCCCGTGAGAACGGAGGCTGTTAAGGAAGCATTAAGGTCACGGGAAGTCGGCCAACTTGTGTGGCTCAGGCGGCGTGGTTGGACAGACCAGTGGTATTTGATGGTAAACATGAGCTTAAGCGGGGATATGTGGTGCTTGACGGAAGTGTAAGTTTTGAAGACCGTCCCTTTCTGAGCCTACGACTAATGAAATATTGCACAGCTATAATCTTCCTACAGGAGACCCGCGATTCTCATCATTTACCAAGTTACCGTTCAGCTCTTACATGCCAAACCTCAAAAACAAGTTCTTCTCCAACTTAACCATCTTTACTGCTGCTATAATATCTCATATAACGGACATGAGGACCCTCCATCAACGACGAGTCAAACACTCCACTTACGCTGGAATCAACTACGCACTCCCCCCGGGCTTGAAGGTTCCAGCCATCTTTCTAAGGCTTACGGATATATTGAGGCCACCCCAATCGAACGAGCCCGGTCGGCGAATTGCATCTTGGGCACATGACTACGTGCAGATTATGTTCAGAGGCGCAAGTGGCCCGTCTACTAAACCGCAGATTTCAGACCGTCATTTAATGGCTGTTGAGGGTACCGGGGGAAATGCATCGTTGCAAAAAGAGTCTTTGCATATATTCCTAGAAGCTCGGATTCAGGTTTCCAAACCTTCTAGGTTTGGCCTGCTTAAGGGACATGTTGAACGGGATGTGGCATATAGCAGACGGTTAGGGGTATTTGCGCTTCGTCTGGAGGAGAAAATTGGAGGCACAATGCTGGACACACTTGCTCAACGCCTACAGGCCATTGATAAGCTAGCCGACTGCATCGATGCGATACGCCAAAGCGACAGGGACATCCAGTGCGAGGAGATTACACTTACAAAGATCGTGGTTAATTATACAGACCGACTAAAATCGGAGGCCGGTACGGCAGCGCAGCTACATGGTCCCCGTTGGAAGGCGACGTTAGAGTTAGGTCCGAACGGAACTAGGCTATTGTTCGACAAGGGCAATCCCCAGCTACGCGCCTTGGATCTATTCCGACAACTTGTCAATTCGGACCTTCGTTGCGAGAAGTTACCATTTTTCTTATCAAGCACGTTGCCAATCCATCGTGCTTTAGACTCAGTCGAGGATGCTTGGGCTGGTCTCGAGACGAATAATCAAGGTCGCGTCGAAGTGTTCGTAGCGCACCTGGATTGGTTCGATATACGCTACTATCTTCCACCGAGTAGGAATTCACACGTCACGCGCCGTTTGACGTTACAGATCCGACTCCAAAAACGTCGTGATAGCGTTGAATGGGTAATGTCCCGCGAGGAAGCCGGCGCGGTAAAGAAACCCGATGACGAGTTTAAGCAGGCACTCGAAAAGGTCTGGAATGCAGATAATAAGGTGTGGCATTCTTTGCTTGACGCGGCTGCGTGCAAGACGGACCACCGCGTGGGAGATATGATTAGAGCCGTAGACGAAAGCGTTAGGCGGCTCTTGACGCGCTCACCAACGCTTTTAAAACAGAACCATCCCAAAGGCCAGGTACCGGCTAAGAACCCAACCCAGGCTATGTATCATAAGGCGATGGCAGCCGGTAGGGTTCGAATGCAGACGGACCAAGTCGTGGTATTGGATGACTAGGCGGCGGAAGAGGAAACAAATTAGTGATGGCGTAGGGAGCAAGCAGGTATACGACCAAAAAGTTTTAGAGAGACTGCGATGTGAATCGGGGATGCCGGCCATACTTGAGATACCCTTAGGAAACAGAGGCATGAGGCGACAGGAGAGTTGCCTCCATCGCCCGAAAGTCACAAATGAAATTATTAGTAATGATTATATTCTCCGGACGCTTTTTCTTCTGAGCGGTGATGCGATGACTTTGACGAGTGTATGCGTTGTGGATGCTCAGAAGTAACTAAGGTAAAGATTGTATTTGTCTATCCGAATTTGGTTAACGAAGACGGGGAGGACAACCGAAACTACTAATAAAATCTTCCTATAACTACTAGGAACATGTAAGGTTGACGGCATCTACTCTCCTTTCGGGTTGAAACCAGAACCGATTGAATAGCGGTTTCGCGGCGACGGACCGTGCTATTTAAGGCCCTGTAGTTTTAGTATAAGTTATACCTAATCCAGGCGCTACAAATGTAACCTTGGGAGCATGACAGCCATATGATAGCCCCCTTTAGCCGTTTATGGTTCATGTCAGGGTATCCGTATCCGTGTTTCTATTAGCTAAAGCTGAGTACGAGGTAGGTAAGATAGATATATGTAGGTAAATATCGTAGACTGCCGATATTTACGTTCGAAATAATTAACAATTCGACTTGAAGATATTATATCACATCGAAACTTTGCAGGCTCAGCTTGAATAATGTCGTGTAAGTTCTATGTTATACATACGGGCCTAACCTCTGATTTGCCCTTCTCATTCCCGTTCCTGTTCTGTTCCTGTTCTGTTCCTGTTCTGTTCTGTTCCCGTTCATGTTCCTGTTCCTGTTCCCCCGCAGCGCAGCCACCCGCGAGATATCGCTATCGCATCTTCAGCTGCATTAGTGCTATTATACACAATATACCCTCATTATCTACATCACACTCGTAAATCACTATAGACATGCACACACGTATATACATATTAGCTACTTAGATAGCTATGTAGCTATTGTAGAATAACCAAACGACTAACCCTCCGGACTTAAGTCTTCACAGGAACGACCAAGCTCGTTAACACCTCGCCGATCCCCTCCGAGGGCCACGCCCGCATCACTAAAGCCGCCGCCGTCGAGCTCCTACACGACCACGTCTTCTATCTCAAGTGCGAGCCGCACTACGTCTCGCACCGGGATCTACCCCCCACCTCCACCAGCACCGACGCCGCCGCCGCCAAATCAGCATACCAGCTGCCGCGGGACCTGGAGCCGTTGGGCGAGCCCGCCGTCAAGCTATACGAGGTCGTGGACCATGTGCCAAACCCGGCGTGGAGCTCGAGCGTCGTGAGCAACGAGGAGTTTGTGGACTTCAAGGATGGCTTGTGGGTGAGGATTCGCAGCCCGTTGTCGGTGGTTATGGAGACTAGGTGGACGATACGGGAGAGGAAGGGCACGGGGGATAATGGGGAGGGAGAGGGAGAAGGAGAAGGAGAAGGAGAAGGAGAAGGAGAAGAAGGGGGGCTGGAGCTGGTGGAGGATGTTACGATTAGTTGCTCTAAGCTGCTGCTAGGCATTGTGAAAGGCCAGGTTGATAATAATTGGAGGGAGATACATAGGAAGATTGCTGCGAGGTTGGTTGAGGATGCGAAGAAAGCGGAGGGGGAGTGAAGGAATGAGGTAGATGATAGTAGATAGACGATGAGGAGAGGATGTGCATCTGTTTAAAGGCGTATATAGAATAGTTTTATATAGGATATGATGCAGGCCTGCAGCTAGTAACTACCTCATAACATTAACCTGAACTGATCCGTATGCAACAGGGTCAAGGTAAAGAGTAAGTTGTGTATATCCTTAATCACCCACATAGGTATCTAGCAAAACAAACAAAAGCAAACAACAGAGCGGAAACGGAACAAAAACTAAATGAAAAATAGCAAAAAATTGAAAAAATAAAGTTGCCAGCTGCAGGGTTCGAACCTGCGCATCTCTCGATAATGGTGTTCAAGATCTTGAAGACTTAAAACCACCGCCTTAGACCACTATTACGGATTTGTTAGTGCGTGATTTTTTTTCTTTGTTTTGGGAAAGTTCTGGTAAAAACATACCTCGGCCAAACTGGCTTGATTGCAGTAATTGCTTTACGTTCTTATCATGCCTTAAGTCTACGCATTTGCAGTCAGCCAATCAACGCTCCCCCTTTATCAGGTACTTGGGTACATCCGTAGGTTAGATTTATCCCCCTTTTCGATGAGGTGCTGAATTACCAGACTGCGCATCAACGCCGGTTGATGATAGCTACTTATATATGCATCTTGTCTAGGTTTACGTACTCATTTTAATGTAATCATTAATTTAGAATTTACTATTCGTGCGTACGAATAGGACCACAGCTTAGAATGCCAGGCTCGATGCAGACATCACGCAAAATACCATGCCAAACTATGTATCATTGCGTGCATTTCCGCTGCCCGACCAAAAGTAACTAAGATGGTATATGATAACTCAAATAACGTAGCCGTGGATCTCGGGGGTCTTGAATGCTACGTCATATAACCAAGCCCGGAATGAAGATAGCCCAGGCAATACTCGAGAGCTTAAGTTTGGCATTCGCACAATAGCCAGGGACGTAGAGATGCTACTGTGCTTACTCGGGGCTGTGTTTCTTAGTAGTCATGAGGCAAGTTGAGGATTGATGTGTATAAATCCGTACTCTAGGAGATTTGAGTATAATTTGGAATCCTCGTGACTTGACACAAGTTCTTAGTTACGGTCGATCCCTATCAGTAATCTAGTTCGACACTATACGCTGGGTTGGAAGATGTATTTCTAGTCCTGGATAACGGCGTGCTGGTAACTTGACTAATAGCGAGAGAATATAACCGACTTCAATGTTCTCGGAGCCTTGACATGAGCTATTATCCCTCAGGATACGATTTGATAAAATGTTAACGGCTTGTACTTTCTAGGGTCCTTATACGAACTCGATGTATTTACGCGTTACATGTCGTCCTTTGTGTATTCGGTTACTAGCCAAGGTAGTTGTTATTAATAACTTTAGCCTTTTGCTCTGGTAATAAGTTGCTAGAAATATGTATTGCGAATCATGATTCATAGTTCCTACCTTATTCGTATCTACTTGGGAAGTTGCTAAGAGAAGTAAAACAAGCTGAAAATCCCGAGTAGAATGTTTCGTATAGCGACATGGCTGTGAGGTCAAGCAGTGTTCTTCAAAATGAGTGCTCTTAGGAATATCCCGCAGTTTTCTACTCGCGTTACGCCTTAACGCTACTTTCCTATTTAAAATATAGCGAGACACATAGCTACGTGCTATAAGTTAAGCGCCACTAGACTGCTAAGCTTCAGTAAGGTATTTTGCGAGTACTAGATAGGGGTAGTCCTCTTTGGAAGTATGGTTAGGGAGTCCTTCTAGCTCCATTGTATATATCGAAGGCAGTGAAAAGTTACTAGAAAAAGGGTCTGGAGCGGAACTAGTTAGTTGTAACGCAACATTCTGACCTCGAAAACTGCTAATGAAGGTCATGCCCTGGCGCCAACTCCCCTCGCCGCTGAAATCCGCACCTACAGCTGCGGAAGCAGAAGCGGCCGCGAGCTCCGACTAAGTTCGTCAGTATCGAACGACTCGTCGCTGTCGAGACGGTTACGACGACGAGTTCGCAGGTAATTCCTAGCAAGATCCAGGGGTCATAGCCGGGTTTTGCAGAGGCAGAGGGACATCAGACGAACACTCGCAGCATGTCTATCTCGCAGATCTATGTAGCATATGCACGTCAAGTTTCAACATGACCTACCTATCTCAATTGCTTAGGTAGACCAAGGAAATCCATGTAGGGCTGTGCAGGTATGGGTACGGCGACGGAAGGAAGCCGGTACATATCAGGGTTTCTGCCTGCCGGGGAAGATCAAGGTGGGCTTGCATATGCGAGACGCCGACCACTAGCAGCATGGCGATAGGTTTGAGATCAACTAACTAACTACGAAGTCAAACTAAGGTTACTTATTAGGTCGCCTCAAAGAATCACGAGACCTATGATATCTTGCTTGTCGTTATTCCGAGCTAGGAAGACATTACTACGCAAGGATTGACGAGGTATACCATTGGGATTACCCCACCGAAAAAGAAAGAGTCGCGGTTAATCTTTGTGAGGTCCTTCGTAGGGTTCAAATAGCACGAACTGGATGTTTAAGAAAGGCTACGGCACATGACTTGGCGAGACTGCGGCAACGGTTGAAACGGTAGTGCCGGTGTTGCTCTCATCCGAGATAGGTTAAACGGTGCTTTAGGTATCGACTTCGGGTATCAACTTCGGGTATCAACTTCAGGTATCAACATCCGGCTCGGTCGATTTAGTAAGAGATATTCAAAAGTCCAGAACTACGGAAAATTAAGCACGTAAATAGAAAACCCCTTCGCAACTATGTTTCGAATCCTCCACGCTATGATTTACAAAGCCTCTCTCCGTCAAAGCGGCCAGGTACTACCAGCGGTCTAATATCCGTTTCCGAGTGGTTCGCGTGTAAATATTGCATATAAATATTCCGACGCTCCACTCGCCATGGCAGAACGGGGAATAGCTCTGGCTTAAAGCGGTCTTGCGCCGGTATTATGAAAATCAAGAGACGGACCGGACGCTAGGGCTATGAGCGAACATATCGGGCAGCAGTATGTAGGTAATCTTACGGATTACATGAAAACGAGATCCATATTCTACGAGAATAATATCGTTTGCTATCTGTGCCGTATGGCTGTTTGTGCAATGGGAACAGATCGTCGTTTACCTTTGGCCAACTCATTTTCGTCTTGTAATGTACTAACGGAATGGCAGAGTTTACAAGTGACATAACGGGTAAAAGAACGCGAGCATTCTGCTTGTCGATCTTTCTGCAAAGGGCTCTGCCGTGAAGTTAAATTCTTGGCATAGGTATCTCATCAAGTTGCTCTAGAGGAGCGTTCAGAATGTAACCGCAACAAGAGCAAACGCGCAGCAATGTCCGCCATGGTGTTGATTGCGACGAACAAGGTAGAATAAGGCTTAGGCTAGGATATTGCCGTGATAGGAGTGGGAATCATAGGACGTGCGCGATCTGTACCTACTCCAGATGAGGCCATCACGATGTCGCCAAGAATAAGATATTCCACCCCGCATAACGTTTTGAGAAAGATTCGCTGAGAACCCCTCATCGCTATTGCGTAGGTACATTAAGTCTCATGAAGCTTACTTACATAGTAAGCCATGTCAACAGTGCAGGAGACGACGCAGATGTTGAATATTTAAACCATTAGGGGGTTGTTCCGTTGGCCTGGCGAACAGACCACGCGAGAAATTCCCCTGCCGTTTGTGGATGCCGGACCCTGCAGGCGCGCAGCGGCAGATAGCCATTACGACGTAATTAATAATATATGCACTACAAGTTGCATCGCAGCAACAAGCGTTGTTTATCGTTGTTTATCGACGAAATGTTCCTGCAGCAGCGTATCACTGTAACACGAGTTTGGACATGCGGATTTTCTTATCGGCTTGTGAACCTTGGATCATATAGGGGTCAGTGTGCATGCAGCTCGATATGCCACCATGTTACGCTCTTATTGACTTTGCTCGTCTGTTGTCCGTGCACTGCTGCTACCTATAAGGCAAGTGTAGAAGAGGTAGTGTAGAAGTCAAAGTAGTACCTATGAATTTAAGGATACGCTGGCGCATATATCGTAAAGTAGAAGAATGATGGTAGGTATCAGCTCGTAATTAGAAATAGAAAATAGGAGAAATGTTTTTTTGTAGATAACATTTGCGTACCTGTATGAGGCATAGTGCATTAGGCTATCTCCGTTTTTTATAAGTATCTGAGAGAGGTATCATCTTAAAATTTGCTGTACGGAATAGCGTTACCGTTTATGGTGTACATAAGGAGTACGCGACAGGGATGTGAAGAAGGGGCACTTTCTCTAGCTTCGTTCCCTGGGATTTTCTGCCTGTCTGCAAGGGAAGATGGGCATTATGAACCTTGAACCACGCATCTCGGCCAGTTAAACAAGGATGTTAAACAAGGATGGAACGGACTCGAAAGTAACGCTAATGCCACGCTAATGCCACCGGCTGTCATTATGTACTGCCTATGGCTATGGCTGCCACCTGTCACCTGCCGCCATGCGGCCCGCCACTTCTTGCCTGAGGTCAACTTGGCCCTGCCTTTTTTGACACTTTCCACCCGCCACGAATTCATAGATGATAGAATTCGATCCCTTTTCTACGCCATGTCATTTTCTTCTACCGCTCGGATCTTGACTCTTTCCGGTTCGTCATCAGTTCCATCCGTATCAGTCTAGCCCGCAAAGAGAAATGGCTTCTAGCTTAGTGCGTTATGTACGACACATTGCAGCAAACAGTAAGAGTAAAAGTAAGAGTGGTGGAAGAAGAAATCAAGTCGACGGAAACGGAATGGCTTGAATGTTGACTTCATCCTGAACTTGGTTGTCCTAGGTTGTCATACATTTGCTTGCTAGGTCTTGTAGGTCTTGCAGGTCTTGCAGGTCTTGCTGGGTATTACGTTGTAGTAGCATCGTGCTCCAGCCTCTAGCCCTCTAGACTTTGGCATCTCATAATCCCTGACCTTTCGAGGGTTCTCTTATTCCATGCCGGTGTCGATCACTTTCCTCACACGAACCCACACCCAATCCAAGGCTAGCCTACAGTCCTGCGGGCGGATGCTTTGACCTCATCAAAGTAAATTTACACACGATACCCCAGACTTAAACGGGGACAGGGCACCAATATCCAACTCGTGGGTACTCGGAAATTGTAAGATTAAAATATACATAGAGATGCTACCCGGATATCTCCTTTGTATATCTCGTCTGTCCTTTTGCTTGAGACACTGTTCAAAAAAATACATTCTTTTTTTTGCTTCTGACAGTTCTGACAGTATCTGCGTCAATAGGGACAACCCCCCTGTTCCACATCTGCAGCAACTTTGCTTCTCTTTTTCGAGTTTATTGTTAGATATACTTTCGTACAGTACGTAAACCTGGCCTCGTTGGCTTTCGTTTGTGTCGTCATCTTAAACTCTCGGACTTTGCTTTCTCAATCGATTCCACAAACTTGAGAAGTGAAGGGTGCTTGTGTCAGATCCCCAGCCTGCGCTTATCGACTTTGTATTTTCCAGCCGCCTCAGAACGGCACGAAGGGGTCCAAAAACGGGTCAATTTTTATCGGCATTGGAGGACATCGGATTCCATTATTGGATTAGGGGTTGATTAAAAAAGCGGAAATATCCTGACTGAATAGTTTCCGGGGATACGTCTCTTGTGACTCGGTTAACTTGAGCGTTGTCGTCGATCCGGGTTTGCTCGGAGTCGCCACAGGGACGGTTGACGCGTCAGGGACCTCGGGAGTTGCTTGGAAAATAACTTAAGACCACTCCGGTATTTTCGAATTACAGCTGTCATCTTAGTCCGGAGCCTCGACCATCGTCTGTCATACCCGAATATCCACCATCAAATACATATCGGTCTCACAGATTTCCAGCTTGCTCGATATACAGACCCACGCGCTTCGCCACTATTGTGTGATTCTCCGATGAAAACCTAGTCGTGCTGCCTCAATTCTCGGCAGCCTGCATTGTCGATCGACTTCACTCTCAGCTGCTGTCTCACTCTTGTCACTCTTGGTTCAACATCGGATAACGGGACGAGTATATTCACGTGGGCCCTCGCCGAATCCAAGACGCCATCATTATCACACCACGATTGCAACCACGTTTGCTTCAGCAACAGGAATCATGAGTGGTCTAATACCGTTGCTACTACCAACTTCCGCGGCGTATAAATCAACCATTGGCTCTACTACAGAGATAAACCGAAGAGCTTCACTGGCTCCGTCTTCATTTCCATCTCCACCATCATCTCCACCATCATCCCTAATTCATCGCCGGCAACAGTCTTTACCATCCATTAGGACAGCAAGACGAGGTTCTCTTATTCAATCACCCACCTTATCCATTATTCCATCCACCCCATCGGAGTGGAAGAATGCTATAGATGAGGTCAAGCGAAAGTATCTTAACCACAAGTACCGAGCATGCTCAGCAAGATGCTGCGAGATTATAGATAACCTCAAAGACACATCCGATGTGGAGCCTCTTTACTTAATTTACTTACACTTCTATGCCGCCTCCTCTTTCGAGCTTTGCGCCAGGCCACTATCGTACTCATCCACTTACCGCACCAGGTTACTTAGCGATGCCGAGATCCACTATGGTAAGGCCGAGGCGTTGATCCAGAACGCGGAGGAAAACATAACTCGAAAGACAAGATCTACGTCGTCATGCTCCACTGCTTCTAGCCTACACTCCCCAGAATTGTCGCCTAGTGTACGATCATCAGTCTCAAGCACGACATTTTCATCACCTAGGTCATCGGTATGTTCAACAGGAGACGAGGCCGTGATAAAGCCAAGTCCGAAATCAGGGGTCAAGGCTAAGAAGAAGGTCTCTTTTTCCGGACTAACCGATCTTATCGAGTTCCAACCTGAACCATATATTCGCCCAGACAGCCCTACCTTGGGATGGGAGGATGACATCTTTCCTCACCACTCGGATAGCTCTCTTCCCCTATTCTCAGCAAACAAGTTGAAGTCGGCACCTTTGTCGAAATCCGAGCCTAAAGAACCAGAACCGCCTTTCGAACCACAACCTACAATACCAGAGCGCTCCGTACCTCGTGATTCCCAGTCTGTAGAGGAGTTAAGCATCGCAGACGACAAATTCGATCTCGACGCATTCTTGCAGACACGTTCAATGAATAGGATGTGTGCACAGCTTTCGGCCTTGCGTTCGCAAATCTCCTGGCATCGCGACGGAGTTCAGGCTTTGCTCGCTGGACCTAATGATACATCGGAGGTACCTGCGCCAGCACTACCAGAAGATGTTTCCCCTATACCTTCGTCGCCCCTTGGTGGGATGCGACTACCTCGTGCGAATACTCTGCCCGTTGAGGCTGGATCAGATTCGCTACCATGGACAACCTCTGGTCAACGAGACCGCTTCACCGACTCACCCGGCCCAGACAGTCCCAGAGCGATCATCCGACCGGCATCTGCAGCCTCAACTATTCGCTGTACCGACGAAGCTCTAAAGCAACGCATAGAGCGCCTGCGCGCCAACGGCTGGCAGAGGAAGCGATTCGATAGCAGACGATACGAAGCCCTGCGAGAACAGGCCCTTGGTGAACTTGCATAGGATGCTCTTCGCACCAAGCACCTTATCCGACAGCGCAAATCTTGGCTTAAAAACCGAATAGTCATTGCCAGCTTCACATGTGCTTGACCATAGCCACTTAGCTCAGACACCGAACTCTTTACCCACCCGTGTATTAGAAAGGGGGAAAGATTATGCTTGATTCGATTCTTGCTTTGTATATTGCACACCATTAGTACATTTATTTCGTTTGTTTCAAGGAAGGGGGGGCGGAAGGGAAGGCAAAGGAGTGACACGGAAATAGGAGTCAGGAGTCAAAACTGCATGCGACGAAAAACCGACGGGGAAGCATGTTGTTTTTTCATTCACCTGGTAATCATTATACCCGGCTATGAGGCCACCCAAAGCAAACCAACGGGACGGGCACAATCTGCCAAGATGAGGAGGACGAGAGGCGGAAGTGAATATGCCTGTGAGGAGAAGCTGTCCTTGCGGAGACATGATGAATTTGGCACGAGGAAATGTATTTGTACGTGTATGTCTGTTGTCGTTGTTACGGGATTACGATTCCCGTCATGTTCCTCTCTCTGTTCCCGCTGGACCGAACGAGAAGGGAGAAGGGAGAGGGGAGAAATATACATTTAATGATTTACGTTATTACACGTATACGTACATACCGACTTAATTATCAAATAATCCTGCCAAACGCTCCGTTCTTATAGCCGTGAAGTAAAGAATCAATCAACTAAAGCGTGCGTAAAGATACGAACTATACCATGCCACAGCTAAACTCAAGAACTAAGATGGGGGCAGAACTGATCTCGCCACTTTCAATTACCTATTCTGACCTAGGTTACTCTACTCACTAGGTAGTATCCCCTATGATATCGAAGAAAATAATCAACACACGTCCGTGGCGCATTAATAAACCGTCAGCAACCGCAAGAGGAACTAGACGAAACGAAGAGGAACGGAATATTTGATAAAAGCCAAGCTCAACAAGCACTGACCGAACGCGAAACGGATATCAGGAGGAAAGAGGAATAGAAAAGAACACGAGGAATTTCTGCTTCCCCGAACGAATAGCCAACCACTTCTTCCGTCTTGTCAGCCCTGCTATGCATTGTAATGTCTCAGTTATGACAAACGATTTTCATCATGCCGTCCTTGATATCTTTCCATTCCCATTGCCCTTCCAAGTATGAAAGGGGGTATCTATTATATCGCTAAGATGCGTCTAGCACAATTTTGGTTTATTTGCTCAACCCTGGAAACTCTTCCGCTTCGCCTCCTTTTCTACTTCTTCCGTGACCTTTAGGGTCTGCTCCTGCTCCTTCATCTCGCGGACTTTAGCCAGAACCACCTCGCGGAAGATGGCACCCTTCATTGCGCGTGTGAGCTTGCCCTTGCCGGTCTCCTGCTTCGGTGACGTGGGCTTGTCTGATCCTTGGCTGGCTGGAGCTGCTGAATCCTCGGCAAAGTCGGGGTGCTCTGGGTCGTCTTCTTGAATCTTGAGCGCCTCGATACGGTTTGTCAGTTTGACGAGTTCGATGCCACGACGGAGTCTTGCCTTGGCCATGTAGGCCTTGATCTCGGGAAGTAAGTTGTGGTCTGAGGCGTTTTCGCCGCTGAGCCAGGGGTGCTTAAGTGCTTGCTACAGAGATTATTAATACGGGGGCGTAGAAACTGGGGTGGAAGATGAGCGCGACATACCTTGCTGGACCACCTGTCTTCCGGATTCGGTTGCAAGAGGCGCATAATAAAGTCCTTCGCATCGTCACTCACATCTCTCCAGTAGCGCTCATGGAAGACCACTTTCCCATTACTGCATTCGTCGATCAAATCCTGCAGGTTTTCGGAGCGGAAGGGAGAGTAACCACAGAGAAGAGTGTAAGTAATGACACCCAACGACCACATGTCCACAGGCTTGCCATGACCTTTCTTCAACATGACCTCCGGTGCTGCGTAACCGAAAGACCCCGCCATTGTAGTTAAGACCTCATCCTTGGTATCAAGCATCTTTGCAATTCCGAAATCTGCCAAGACCAAGTCGGAGTCGGGGTCTTTGCTGAGGTAGAGGAGATTCTCGGGCTTAAGATCTAGTGGCATACAGTTAGATAACTATTATATAGCTACTGGCGGTGCTGTTTTTGCTACATACCTCGGTGTACTACGTTCCTGTCGTGGAGGTAGCTGACGGCGTCGAGGACCTGCCTGATGGTCTGCGAAGCGTCCTTCTCTGTGAACTTGCCCTGTTCGCAGATGCGATCGAAAAGTTCACCGCCGGTGGCGAGTTCGGTGACAATGTACCATTTATCCTATACGTAACAGGGTCAATTGAAGTCTGCTCGAGAGCACTTATACTTGGATTAGTAGGACATACCCTTGACTCAAACCAATCCACGAAGCGAACAATGTGAGGGTGTTTGAGACGCTGGAGCATATCTAGCTCGTCCCAGACCATTTGCTCGTTCCCCTTGACATTTTTCTTGAGGATGATCTTAATAGCGACCTTGCCATTGGGGCCATCTGCTTCGCGCACGATACCGTATGTGCCCGCACCAAGGGTTCGACCAAATCTGTACTTCGCTTTTCTTTCGTAACTTTCTGGCTGGCCTCGAAGGCTGCTAAACATCGCGTTAACTATAGGGGTGTTGTGGTTAGTAAAGAGTGGTGGTTAGATTGGCATTATACACTCAACGCTTCGACGAAGGGATCGAGACCAGCAACGAGCGAATCGACGAGGACATAGCCGAGACAACCTTGTTGTTTTTCCCTGAAATAGAGAGGGGAGACACATTGGATTAGGCATTGGGGGCTGAGATGACAAGTGAGGATTGTAGAGAGAACTCACAACTCATTGCGACGTGGGGTAAACTGAACAGGGAGAATCGATGAATGGTGAGGGGCTTCCTAGGTTGGTCGTATGCTATTTTGGCCGATAGGTTCGTGGAGTCGAAAGGAAAAAGGAACGATCCCCTCTCAAAGAAGGGGAAGGAGAAGGAGAAGGAGAATAGGAAGTTAAGTAGAAAGGATCGAAGTTACAGAGAACGAAAGCACAGGCCGTTAAAAAGACAACGAGGCTTCAGCTGCTCTAGATAACGTTTTCTGTAATGTATGCAGGTCAGAGATATGTATGTTAGGTACAATACATGTACGGTAAAGAGGTAGGTATTGGGCTTGAAAAGTGAATGAATGAATGAATTGCAAGCCGCAGGTGGATTGTCAGATAGGTAACAGGGTACCTACCGAATGGTGCTAGTTCGGGTACGGGTACGTGGATTTGATGTAAAATACCATATAATACGCGTATACGTAACTTGTACTCGTACTTGTTGTAAATTATAATAAGGTAGTTAATAAATGTTGTACTATGGGGTAAATCTGTAAGTGGTAGAACTTAAGAAGTGGCCCCCCTCTGATGGTTCCGCCTGATGGACCCCTCCTCTTAATTATTTTAGGGTACCTAGGAACAGCTGAATTTTGATCGACTCTTATAAAACTGGATCGAGGGGCTTTCCGCTTTCCGCTTTCCGTCATACAGTTGCCGATGTTTGCCGTATTAATTTGATAATCACTGGTACTGAATAATCACTTGACGTGGAAGATGAGGTAGTTTGTGTAATTTGTGGACATAAAAAGAGTTGAGAGACGGGGAGAAATATATCTATCTGTATCAGCTGTACGAAGTAGCTAGATGTTAGGTCCACAAAGGTATGACCCTACAATCCCATGTGTTCAGGTGTTTTGCAGGTAACACCCTAGCTGGGTAGGCTGAGTTTGGAGGTAACCCTTTTGTGTTTAGTCGCCTCTCTGTGATATGATTATGATATATTCGGAAAAAGCCTTGCCGGGTACCTTGCCCAACTAGGTGGGGTTGTGAATACCGCGTATTGCATTGCGCCTATCGAGAGGCAGCTTGTGCATCCCAGCATCGTCGCCAGTATTGCTGATGATATTAGTTATTAAGTAACCCTCAATAGCGTATGTGTTAGGGCGGCTCAGCCGCAATATTGGGGCAGTCCCAGCCCAATAACTCCAATAACTCATCATCCACGAATTGAGTTCAGTGGATGGCTCGAGTGTGTGTAATTAGATGACCTGGTTCACGCCCATCTTCGGAATCCGGAATGCCGGCCACGACTAGCTCGCGCCAGCATATGTACTCGAGCAGCAAGCCATCCTTGGGTTGCCTCATTAGAAGATATATATGGCTGTGGCTGAGTATGATAATCCTTCTGGAGTACCTAAGTTCAAGATTTCCATAACTCAGTTCCAATGCCAATGCCAATGCCACACTCTATCTATGATGTGGCTTCGAAAGAAAAAGGATAAAAAGAATCCTTTGCCTGCATGTGTATTTATTTGGATAACCACGTATGTCAGTTACAAGCACCTTTGAGAATAATGGGCTTACACGAGTAATTAGTGCGGTGCGGACTACCTAACAACAGCCGTATCACATGCAAGAAACCTATATAAAACATTAGGTAGGTAATATTAACTTGAAGCGGCGCACCCCCAAGGTAAAGAGTAGCAGGTATGTATATGACTAAGGTGTTCCAATATATCAGGCTTTATAAGATTATGGGATTGATCATGTTAACTTGTTTGACTTAAGTACTTAAGTAATATTTTATTATTTGTAGCGAATTTGGACAATTTGCCCTTCTGCGGCCCACCTGCTTTCTTATGGCAGTTGTACAATACATACATGTATGTGACGTTCAATGTTAACTGTACCTACCTCCTGCCTTATACGCTAACGGAAGGAGTCATCTGCGAGGCGCTTATTATCGATAACCAGGATCCATAGGTTAGGTACTCGGCTAGGTACTCGTGTAGGTAGGTCGGTATAAATACTAACGTCACCTGGCAGTCAGGCCGAATACTACGCGCCTACTTCAGGTAGCTTTGTTGAAACTTGACTTTGCGGGGCAATTCTATTTTCAAGCTTTAGGGGGACCTTCACTTGCTGCTTCCTGCAATAAAATCATACAGTACATTTGAACATATCGGTTATTTTCCTCCCTAGACCTGCCGTCTTTGGTCTCGGAGGAGCTTAGGTTGGACAGACAATGTGCACCTCAATTTGACTTTAGCTACTCCAACCCGCAAGGTACCTTGACCTAAGCTTGAGCTCTCCAAACCGCCTTGTGCGCCGTCTAACTTGTCCAGAAGAATTTCCTGTACTGTTGCCTCATTCCTTAACCGCGCCCGATTACTTAATGTTCTTTCGGGTTGCTTCGAAGTCCGCTTAAGTTTGGCAAACAACTCAAATCGCGGGGGTTAACCTAGTTAGCAGTACAGTCGAGCAACGCCACTCAACGTCGAACATCAACCTACTTGCGCCTCTTTGCGTGCCTGTTCCCCCGCGTCAAAATGGCCAACTTGGGTCCTAGGAGATTGACAAAGGAGCTAGCTAAGGTATTATCGATTCTTATAAGAAAAAATTGTTCTCGCAATATGACGTTGCTAATAAGATTCTGGCCTTCAGATCTCAAATAGCTTGCCTCCCGGTATTGCTTTAGTCTCTGCAGATAACCTTGAAGAGTGGTTTCTTGACATCCAGGTTCTGGACCAGAATCCAATCTATGCAGGCCAGACGTACCGTCTAAAGTTCAAGTTCAGCACCTCGTATCCCATTGGTAGGCGCTCCCGCTATCCATTTCGCTGGAGACGGAGAACTAATGCGAATGCGATAGAACCCCCCGAAGTGACTTTCGTGAAGCTAGAAAACCGCCCGATACCCATGCACCCTCACATCTACTCAAATGGAATCATATGCCTCGACTTACTCGGGTCGCAAGGATGGAGCCCCGTCCAGAACGTGGAGAGCGTATGCATGAGCATCCAGAGCATGTTGACAGGAAACACCAAGAGCGAACGTCCACCCGGCGACGAAGAATTCGTACGCGGAAACCGCTTGCGACCTAGAGACATAGATTTCTATTATCACGATAACACCGTATAAAAGCATCGTGTCTATCTTCTATCTTCTATATTCCCTGGTCGGGTTACCAGTGGCGGTTTCACAACTTGGCGGTTCTCTGAGACTCGAAATACCTTGTTTCACTTGCATAACTGTTGCCTGGACTAGATTTGCGAAGCGTACTTTGTTGGACACTTAAAGGTATACGAGATTCATCCAGTCAGGCTGAATCCTCTTATGATATTAGCAGCATGAAGCTGATAGGCATTGCGTGGATAGGCGGCATGCGATCGTCCATATGAGACATCTACATAGGAGCAAAGGTCCCTTTGCAAATGGCATTTTACGACTACAATCATGATCATACGTTCCGAGTAATTGTACCTTGGCTTTGCGACACGATTATTACTTGAGCAAAATCGTGACGCCGAGGTCAATGTATAACATTTCGATAACATTCCTAGCTAGATGTCGCTTCCTCGTAGAATTCAAACAATACGGTCTTTTTCAGCCAAATTAATATCTTACGACCATGCGGCTATTCGCAGGGAAATGATAGATACGACAATAAGACGGTTCCTATCAGTGATGGCTCAAGTATGGCATTTATTTAACTTGCAGGATGCATGTACATACCTATTTTATAGAGCGGAGCTGTGACGTCGTGTCCCTCCTGCTTGTACAATCGGATCTCTATCTAGCCGTGGGGCTAACTTAAATTGGAATAAGCGATAAGCTCGTCAAACCCACCTAACCTTACCCAAGTTAACCCAAAGTTCCCCAAGCTTGAAGCTACCCCCCCAGTTCAATTTGTAATTCCTCCAGAAAGCTCCAGTTGCAATTCCAGCTTCCAGCTCACAACTCGCCAACTCTATACACCGTCTCTTTCGCTCACAAGCACCACCCCCATGAAGAGCTCATAATGGCTCCTCATGCGGGGTTCGACGCCGAACAGATCAGAGACAAGGCTCGAAAGGACCTTCTTTATCTTCTCGAAGGCGTAAGTAAGGCTGCCTTAAACCTCTGCTATCTTGTTTGGACAATCGGGAATAACACGACTACTTAGGTTCGCGGGAAGAAGAATCTCGTCATCGAGCGTAGCTTGGCTGGCCCAATCGGTGTCGTAGTCAAGGTATCAACCCTACAAGATTATGGCGTAGACAAGTTCTTCATCCTCGAAAATAAGAATGCCGACACGAGCCAACGCAATGTCGTGTTTATGGCAAGAGGGGAGTCTGCCCGCCACGCTCAATCCATAGCAGGTTCGTCGTCTCCCTCATACTCATCCTCGCTCTCATCCTCCGGCACCTCTCTCAATGTCGAAGAATCACGGGCTCTCAGTAGGCACCGTGGAGTTGTTTTCCAATTTACGATACTAGTCAATATTGCCCTAAGATGAAAATCTTATGAGCACGACCTATAGTGTCTTCGCTAGAGTCGATGCGAAAGACACCATCGTAAAATACTGACATTTAGTACAGAGCATATTAAGCGGCTACAACGCGAAAGCCAGACCGGTCACGAATTCCACATCTTCTGGGTACCCCGCCGTACCCTGGTATCTGATAAGCTCTTAGAGGAAGCCGGTGTGTTAGGCGATGTGAACATTGCGGAGCTCCCGTTATATTTCTTCCCGCTTGAGCGAGATGTCCTATCCCTAGAGCTCGACGACTCTTTTCAGGATCTTTTTCTGTTCAAAGATACAACACCAACATTTCTGATGGCGAGAGCCTTGATGGGAATTCAATCTAAACACGGACTATTTCCGCGCGTCATTGGAAAGGGCGACAATGCGAAGCGCGTGGCGGAACTACTCGCTAGAATGCGACAGGAGATACTGGCTGGGGAGGATGCGAGTGAAAATGCCCGGTCTGGGCTTACACCAAGCAACACGATAGAAAGTGTCATATTGATTGACCGCGAAGTCGATTTCGTTACGCCCTTACTCACGCAACTGACATACGAAGGGCTGATTGATGAGGTCTGGGGGATTCAGAATAATCAAGCTGATATTGATTCTACTATCGTGGGAGCTCCGCCACAACCCGCATCTCAGAGCGCGTCTACTCCGACAGCTAATGCCCCTTCGAGGAAGCGTAAAATACAACTGGACTCTTCAGATAAACTCTACGACGGACTCCGCGATGCAAACTTCGCAATTGTTGGTACACTACTCAACAAGGTTGCACGGAGGTTGCAAAGCGACTATGATAGCCGCCATGCATCTAGGACAACCGCGGAGCTTAAAGACTTTGTGAAAAAGTTACCCGGATATCAAACAGAGCACCAGAGCTTGAAAATACATACTGGGCTTGCTGAGGAGATTATGAAACATACACGAGCAGATCAATTCAGTCGCATGCTAGAGGTCCAACAGAACCTCGCTGCGGGTGCCGATCCCAGCTCCCAATTTGAGGCTATTGAAGAATTAATCGCAAGAGATGTGCCGTTGCAAGAGATATTGAGGCTCTTATGCGTATACTCATGCATATCCGGTGGTATCAAAACAAAAGACTTCGATCATTTTAGACGCTTGATATTAGAAGGCTACGGGTACCAACATTTCTTAACCTTAGTTAACTTGGAAAAGCTGCAGCTATTCTTATCTCGCGCCTCGCCTATGGCAAGCATGATCCCTATGCCCGGCTCGGGGACGACAGCCGGAACTAAGACAAACTACGCCTACTTACGCAAGCAGCTTCGTTTAATCGTTGACGAAGTGAATGAGCACGACCCTAACGATATCGCATATGTATATAGTGGCTATGCGCCCCTTTCGATCCGTCTCGTACAATGTATACTGCAGAAGCAATATCTCCTTTCCATTACACGTGGCAACGGGACGACTGGCGCAAGCACAGCTGCTAGCAGTGGTGCGCAAGGGTGGCGAGGTTTCGATGAGGCTGTGAAACATGCACGAGGCCAGACGTTTGACGAGCTACAGAAGGGCGAAGACAAAGCAGTCAAAGCTCGAGCCCTATTATCTGGAGGTGGCGACAAGAAGACGGTGTTTGTTGTATTCGTGGGAGGAATAACATTTACCGAGATCGCTGCGCTACGATTTATCGCAAAAAAGGAAGAAGGTCGGTACCGTGTTTACCCCCATGATATGTTCTTTCAGACCAACTAACAATGTTTTTAGGTAAGAGGAATATTGTAATCTGCACGACTTCAATCATTAGCGGGAATAAGATGATGGATGCTGCGGTAGAGAAGAAATCATTTGCGAAGGAGCCACCTAAGCCGGCTGCTGCTTCGTCTACGGCCTAGTAATGGAACTATTTCCCGTGTGTCAAATTCACCAAGATGATAGCAGCCGCATCCGGTGTACGATCATGTGGGAAGGATGGCTCTGATTTATGTATATATATATATATATATAATAGCTGGACAACGAGTAGGGGGATAATGAATGGTACCTATGCTTGGCAAGGTGAATGAGGTTTATTAAGATCTAGACCCAAGGGATATTAGCGGATGCGAATTGAGGACATATTTAGCATTGTACTTATTCTAACTATTATGCGCATCGCTGGTTTATAGATGCGACACGACAACCTAAGGTCAATTGTTGAAGATGAGCGAATCTGTAGGTCAACAATTAGATGACGAGTTTACGTTGATACATAGAAGACTCTAGGGGATCACGTGCAGTAGCGGCGGGGAGCACGGAGCACCTGCGCTACATAGAAGACCAAAAATTGAAGTGGGTAAGGATGGGTTTAGCGGCTAGCGCAAGATTAGGAGGAGCTTTCAGTTATATGGCATTACTTATGCAGATTTGAATGTTGTGTGTACATGTCTTAATACGCCAATGTCCATATCAATCGTACCCTCTCCTCCCCCTTCGAGATTGGGATATTAAAACCCGAAGGGAACCTTTCCGACCTCTATTAATGCAAAAATAATACCTCTCGAATCATTGTAATAGGTTCCAATTCTTCAATCTTTTCGAGACCTAAACCAACAACCGATTATAATCGAGTCGAGATCTACATTTCATAAGAGTACAGTACCGAGGCCCGCTTATTTTAACTGTGCGTGATCATTCGATACTTTAATAAACCTCCAAATCTGATGAGGCAAGTCTTGTATGTCGACTAACATGACTCTCTAGAGTCCACAAGAGTCCAGAGACCAAATTGCCGACAACGTGCGGTGGTCAGCATGACATTTAAGTGTCAATTTCCTACAACCAATCTAAAACGAGATACTTGATTATTCAATGGGAGTCTTGAGTCTTGGCCAAACTCCCCATACACGAATCCCGGACGACCTCGCTCATACCCATATATCGATGCATGTGTATGTCTCCGGCCACCACGGAATCTGAGCTCGTCAGCTATGAGCAGCACTCAGGAGGTCCTGTTGGAGGAGGGTAATTTTATAGGGTCGGGCCCTCTGATGGATTTAGAGGAATTGGACCATCATCTAGAATCAATACTTGCCTCTCCGGCTGATATCACGAGAACTCTTCCGGCAGCTCTCCTTGCGGACTCCTTCAAATCATATAATCCTGGGCTATCTGCCTCAAGAGACACCCCGAAGACAGAATCTGAAATAGTTGTTCGAATTGACGGTATGGACGTATTTCCGGACGATATGGCCTCTGCGCCTGTATCACGACAAGATCCCGCGTAAGTCTCTCATGTGATATATCCGTAATAACCACTCCCATCATAGTCTCGAAACTCTAGTATCATGTTTCTATATCCTAAACAGATAATAGGTCTCATCATAGTCAATCACCGTCAATAAATTCCAAGTCTTCAAAGGCTCACGAGAACTCTGGAACTTCATTCGGGTCATCAACTTCGACCATGTCAGATCAGTCAGAATTGACATCTCCACCATCATCGTCGCATTCAAGTAAAGCGACGACGCCGATTGACATGGATTCGTTGCAAGAACCGCTAGGGACCCACATCGACAATAAAACCACCACTAAGACAAAAAGACGCCCATTCGACGTGCGACCACGAGTATCTATCCCGACAGACATCTCTCCACAAGAGTATGCCAACCAATGCATAGCCGCAGCCGAGTCTTCTCGACTAAATCCTTATGCTCTACATCAGGATGAGTACTTGATGCTGAGAAACCATCTCAGTCATGCTCAGGTGACTACCTATCTGAACATCCGAAACGGGATCCTACGATTATGGTTGAATAACCCCCGAATCGGAGTTTCTCGTGAAGAAGCTGTTGGATGTGCCAAAGATCCAAGGTGGTTCGACGCTGCAAGCGTATGCTACGACTGGCTCGTCCGATCAGGATATATCAACTTCGGCTGCGCAGAAGTTTCCTCAGCTCGGAAGCGGCCGACGAATGCCAAAACGAGCAAAAAGGGAAAGACAGTAGTTGTCATTGGTGCCGGGATGGCTGGCCTGGGGTGTGCGAGGCAATTAGAGAGCTTATTTGGCCAATATGATAAACAATTTCAGAATTCGGGAGAGGAAGCTCCGAGGATAATTGTCCTCGAGGGTCGAAATCGCCTAGGCGGTCGTGTGTACTCACGTGCACTCGATGGTAGCAAAAGTCAACATCTGATAGGATTTCAAGGCCGGCGGCATAGTGTGGAATGTGGAGGCATGATTATCACTGGATTCGAGCGAGGTAATCCACTAAATATTCTAGTGAGAGGACAGATGGCATTGCCTTATTATGCTTTACGACCGGACACCACCCTCTACGACGCCAATGGCAAGGCTGTGGATGATGTACGGGATCGCCTTGTCGAAAAGCTCTACAACGATTGCCTTGAACGAGTAAGCGACTATAAGTTTAAGAACCCGCCGTCCAAGCTCATTGAAGGCAACAAGGACTTGATGGATGAAGGTCGAGATAGTTCAGCTGAAGGTCAAAAGACTATCGCTCAGGTCGAGGAGGCAACGGCTGCTCTCCCGCAAGCACCACCGGTCTCAGAGCAGAGCTTAGGGCCCCAAATTAGTCTTGTCCCCGTCTCTACGGACCGAGCAACTGGTAGAACCCATGTTGAGCCGGGTACCCCAGCTACCCTCAAGGCAGCCTTTAAAGCGCGTCTGATGGGTTGGGCGCTCAAGGAACATGTGACTGAGGACTATGATTTAGACCTTGAGAAAGCAGCCAAAGCTCCTGATGCCACCCTTGGCTCTGTCATGGACGAGGCAATTACGCAGTACAAGAATATCGTTGATCTTACGCCCCAAGACTTTCGACTTATGAATTGGCACATAGCCAATCTCGAGTATAGCAACGCAACCAATTATAATCAACTGAGTATCGGAGGCTGGGATATCGATGCTGGTAACGAGTGGGAAGGTAAACACACAATGGTAATTGGTGGCTACCAAGATGTCGCATGGGGTCTGGCAAATATGCCTTCGCGACTAGACGTTCGGAAGAATACCAGCGTCAGACAAATATTCTACGATCCCGATGGACTAAGAGCTGCACGTGTCGAATGTGAAGATGGCTCGACCTTTGAGGCAGACTATGTGGTTTCCACAATTCCTCTCGGAGTTCTCAAACATGGCAATGTTGAATTCAACCCTCCTCTGCCGCCTTCTAAAGCAGGCGCTATTAGTCGCTTAGGTTACGGTATCCTTAACAAAATTATTCTAGTTTACGCAGAGGCTTTTTGGGATACGAGCAGAGACATCTTCGGCTGCCTACGAACTCCAAATTCTCGCCATAGCCTCAAGCAGTCTGAGTACACTTCACAGCGTGGGCGTTGCTTCCAGTGGTTTAACACGTCAAATACAAGCGGCATCCCAGTACTTATTGGGCTGATGGCTGGAGACGCTGGCTTTGATACTGAACATTCTAACAATGATGAGCTCGTGGCTGAAGCCACCGAGGTCCTCCGGAGTGTATATGGTGCTAAAGTTCCCCAACCGATCCATTCGATCGTCACACGCTGGGGTTCTGATAAATTTGCCCGAGGGTCTTATTCCTCTGCCGGCCCTTCGATGCGTCCGGACGACTATCAAACGATGGCTAAACCAGTTGGCAACCTATTCTTCGCAGGCGAGCACACAACCGAGACTCACCCCGCCACAGTACATGGCGCATACCTATCTGGACTACGTGTAGCGTCGGAAGTAATCGATACCATGATCGGCCAAATCGAGGTCCCCACTCCGCTGATACTACGGAAAGAGTCCGCCTTCTCTTCCCAGGGGTTGAAGCGCAAGGAGCCTGGAGATGGTCCATCAGTCATCTCTCCCAAATCCAACAAACAGGCTCGTATTGACGAGTATGAAGCCGCCGCTTGGCGACATGTCGTAGCGCAAATCGGGGAGCGACCTTGGCGACCCCAGAAAGTTGCGGGAAATGCCTATCTCCTATATAGCAAGGCATTCTTCGAGACGGCACGCAAGCGGTGTGCAGAGGGCCGCCGAGCTGGTAAGGGCAAGCCGGGCCCAAACGAAGTACGAGTCATGACAAGTAAGATGTGGAAGGAGGCGACTCCTGAAGATCGAAAGCCGTTTGAAGATCAAGCGTCCGATCAAAAGCAGAAGTATAATGAAGCATTAAAGGCCTGGGAGGCGAAGGTCAAGGAGTGGGATCAGCGTTACCCCGTAGTAAGGGGCGAATATGAAAAAGACCATAAGCTCGTGTTCGAGGACGAGGGAAGCCCTACTAGTGAGAGCGGAAGGGAACGGAGACGCGCCAAGGTCAGCAACTATGCTGAGAGTGAGGGAAGTGATATCGACATGGAGAAGTAAAACTCTGGAGCTAGGGCAATACGTCCGCTTCCCTTTCGATTACATACATACGTTAGGTACCTATACATAACCAAAACTCTGGGATGATACCTCGATTTAGAGGGGGAGGAGTTGTACAAAAAGATTTACTACAAGGCACCGGTCCACCGGCTAGCGCGTATAGGGGTTAGGCACATTTACGTTGTCGTTGGCGTACGGGCTTTGCATCGGAAGTAGTCATAGGGGGCGTTGGGGCGGCGTGTGATGGTTCCTGAAGTACATAGTTGCTAAGGTCTAAGGGCTCTGCTAGAAGCCTAACACGGGGCCTCTGAAATACGTTTATTGCGATGCATTTATCATATATGTTTCTTGCTTGAGTGTGATTGTGGCTTGTGTCTTTAACGTAAATAGTGATATTAGTGACTTGAGCTAGATTGTGATACCCACACATTATCTCCTAGAAAAAGATATAGACTTGTATTTCTCAACAGAAGTAAATAAGGCTATAGATTCGTGATTTGTTAGATTATTTGACTATTTACCTTAGGGACTAGGAATCTGAGAAGTTGATAGCTCGTGATACTGCCCTTGGCTAGGAAGTCATCGGATTTACTGACAAGCAAGTGGTAACGTGAACCCTTATACATAGAAGTAAATAGTCTGAGAAAGTGCTATATCATGTGCTGCGACTAGCCGTATGCTATTATATTAACCTAGTAGCTAACAAACAGGGTGAGGTGGGTGTTGTGTTTTAGGAAACTTGCATATTAGATACCTATTCAACATACTATAGTCAGCAAAAGCTCTAGGATATAGACTGCTCCTGTAGACTATACGGCAAACATGTTGGAATAATGTCACAAACTCTGCTATATGTCCATATGTAGTTTCCTGGAGTTGGTTAGTATTTTTGCCGTGAAAGGGGTATGTATACACAGTAACGTCGCGGGAGGGTGCTTCTGAATCTGTCATGATTTGTTTGAGTATCCAAATTGATAATGGAAAACGGGCCTGTGGACCTGGGGGCTTGTGACGTGTGAGTCAAGACATGGCTCAGCTAGTTGATATAGCCTGAGGATGTAGTGGTGTTTGTTGGAGGTATAGGGGTAAACCTGCCTATCTCAAATTATATCAACTAAGCGGCTACAAACGCTAAAGCGTAGGGGGGAGGATAGATAGACGGCTTCACGCGATAAGATAGATGCCTTTTAGATTGCCGTCGCGTAGGTAGTTTGTCCAGGTGAGCTTGAAGCACGGGTGGTCGAAAATGATAGGAGGTACCTTGTCTATCTCTATATGATATGGTACTAGTAGTGATATAGTCTGCTCTCTCACCTTATTAATGGGGACGGTCGGTGTAGGTTAGGTGATTATACACTGCAGCTAACTCGCGCAGAAAGCCTCCAAGCACTGCTTCGGGGGTAAGTTGATGTTTCAGTCGGATGCAGAACCGCGTCACATAAAACAAAGAGGACAAAGAGGGCAAGCAGGGCTGAGGAACTAGTTCATTGAATTGATACATCCAAGGCGACAGCGCCGAGGTTTTGCTTAGGGTACTTTGATACAAAGGGAAGATGTGATTGGATTATTCACCACCCCATCTATTTTTCTATCACCCGCTCTACATGTCCTCCGAGGCGGTGGCACCAGTGATGATTTCAACCAGTTCGCCTGTAATGACGGCTTGACGAGTTCGGTTGAAAAGAATCTGGTACTTGCTGATCATCTCACCAGCGTTCTTGGAGGCGTTCTATGAAGAAGGTTAGAGGTGGGGGCCTGGCAGTTTGACGAGGTTAAGTTTGACGGTCTAAACTTACATCCATAGCCTGTTGTCGGGCAGAGATTTCGCAGGCGTGTCCCTCGGCAAGAGCCCAGTAGAGAGAGTTAGCTAGGGCGTATTCCCGGAGGTTAGACAGAAGCTCCTCGTCGACCTCGAAGGCGGAGAAGTTGGGGGAGTTGGCAATGGCCTCCTCCGAGAAAGCCTCGATGATTATGGGTTCGTAGCTGGTAGCGTTGATGAACTTGTTGTGCACAATCTTGATGTCGGCGTAGTCGGTAGGAAGCTGCGTAACCTGGTCGGCGATGGCCTGGGCATCGGCGAAGGTCGGGATATCCTTTCCAATACCGGCGAAGCTGAGGACGATGTCCTTGGCGTTCGTACGGCTGAGCTGGGCCCTGGACTTCTCTCCGATGAGGATTAGGTCGGCAGGCTGATCGCTGGCAGCCAGTTGTCGGCGCATAAAACGCGAGAGACCGGAGTGAACACCACCGCAGAGACCCTTGTCGGAGCTGCACACGATGTACAAGGTCTTCTTGCCCTCACCCTCGAGGGGCTTAGTCTCGGCGGATTCGAAGACTTCGTTGGAGGTCTGGCCGTACTTTCGAGAGTCGTTCATGACACGTTGGGCACGGGTCAGCTTGGTGGAGGCCACGATCTTCATGGTGTTGGTGATCTTCTCGATATTCTTGATAGACTTTAGACGACCTTCGATTTCTCGCAGGGTAGCGTAGCCAGCTGCTGCATTGTTGGCGGCACTGTACCAATTCAACTATTAGTACGTCCTTCTTTCTAAATTTCTTACTTTCTTATTCTTAGACGTGGTCGGGATGCATTTTGAGGCTAGTCCGCGAATTGCCCGCGAATTGCCTCATAATCCATCCCACTTCAAGATCCGACGTACCGAGCAGGAATAGCCGCAGCTCCAGCTCTCAGAGCCGGTCGTGCTACCCTTGAAAGCATCTTGAAGAACTGGAGGGTGAGTCGTGTCCTGAGCCCTTAGATTAAGGATTGATTGCGATGCGATGCGATGGGGAGGCGCAATCAATTGGTGACTCTGGGATTAATTATTTCGATGGAGGTTCGATTGATCTCTTTTCCTCTTTTCCTCTTTTCCACCAAAAGCTTCTTTCCTCCAGTTCCCGACCGGGCCACACTTGCGCTTTCTCCCACGTCCGGAAATTTCTCGGCCCAGACGAACCGCTTTGCCAAGCAAATTAAGCTACACGTACTTTGTATCTTTTCTATGTACACTTGGTGGTCCTTGCGCACGGTACAAGTAGTTACGATCCATACTAATTCGGAAGCGACTCATCTCATGCAGCCTGTATTATATTATCTAATCATATATTATCTAATCATTCTTCTATCCGCTCTAAGCCATTTTGGGCTCTTCTTTACCTGGTCTTGATTGACCGGGTTCACTAACATTTTTTTTTCCTTTACTTTCTACCACATACAGCCCAGCAGCCAGCAGCCAGCAGTCCAGCACGTAGCAACAGACCAGCCCGGCCGCAGCAGCAGGGCATTCTTGGATTCTTCCTACCCAGTCCCTACTCATCTCTTCTCCACTCATAAGGACAACACCTGGCCAATAGGATCCGCAGCGGACTCAACCTGTGGCTAACGGGCTAGACTTTCCAATGAAGCCTTCTTTTCCAAGTCCTCACACTCGTCGTCTCTGACTTTTCCCCTTCCAATCTCACCATTTCTCCCCCTTCTTCACTCTCGTTGCTTGTCTGTTCTCTTCATCTTATAGAATAGGGTGGTGCACTACGGTGTGGTCCACCCTTTCTACTATTCAATATCGCAAAAATTCACTTCAAACCCATCTTTCGCGCTCTCTTTATTCGCACCTTTACCTCTCGAATCCTGAATTCTTACCCGAATCCCCTGCTAAGTCAACATCTCGCACTCGCAACTTCCCGACGTTACGCGCCCACAATGTCCGACTCTGACGACGACATGCCTCTGGCTCGCACCAACGGCCATCGTAAGTTGACTTTCTTTACTTGTGACTTATCTAGGTAGTCTATCATACTAGTGTCACTTACTTGCCTTGCGCCATCCCAACATACCAAATTCATACTCCTTCATTCACTCGTCAAACTCGGACCTATCTACCTACCTTTTTAGTTTCCCTCGGCCTCGCTTTTACTAACGCGCCTTCCGATGTTTTAGTCTCGACCTCGAGTAATTCCAAGACCCAAGGTAAAGCCATGAACCACAGCGCTACCAAGCCTAAGCCTGCTCCCGTGTCCATTCGCAACGGGCCAGTCAACGATGCTTCTCCGCAAACAAACGGCAATGGAAAGCGCAAGTCGCGGGCTTCTACCAACAACGTAAGCTACAAGGACGCGTCGGAGTCTGAAGATGGGCGATTGGTATGTTCGAATGTGTTTACGCCAGAACCGTACCGCAAGGTAGAAACGTCTATACTAACCCGCAAATTAGGCGAAGCGTCAAAGAAAAGTTGTTCCCGACGACTCCGACGATGAGATTCTCAGCAAGAGAAAGACTAAGCTACCACCTGCTGCTGATGAGACTTCTATGTTAGAAGATTCGGACGATGATCAGCCGCTGAATGCCAAACTTGCTTCTAAGAGGAAGGCTATCGAGAAGAATGCTGAGAAGGAAGCAAAGGCCATCAATGCGAACGCTTCCAAATCGAAGAAGCCTACTCCAAAGAAGGCCGTTAAGGACGAGTCTGATGACGATGTGCCCTTAGCAGGTGCCAAGGGGAGAAAGCGACCATCCAACGGCGTCAATGGAAAGGGGAAGGCTAACGGTGTCAAGAAAGAAGAGTCTGATTCCGACGCACCTATTCGCAAGAAGGCAAAGACCGCCCCTAGCAAGGCTAATGGGAAGGCTGAGAAGTCAACCCCAGCTAAGAAAACTCCTGCCAAGAAAGCCAAGAAGGAGGTGAGCGAAGAGCCAGGCGAAGGCGAAGATGAGGAAGAAGAGTACCGTTGGTGGGACGCCCCCAAGAAAGAGGACGACAGCGTCAAGTGGACCACTCTTGAGCACAATGGTGTTCTCTTCCCTCCGGCCTACGAACCCCTTCCAAAAGACGTGAAGCTCATTTACGACGGTACTCCGGTAAATCTCCATATTGAAGCTGAGGAAGTTGCTGGCTTTTTCGGATCGATGCTCAACTCGACCCACAACGTTGAGAATCCTACCTTCCAAAAGAATTTCTTCAGCGACTTCAAGGAGGTGCTCGACAAGACAGGTGGAGCAACGGATCGAAAAGGCAACAAGGTCAACATCAAAGAGTTTTCCAAGCTGGACTTCAAACCCATCTTCGAATATTATCATGCCAAGAACGAGGCGAAGAAGGCCCGCCCGGCTGCCGAAAAGAAGGCGGAGAAAGCGGAGAGGGATAAGGCTGAAGCCCCGTATATGTACTGCAAATGGGATGGTCGCAAAGAAAAGGTCGGCAACTTTCGAGTCGAACCTCCCGGGCTATTCCGTGGTCGTGGCGAGCATCCCAAGACTGGTAAAGTCAAGAAACGAGTTATGCCTGAACAGATTACCATCAACATTGGCAAGAACGCACAGGTCCCGGTCCCACCTGAGGGCCACAAATGGAAGGCTGTTCAACACGACAACAAAGCCACATGGTTGGCAATGTGGCAAGAGAACATCAATGGTTCATACAAGTATGTCATGCTCGGCGCGACCAGTGCTGTCAAGGGCCAGAGCGACTTCAAGAAATTCGAAAAAGCTCGAGAGTTGAAGAAGCACATCGCAAGGATCCGCAAGGACTATACAAAGGATCTAAAGGCAGAAGCCATGGCTGACCGTCAGCGAGCCACAGCTGTCTACCTGATTGACAAGTTTGCTCTGAGAGCTGGTAACGAAAAGGACACCGAGAACGAGGCCGAGACGGTGGGTTGTTGTTCGCTCAAATACGAACATGTCACCCTCCAAGAGCCCAATACCGTCATTTTCGATTTCTTGGGTAAAGACAGTATTAGATTCTACGATGAGGTCACGGTTGACCGACAGGTGTTTAAGAACCTTCGAGTATTCAAGAAGCCACCGAAGAAGGAGGGCGATGATATCTTTGATCGCCTAACAACTGCGCAGCTGAACAAACATCTTTCCTCTTACATGGCAGGTTTGACTGCGAAGGTCTTCCGTACATATAATGCTTCTTACACCATGTCGAACCTACTCAAGGACTTGAAGGTCTCAGATGCTACCATGGCGGAGAAGATCAAATTATACAACGATTGCAATCGGGAGGTCGCTATTCTTTGTAATCACAAGCGGACTGTCGGTGCAAGCCATGAAGCACAGATGGAAAAGCTTGGTGATCGTATTAAGGGCCTTAAGTATCAGAAGTGGCGAAACAAGATGATGCTCCTGGATGTGGACCCCAAGCAGAAGAAGAAGAAGGGCGCCGATTTCTTCGAAATGGACTCGGATCTCAACGAAGCTTGGATCCTAGAGCATCAGAACTTTCTAGTCGAAGAGCAGCGAACGAAGATACAAAAGAAGTTTGAGAAAGACAACCAGAAGCGCCAGGAGGATGGCGAGAAGCCGTTCCCTGATAAGGAGCTCAAGGAGCGTCTCCAAGCTGCAGATGAACTAGCGAAGAAATTCAAGAAAGAGAACAAGACTAAGAAGGTAGAAGCCGAAGGAAGAGGTCCGACTATTGAGAAGATTGAAGGCAACATCCAGAAGATAGAAGAACGCATTAGAACCCTGGAGCTTCAAGCTGCCGACCGTGACGGTAACAAGGAGGTTGCTCTCGGCACTTCCAAGATCGTAAGTTATATTAGAGACATGCTTTCATCAAAGCGGATGCTAACTTGGTGTCTAGAACTACATCGATCCCCGTCTCACCGTTGTCTTTGCTAAGAAGTTTGACGTTCCTATTGAGAAGTTCTTCTCTAAGACTCTGCGTGAGAAGTTCAACTGGGCTATCAAGTCGATAGAGGACGACGATCACTGGGAATTTTAAAGCCATGAGCTACCCATCTATTATTATTACTCTGGCGCATCATTAGTATATTTATTGTATAGTACACATCCCGCTAATGGCGTTCGATGGTTAGAGAGACGTAGAAAAGAGATGAGAGCCGGGGATGGGTGGTCTCAGAAGCGGACCGGGGAAAGGAAGAAGGCGCAAGGGCTTGTGAGAGGAGAGATAAAAACACTTCTACAGCATGACCAGCTACGATCGACGAGCATGATCGGACGAGCCAGGTACTTTAGCATGGCGCGGTGCATTCCGGGGGGTGCGAGTGTCGGGGTCGGTTCATGGGCAATTCGATTTGTGTCGCTTCCACTAGAGAGTAATTCTAGACGGACAGAAATACGATGCATTATTAATTTCGTCATCTTGGACTGATTTTACGAAGTAGTGATTACCTTACAACCATACGTAGTGCCTAGGTATGTTAGCTAGGGTCCAGTTATCTACCTACCTAATTGTTATATACGTGCTTAGAGGCTATTTGGAACGGATCTATTGTAAAATAGCGGTAGGCCAATATGGCTGGGTAGTGGTATCTACGCAAGTAATAGCCTATCCAGCCTTCTTTACGACTAGGCAGAACATCACGGAATCAATATAGAATCAATATATGCGCTTACTCGTTACACATCAGCTAGGCATCGACGAAGCGCCCGACCATACAGGTTAATTCGATATATTGGATCTTTTACACCGCAGCAGCCCACACGTCATACAAGCCACCCGTGTCTGATTCGCCGGTATGTAGAACATGCATGAGCTAGAGCCAGCTAGAGGTCTTCCGTTCTCGTCCATCCATGTCCTATCTATGCGAATCCTATGCGGCTCAAAATTTTTTTTTTTTTTTCACAAGGCCTGTATGCTATGCTACCGCCTAACTCTTTCTAAGGGTCTAACAGCCAAGCTAACAGATATAAGCCTCTAGGCTGATGGGATAGCTATTTATGTAGGTGGGTGTATGTATATGTAATTACACGGCTAAGGGGGTAAGTATCACGGCTCCAACTCCAACTCCAACTCCAACTCCAACTAGTAAATAAGTAATCTTCCCGAGCACAAGCAAGTGCAATTTCCCTACCTAGTGGCCGTTAGCGGTAGAAAAGCTCTCGCGCACGGCAGCGCCGAAGCGTTCGATGGCGGCGTCCATGGCGGCCTCGGAGGCGGCGGCGAATGTGGTGCGGAAGAATAGGCCGCTGGGAGGCTGGTCGCGCTCGGCGCGGAACCAAGACCCGCGGATGGCGAGGACGCCCTTGTCGATGCACGAGTTGAAGATTTCCTCTTCGATTTCGAGGATGGATTTGGTGGAGGCTTGCGGGTGTTGCGTGTGGTCGACTTTGAGCCAGAGCTGTGGGGGGTGGGGTGGGTGTTAGTTAGTTAGTTAGTTCTGATCCAGGGGGGGTGTGGTGCGAATGGGAGTAGAGTAGTAAAGGAGAGAGAGAGAGAGAGAGAGAGAGAGTATAAGAAACGGGGAGTAACTCACAAACATACCCGCAGCCGGCGGAACCCAACTCACGATATCGCGAGGCAGATGCTTCTCGCACGCAGCTAGGATGGTGTCCCTTCGCCGCGTGTACTCGAGCCGCATGTGCATCAGCCATCTCAGATATCCCTCGTGCCCCCACGTCTCGTCCACGAGCTTGTACATGAGGATCTGAGCGAGCCCGCTGGGGCCCTGGCTGCAGCACTCCGCATGTCGGATGTACCTCTCGACGATCTGCTCGCTGGCGGTAATCCAGCCGACCCGCGACCCCGGGACAACCACCTTGCTAAACGAGTCTAAGCGCATCACTCGCCCGTCTACGTCCATGCTGAGTAGACTAGGGACTAGGTTGTCGAGGAATTCGTCGACGGTAGTCGGGGGCGGGACGGCGGGGGTGCTGGGCCCGGTGTACGGCTGCATCTGCAGGAAGTAATACGGCTCGTCCTCGAGGATATAGACGTCGTGTTTTTGGCACACGGCGTAGATATCCCGGCGGCGCTGTTCGCTCTGCGTTGCGCCGGTGGGGTTTTGCCCCGAGGGCACCGTGTATAACAAGGTGGGTTTCCTGGCGCCTCTGGATTCCTCGTCCCAGGACGATAGTATCTCGTCCATGCTCTCGGGTAGCAGACCTTGTCCGTCCATACGCACGCCAAATACCTGGATGCCTAATGGGGCGGTCGTCTCGAGAGCCGTGGAAAAACTGTATTCTTCCGTGAGTATCGAGTCTCCCCTCGCGCGATCGCAGAACATTCTCAACGCCTGCTCGAGAGCCCCCGTGCTGCCGATGGTCAAGGCACATCGCCAGTCCGAGTACGGCAGGCCGCGGTGGACAAGCTCCGTGTGCTCGGTGACCCAACGTAACAGCTGAGCGGAACCAATAGATTGGCCGTAGTTCATGGCGATAGACAGATCGTACACGCCGCCATTCTCGTTATTCGCAACATCATACTTGCCTATCCTGACGTCCTGGCCCGACAAGGCCGTCTCTGCTTCGGTAAAGTTCGGCGGTGTAGGCACGTGCATGCTCAGGGAGTCGATGGGGAAGTTCTCCGCCGACGGCAGTCCGCCGCCGAGGGAGATGAGCCCGGGCTTCTTGAGGTGCTTGGCCGCTAGCTTGAGCACGCAGGCTTCCCGGGCGATGGACTCTTGGCTGAGACGGTCTGATGGGAGGGGGGGGGGGGTGTTAGAGCTAAGACGTTATTGCTACCTATATAAGCGAGAGAGGATAGATAAGTTTGACTCACGATCCCATCGTTTTGCTTTGGGCTTATCGTGTGCTTGCTATATCGCAACATTCATACTAAACGTCAGTTAAACAACTCTAACAAATAAATAAAACTAGATATGGCATGGGACGGGAAGATAGCGAGTTTCTCACAGGAGATTTAAACATGTCACTATCCGAATAAGACGCCGTAGGAGCATATAGCTTGCCTGCCCTTGTCCTCCGCTCCTTGATGCCATCGATCGTCAGTCGCTCGCGGGCCTGCTGGCCAGCAGCAGGATCCTTCTTCTCCACCAGCATCTCGCCTGCGATACTTGGAGACTGACGGTGCCGGGAACTAGTAGAGAACAAGTACTTTCCAGAAGCCGGTACAAAGCGTCGAGCCGAACGAACAAGTAACAACGACGAGGAGAGGGTGCGATAGGGATTGCAGCTAAGCCTCGGCATTATGTCCAGGAGCAAGAGTTCTAGAGTACAAGATATATTAATTACAGGCTTCAAAACTAATGATTACCTAAGAGACCCGAAAAACGTAGACTCGTGGTCGAAAAGTTGTTGTCATAAATTCATAATGCGGCTTTCCTTTGTTCACCGAGTCACACGGGCCTCGGTGCGATAACGGGGGACGATAGTGGGGCTCCGGCCGATTGTAGCCGGCCTCAGGTAACCAATACCATTCCCCGGTTTATACCACCCATTGACGCTTTAGGTCATACGTACCTAAATTACTATAGTATTTCCATCTCGTAACTATCTCCAAATGCCAATGCCAATGCTAATGCTAATGCCAATGCGAATACGTACTAACCTAGCTAATTCATCTCGGGATTATAAAGATATGACCATCAATTACGTTATGATACTCACCTTCCGACCTATCTATAACTATGCTAAATAAACTATGCTTTCCTAGCTCATAATGCATACGGCGCCCTATATACGATGCCTTGTCATATCTCTTATCTATAACCATCATCCGTATCAAGTCTAGACTTTTGCTTGTTGTTTGCTCCATTATACGCCCTTTGCTTGTAAATGTCAACGCCAGTGTTTACCTATCCCGCGACCCGAGTCGATGTCTATTTTATTTCCGCAGGCGCTTCTACCGATAATATTATAAATTGCTCCTAGTAAGCCATAGATGATTAAGGAAAATATGTCCCTAAATGTCGAAAATCTAGAATAAATGGCACGTTGAGAAAGAAGGATCCTTCTTAGATAAGTTAACGGAGATTGGTTTAATCTTTACGACGACGGCCCATATCCCGGCGCTAAGGTACCGAAAAGCCCGGTGATGAGGCGGTGAATCTTCGACTACCCAGGCTGACACTGCGATTGCGCTCTTTAAAGTGCAAATCCCGAAGAGGCAGTTGTCTTTGCATACGTACGGCCTTTCCGCCTTAGTCGCCGCGATAATCTTCGAGTGTAATCCCGTTTTGTACGTACTTCCTGCAGCGACCGTCGGATTGGGGGCCGTAGGTGCGTCGGACTGGGGTTAATAGGCTCGTATCGACTAGCCAGTTGATTTGTTGATAGACGGAACCGTAACCCTGCGCGGACACGTTCCCTAGTCCCACGACTAAAGCATATGTCTACTAATTTGCAGTCTCCGATTCAGGAGAATTTGTGACGCACTCGGTCGTAAAACGTAAAATCCTCTACTCATAAGAAGTCATCCTCATGATAATACTTAATTTGCTTTTCATCGTTTATTACTCCGCTGTCTGCCTTAGCGCAGTTGTCATACCGCAGTGCTTCAAGGCCAAAACCTTCGGCTACTCGCCAAGATAGCGCAGAGAGTGAAGATAAAGATGAAGTGGTATGTAGGGCCTAAGGAGTACACATGTTAGTCTCATATCTAAGCGGCGGGGGGGACTTTGAACATACGTAAGATAGTCGAACTTGATGGCACTATCTTCCCCTCCGAAGTCATAACCCAACCCTCGGGTAAGTTATTAGAGGAGGTTGAACCCTGGTTATCTGAACCGCCTATGCCGCCGGCAGGAACATTAGCCGATCCGGTCGCGGTCGAACCGCTCGCAACCGCGGTGGTAGTAAGAGTGCCGGCGCTACCCAAATTACCATTGACCTGGCCGCCGTCCGCCTGGATGGATTGCCATGTGCCGGAAGTATCACCGTAAGTATAAGAATGACCTGTGCTGTAATCTGTCACCTTGACGCTCTTTACGCTCATGCTAAACGGCCCCTGGGAGTAGTCGGTAGGGCCGCGCGCCCAATCGATCGTGCCTTGGGGATTATTAGAGTCGCCCCCAGACCATGCGCCGAATTTAACCTGCATTGGCGTTTGAGGGTACTGGCCCTGTTCGGCTTCCGAAGCTTGGAGCGTCCGCACCGCGGTCCCATCCACGGTCCAGATGATTCGATCACTTGTCCAATCTATCACGTAGGTAACGAAACCGTCTTGGTTGTTTCCCATTTCATGAAACTGTCCGCGATTATAGGAAGCAGTTATCCCCTTTCCAAAATAGTTCGATTGTACCTCGGTCGAGTCAGCGCCCAGCCATTCCCAGTCGATCTCGTCGAGACAGTCGGATTGTAATACGAGGGAAGACACGATGCCGGCGCCGGGGGCAGCTTTCAAGCTAAGCTCGACTCGGCCGAACATGATGTAGAAGACAGAAGAAAGCTGCGGCGCGTCGCCGCTCTGTCTAACCGTAAACGTTACGCCGTCGGAGCCGTATGTGGGTTGACCGCCTGATGTAGTGAACGAGTTCACCTCTCCTTGGGTAAAGTCGACGTCTATGGCCATGCCGAGGGCGGTATCCGCGGGGCAGGCTAAGAGATGTAAGCCATTGAAGTGCCAACCTGGGAGACTAGGAAGATTGACTTACTTGAACTTAGAGGGTTGCATGATGTGTATGTCTGGGCTATACTCCGGCCTGAGAACAGCACAGAGGCTAGTATGGCGCATCTCCAAATAGAAGAAGCCATGATAGCTGGAGCATGCATCTACAAGGATACGGGGATGGTGCGTGTATTGGGGAGAAGAAACAGATGTCAGAACTCCGAGTCAACACTCAAGTTATTGGTTACACTGGTATAGAAAGTAGGTCATGGATGGTGCTATACAGTGATCCTCGGAATGATCCCTCAATGGTAACGGTGTATGTACAGTATTGTACGACGTTATGCGCAAAAAGAAGATTATCTTTTGCCAAAAGGGTAAAAGAAGGGTTCTACAGATCGCAGAAAATATGCAAGTAACTCAACTCGTATGGGTAAGAATAGCAATAGGAAGCAAAGCAAGGGAGATTTGGAGAGCGATGAGAAAAGAAGAGAGGTCCAACCACCCAATATATCCATGGCCCATATTCATGGCCCATGTAAGATCATGGCAGATGGCGGCATGGCAGCATGGGTAACACTACGCTGATACATCGTCGTCATCCCCGACTGAAAAGAAATACGACAGATGTGAACAACACCTGCCAGGAAATGGAAGACAGTGGAACAGTAGGGTCCAGACCTGGAATACGAATGTGAATTGTATGTGCATGTGAGTTGGCCAAGGGCCCAAGGTGAGATGATTCCTCCATGGCATACGATATTGACATATGGTAGGTCAACTACTGACCGCTGGCGTTGCGACGTTAAGATGCGACCAACGGTGTCCCACGCTAAAGTTTAGTAGAGCTTAGTTGACCCAAATAGCGCCAAGTAGCGCCAAGCCAAGTGGCTTTATGGCTCATAGAAGCTAGCAAGGTGGACCCATCGTACCCGGAACAGCTGTGCCGGGATAAATCCATGAGGCTGGAGGTGACTTTTTAAAGGTGGCTGGAAAATGTCGGGAAGCAAGGCGCTTAGGACAATTTAATGGAATCAATCTCCTTCCGTGTTGGCAACGCCTAACCGGCCCTAACCCGAAATCTTGGATCCTATCGGGAAGGAACATTACGTACGAACTATATGTAGTGGACCTCGAGTTTTATCGAGATCCGATAAAAAGTTGCTCTACCAACGTCACTTTATTCTCCACCAATCAAACACCTTCAAAGTTCAAACAGAGTCCAAGGTTGCACTGACCATAATCACATCCAACAATCACATCCAACAATACCATCCGAAGCGACTGACGTCAAACCTACCACCATAGTCAACTTTCCTTTTCCTTTTAGTTCTACAATTACTTCCATGTTCCAGTCATCCGTAGTCACAGTCCAAGTGGAAAAGCAATTCAATAGTTAGGTAAGTGGACTATGATGTTCAGGCGCTAAGTAATCCAGCAACTATTTAACAATTCTCGCCCGTCCGGGAACGAAAATAATATTGATATTCCGCATTCGCCTCTTCTCGTATGAGCATGAGGAACTAGAAACCGAATGTCACCCTATAATATGATAATGTTAACCGACATATATATATGTCTTCCCTTGATACTGGCTTCATAACACTGTCCTTGGACCTTGGTAAAATAACCGCAGAACTCCGAGGCTCTACAGTGTTAGCCAGTATTCTCCAAGTATTCTCTACTAGTATACAAGGAAATGAAACGAAACGGAACGGAACGAACTCTCAGGCTATTCTAGCCTGCTTTTGAGGCAGACTACATATCACCAAAACGAAACAGCCTTATTAAGATCCGGGCTTTTTTCACCTTGCCCTTCCTCCTTTTTACACCCATTGAGGTCATCGCGCCAGAAATCGCGTATCATACTACCGCATGACGACGGCAACCGTCCGGGTCCAAGATTTGATAGAGATATCTCCGATGAGTGCTGACTCGGCGCGTTATATTGTCGCATCTCGCCGCCATTCATGTGAGAAAATAGCTCGTCATGGGGGCCAAGCATGAAGAACGAGTGTCCATCCACATCACTTTCAGCGCCAGGAGGTATCAGTTTTGGGTCTCGTGCTTTTTTCCTGTGGTGACTATTTTGGTTGAAGCGCCTAGATGGTTTAGTATAAGGTCCACCTCGATGCGTCCAAAAGTTGTCTAAGATAATCTACTAACCTTGAACAATCATCAACAAATAAACTCATTAGAGCTATTAAGAGGGGAGCACGGCCGAGCAGGAAAGATACCGAGACGTTGGAATGCGGTATCGTGATGAAGATAACTGCAACGGTCGTAGCCAGGGCCAAGAAAAAGTAATTGACGACGGCCTCCCAAATAAGAGCATTGTGGACGAGTGTAGAGATCCCGAAGAGCCATAAAATGCTTACAGTGTCAGCACGACTCAATCAACGATGAGTTAGGTACCTCACAGGTATCGGTAAAAGGCCTCTTCGTGCTGGAAAGCTGGTAGGAGCATGGCAGCACCGACCATGATGCCTCCAGATAGCACTCTAGCACGGTCGAACCTAGCCTCGGCCATACGTGCCTCAGAATAATCAAACCGACCGGGGCGGCTAGCCGTATTAAAAGTCAGGGGATAGTACGAATCAAAAGCCGCCCGTATACCATATATCATATAATTTTCAATAAACAGCTGAATGAGTGGACGCAATAGGGGATCTCTACAAATGCGGAGGAGGGAGATTATTACCTGCTGAGTGTGGCTGGAGGAAACGACGCCTGTTTGTTTGTCTGTCTAGCCAGAGGCCTCTCTATTTAACGAGCAGGCGATTTTAGGAGGACACCCGTTCTCATAACAATACAATCAACTAAAAGAGGCAACCCACCCTATCCGAGTAGAATAGAGGCTATCGCGTTGCAGCCCAATGTCTATACACGTCTTTTCGCTGCCGTGCGACGAGGGGGATTGCCTTTGAGTCATTCCGGAATGGCATATAAGTAGGTCTTTTCTTGTTAGCGGTTTGCCTAACTACAGTCGAACCAACAAATATACACCGAAGGAATACTCACCGAAAATCCAATGTATCATCGTAGACATCTTATTGGGAGATATTGGAAGATATTGTCATATAGCCTCGCAGTCAGCCTAGCATCGAAGGCTGCAGCTCACGGATATGCAACTTGCTGCGCCCCCTTGGAGCCCAACTGGTACTATGCGGAGTAACACAACGCCCTGTGTTCCGTAAAATGCGCTATGATGGCCATGATGTGAGACGAAGATAGTCAGAGTGTCAGCTAACCCAGACTGCATCATCTAGACTCCAATTTCTGTAGCCATGCAAGCCGGCGAAGTTCGGCAAGGTCATTGGCCAACGCGTAAGCACCAAACTTGATCTTGGGCATCTCGGGAGAGAGTATAAGGATCCTGTGGTAGAATGGTATTTTGATCGCTGGCATCTTCAATCGGTGCGCCTATATCGTATCCTCCGATGTGTCTGAATTGAATATACCGATCTTTCTTTCGCACATTCTTCAGATGTACGCAACATGTCGTTCATTCGGACCCCCTGGAAACCAGGTCTATCACCAACAATACATATTACCGTCACGGCGAAAACCTTCGCTGTCAGAACTTGCTGAGCTAGTTCCCGCCGTGACTTGTAGTTTTCTTACGACGTGTTATATCGTTCGCGCAGAATTGGCGCGGGAGGATTTCCTTGTAAATATCGACGTGCGTTGTCAGCCCAACCCCCTTTTTTTGATACCCTCCCGCTGAAAGCAACCGTTCCGACTCTCTAGTCTTATAGCCAAAGCCTCCTCCGCGCAGTTAGACTCGACCTGCTGTTAAAAAACGTGCCACCGGGACTGGCACTCGGCTCCTGTCTGGTGTTGGGGTGTTGTCTGTCGTCGTACACGCACCGCCGGCGGGATCGGGATCCATACCAACCCGTCGTGTTCGCGGCCTGGATCGTCTGGGCCGTGTGTATCGGCTGGGGAACGGGTATCAGCGCCAACGTGGTTACACTGGGCATCGTGCCATGGGCCTCGTGCGCCGCCATGCTTAGCAGCTTCATCGGACACGTAGGAGCACGATGGGTCTCAAACAGAGAGAGGTGTCAAGGCGTCTATACTATGAGCGTGATGAACGAGAAGGGAATATCCTTCGATACGTGATTTCCGGTTGTTGTTTCTACCACGAGGTTAAGAACTACTCCTCCTCCTCCTCCTCCCGCGGCTCTTGATTACTTAGCATGGTTTCCACGCGGAGATATTCATTAAACGACGCTTTGACAGCAGTTACCGTACTGTTAGTGCGGCTGGCGCATGTCTTTTTCAATATCTGTGTTCTATCCTCTCTTTTTTTCGGTACTCGAGGTTCCGACTTCACACATTTAGCGGCAGGGTCGCCTATAGCTGCTAATGATTAGAGATACCTACGAGAAATTAATAGGAGGAGGTAATTTGATTTCATAAAGGGGGAGGTATTTAAAGGGAAGGGAAGGAAAGGAAAGGAGGCCATGTAAAGCCATACTATAGAATCTACCATCTAACGGCGTGGTGCCATTAACACTCGCTTTATAATAATATACCAGTTAAATAGAACCAATGCAGGCGGAGTCCCAAGGCGGAAGTAGTAGACATACCACGGTTGTGTGTATCATTTCTACTTGACACTATATTTATCTCTAGTAGTATCTTGGTAGACTGTTACTGACTTGTTATGTTGTCTCGTCTTCACAAATTGAACCTGACAAACAATATAATGATATAAGAAAGAGTCGAACGTAGAATATTAACGTACACTTGCGCTACAATACTAATACAATCGCTCTTTAGAATATTGATACTTACTGCTTGATCACTAGGTGCCTACCTAATTTCCCCATTTATACAACAGCATAAATACTAACGAAGTAAAATAAATGTATAGTGTTGGTCTAGTAAAAGTTGGTCTACATTAATTAAGCATTTGATATAAAATCACATGATGAGCCATAATAATAAGCATCGATTTGCTATGTATCTATCGGAAACGGTGAAGACGACGTCGGATAAAAATGAAAATGTAACATGCCCGTTTCTTCCAAAATGATCTATCACTTTGGAAACTCACACTCCAACTCGACACTTTTATATAAAGGTTCAGGTGACATTCCAAAAATGCACTTTAGACCCCCCGCATAGGTAAGCAAGCAGCTCAATCCTTCCGGCATACATATTACTGTGTCCGTCAGCGTCAGCGGCGCATCACTACTACATACACACCTAATATACCTATGCCGTCAGCTCGGCCGAAATAAATCGGGCAAACTGGAATACTTTAAAGGAATGACTGCCCGGACGCAACTAAAATTCTTTACACCGGCGTCAATTGGAGTTATATATACCAGCCTATATACAGAAATTTGCCTGTCGTAGCTTCGTTTCTCGTATTCTGCGCGATAGCAGAATTGACCTAATGCTAAAAGGTACAGTATGATTGATATTTGATATATACGTGAAGTCACGGGGACTTTGAATTCTATCAAACAGCTTCTCTTACGAAGTCTCTACTTCTTCCTTTCATTCTTTTAATATTCCATTTTCCTTTTTCTCCTCTAGGTATCACCTCACACCTTCTTCGCCTCCCACAGCGCAACCCTAACGCCATCCCCCGGTTTAATCACAACCTCGGACTTAAGCTTGGGCTTGCCCCCGTCAACCTCGTGCATAAAACTCTCGACGCGCTCGAACCGCTGGAACACGCGCGTGAGCACGTACGCTATCTCCGTCAGCGCGAATTGCTGGCCGATGCAGATGCGCGGGCCCCCGTTGAACGGGATGTAGCACCACGGCTTCGGCTGCCAGGAGAACCATCTTTCCGGGCAATACGCATCTGGGCTCGATCCGGGCGGGTACAGGTCGGGCCGGCGCTGCATCACCAGCGTCGAGTACCCGATCGCCGTGCCCTTTAGCACGGGCAGCGGTAGAGAGCCGTCGGGCCCGCCGCCGCGCGGGAGCGTCGTGTCTTTGAGCGCGGTGCGCACGTTGTACGGCACCGCGGGGTACAGGCGCAGGGTCTCGTTGATTACGTTCTGGAGGTACTTCATGCTCTTCAGGTCGGCGTACGTGGGGGTGCGGTCCAGGCCGACTTGCTCGACGATCTCCTGGCGGATCTTGCGCACGACCTCCGGGTGGCGGCCGAGCTCGTAGAAGGTGAAGGATAGCGTGGAGGCGGTGGTGTCGCGGCCGGCGAGAAGTACGGCGACGAGTTGATCGCGGAGGACTTTCCTGTCGCGGGTGAAGGAGGCAAGTTCGTGTAGGAAGGTGTAGTCCTGATCGGACTTGGTCTTGGACGCTAGTTCTTCGGGGCTGAGGCGCAGTGCGCGGTCGATGTAGATGTTGCAGAGCTCGTTGACCACCTTGAGGCCTTGACGGAAGGTCTTCTTAGGCACGAACGGATCGAGCGGGCCGGCACGCGCTCGGATATTCTGGACTCTCTGCACCTCGTTGAAGGCGTCGGCGAAGGGCTCGCGTGGTTTGCTGTTGCGTGTAAGTCATTTCTGTCCCTTGACGAGGGTAGATGGGAAAACGCAGGGCATTCTTACGTGAGGGACTGTATGTCCAGCCCTAGCAGGAAGTCGGTGGCGACATCGAGAGTATATCTATACAAGAGATCGCAGATATCGAATGGTTTACCGTTGCCGGCCTCGATATCGACTTTTTGCTCCTCGCCATCCAGAACACCGCCATTCGCTATAGCTTTGAAGAAGGTTTCAAGATGAGACTCAAAGCAGTTCAAGTCGCTGATACGCTCCCTCGAGAACTGAGGGCGGATGAGCTGTCTGCTGGCATGCCACTGGTGGCCGTCGGTAGCAAAGATGCTGTCGCCGAGGAATTCGCTCCACTCCTTGTGGAACTGCTCGCCCTTACCAAAATCCGCAAACTGGGTAGCGAGGACCGCCTTAATGTTCTCGGGGTCGGCAGTCGTGACTACGCGGTTTCCGAGAAGGACGGACTCGGCGGTGTAGTTTGGTTTATCGGCCACAAACTGGAGGAATACCTCATAGCTTGTGTGAGTGATGGAACCGACGATCTGTTTCTTGACAATATCTATGCCTGTTCTACTCATTAGGGTACTAATCCCTAGATGGCCTTTATCTTTCATTGATACTTACCGAACGGTGCATTGCTCTTGATCTGTGGACCCGGGACGCCGAGCCGTCGCAGTCGAGCTGTTTCGTCGATTTTGACGTATATAGTCCACAAGGCATAGACGACACCGAGGACTATAAAGGCGGATTTGAAGGACACATGGTCCAGCGCCGTTTCGATCAACCCCATGATAACGAGCAAAACGAAATGGACGAAGGTTTGGGATGGCTGTTGAATCTAACCTAGGTAGTCTTTGACTTCTTATGCCAATCTTTATTATATTTAAGCGAGCATAAGGAGAGTACGAGATCAGTCATCTACGGTTACTTTACATTGTGTATCACATTGGGTTTATCGAGAGGGAATATTTTTTGTTAGACAGAAAACTTCGAAGCGATACGGTCCCGCGGGGTCCGCGGGCGAGGAAACCCCAGGGGTAGAAACCAGGTCATTAGGAGAGGACAGGCTTCTAGGCGACAAACAGCGGTCGGCATGAGTAATGTGACACGGACACATTCGGTATCGCGTTCGCCGGTTTACAGCGTTCATGGGGTGTATCCTAGGTATATCTTAGGTATATCCAAGGTATATCCAATCGGGGGGGAGGAACATACGGGAGGCCGAGAAGTCGGATGATTACATATTGACAAGATCGGCCGATTTATGGTCCTCGAGAAGCGTTGAAGCTATACTCTTTATGTTTGGCGTGCCTATTACGGATCCGTATTCCGATTCACCTTACCCACTTGGACGTTGGAGATCGACGTGCTAGGTGTGCGAATACGGTAATACCGAGGCGTCTCAGAAACCGGGTGCGGGGTGACGTATTACATGGCTTGCATTTGGCACGTATTAAAAAGGCGTGACGCAGATCTCGCTCTTATCCCGTTGACAGGTAAGTTAGGTAACTGTAACCTGGCCGGGTTATCGCATCTAGTTAAGGTAACTATCGTCGTGTAACGCCTGCCTAAGAACACATCTGTATCTCGTCAGTCTAGCTCGCTAGAGAAAAGTTGCCGAGCCGGTCATCGTAGCTCGACGAAGCGATGACTCCATAATTAATCCGTACTTGAGTTAAATACGACATAGATATGTCCTCAAGTGTAAGGGAGATACAGGTACATATTCCACTTATATTGACAAATTAAGACTTTGAAAAGACTCAAAACATGCCACTTTAGGAATGGTGCAAAAGTCTCAACAAATCAGATGTAAGTAGATAATGTACCGTATCTCCCTCGCACTTGAGGACATAGCTACGGATGATGCCGATTCCGAACACAACAAATGGGGACTCAAGTTCTTCCATGTCCGTTGAAGTAAAGCACGAATAGGTACTGAGGTGCATAATGTCAATGCTGACATGAAGATACATTATTAAACTTTACAGTCTAAGGTATAGAGGCGCAGCTTCTCATTGGCGAGTCATGAATGTGCGGAAGGTAGTCTGGCACTACAGCCGAGGCTAAACTATAAATCCTACGGGTATGGAAATTGCGTCTCCTTCATTACCTATTGTCATAAAAAACATACTTAAACACAGTCAATCACAAGTACTAACCTTGTAGACTTTATGCCACATTCCAACACAGCAAGCATCAACTCGAGGATCAAGCTGTCATTATGTATTAGTCTGGATGTACACCAATCTGTCTGTCCTCCATATTTAGCCCCTTTTCAGCTAGGTATGCAAAAGTATTAAGTATGTACAAGAAAATCGCCGTTGACGCGACGAGCGCGGCCCCTATATTTCTTGAGGCGTGATGGTATAGTCCCTTATTGGAAGAGACACGTATTAGCATCCATACCCTGCGTGCAGTACACCATCTGGATTGGCTCGGCCCTAACACCACGCGCCAACATGCGCTCGCGGAACTCAGCCAGGCGCGGCGCCGCATCAAGCTGCGTTCGGTTCTCGCCCGCAGCGTCTAGGCGGCCCGACCAGAGCACTTCGCCTGCGGCACTAGAGCGCGGCCACAGGATGCTGTCAAGGTTAATCTCGTCGATAGTTTCCGCCCAGGCACCGACTTCACCGCCAATGACTAATTTAGCCTCCTCGTCGGTTAGGCCCGCCCGCGGGTCATACGAGTAGATCAGACGCCAGTTCTTGGTTGGCCCACACCAGTCGTTGAATGGGTAGTTCTCCTCGAAGGACTCGCCTTCGGCGAAATTGAGCCATTGGCCGCGGCCGCAGTCGAGATACTAGAATAACTGTTAGCAGAAGCTCAAAATCGGCTTGACTTGGAAGCTCTAAATCTACTTACCCAGAAGTTGTAGTTGCTAGTAATGACCTTGTGGCCATTAGCCGTAAGGCTCTTAATAGCTTCGTCTCCGAGCCAAGACTGGACCACAACGTCGTCTCCGATAGTAACGTTGTAGCTCGCGGGGATCTCTTCCCAGACCATAGGTACTAACCCGGCCTTGCGCACTCGCGCGTGGTGCTTGTCGATGAACTTTTGCAGGAGTGGCACGATTACCGATGAGTCGTTCGTACCGACCGTAGGGTCGAGGCTGTACTCGTTGAAGTTGACCTCGTCACCACCGGTATGGAAGTAAGCCGAGTACGGCGCAAGTCTCGGCAGGAGATCATCCATCAGCGTGTCGAGGAAGGGATCCACCTTAGGCTCGTTGAGCTTGAGTTGACCGCAAGGAGGCTCGGCGCAATAACTTGTCCACGGAGATGCGCCCCAACCTGTAACCAAGTCCGGATGCGACAGGGCCGCGATACCAAAGTGTCCGGGAGAGTCGATCTCGATAATAGCTTGTACGCCGCGCTGTATCGCGTACGTCTGGATGGCTGTCACGTCGATAGGCGAGTATGTCTTTCCGTGAGCGTATGCGCCTTTCTGGTGGAGTTCCGGGAGCGAGGGGATCTCCAGCGGCCAGGACTGTGAGTCCGTGGCGTGGATATGAAGTCGGTTCAACTTGCTCCACGATAAGGCATCGATAGTTCGGTAGATGGCGTCGAGGGGGAGGTAGTTTCTAGAAACGTCGAGAAGGATACCTCGGTGGTCATATTGAGGCGCGTCGCTAATCTTGACCGGGGCCAGTTTGGTGTAAATAGGGCCCTTGGAATGCTTAAAAAATAGCTGCGAGAAAGTCTCAAGAGCTCGAAGAACACCCGTGGAGGAGACGGCTGTGATCCTGGCCTTGCCGTTGGCGTTGAGAGTTAGGTTGTACGACTCGTCAACATCACCCGCGAGGGGCTTAAACGTCTTTGCCGTGTCTTTTCCAGTCTGAACAATCTCGAGCCAAGTTATGTAAGTCTTGTGCTGCCAGAGACTTGGTTCCGTCTGCTCGAGCGCTAGTCGCGGGTATAACTTCCACGGGACATAGTTGTTATCCAGGATATTCTTCACCATACGTGAGACTCCTCCCTTGACGATCTCCTTGCTAGAGAACTTGGGGCCACCGAACGGGATGTAATTCCTAATCCAAGGAATCTACCAAATTAGTCAGTTTATGTCAACATTTGCAGCACGGCCTAGATGTCTAAAAGAAAGACTAGCATACTTTATCTCCATTGTAAGTGACTAATAGAACGTCTCCTATCCAAAGCGTGGAGTTGCCCGTGCTGATGGACTCCGGAATCGGCCAGATAGCCTGGACCGACGTGACGGTAAGCAATAACAATGAGAGAACAGCTTTCGACCACATGGCGCCGGTGGTAGAAGGTTGTAGAACACGAAAACCAAGAAAAGACGGAGGGAGGATGGAATTAATGAATGTCTAGGAGTGGATATCGATCTTTAATTCAGATCTTATCCAATGCTTCCCCCCCAGCTAGCTAGGCGCGTCCAACGATTGCGACGATAAGCTGATTCGAGGCCGGGGTCCGTTTGCCGTTCCAACAAACAACTCCAACTCCAACTACGAGGTGTCCCTATGACAGCTGTACGAAGTGGCCTCTCAGCGTCGCGAACCGGGTTTTTGGAGCCGGCTTCCTATCCGGACTAGGGCGCAGCTACTCCTGCAATTATAGGCAATCCGCCCGAGAGGCGATGGATGGGAGGCCAGGCCGAATAGGTCGGAAAGCTGCCCCCAAGATGCCGGGATTCGTCCTTCGCTATCTCTCCCGCTAGCACGCGCCGCAACGTTACTTTGTTAGACCGTGCCGTCGGGTCGGTTCTGCGGCGACGACTGCGTGATAAGGCGATATGCACTGACAGCCGCTTGGACGGGTACTTGGTTTTGGATAGTTGAACGAAGGTTGTTGGACCTGGAGAGAAGCTAGGTGGCGGGGAAGGATATTTTATTATTTTCTTTTTTATTTCTAGACGTTTTTTATGTATCGTTCCCCTACACGGGAATGGGCAAGTAGATCTCTATGCAGTACGTGCTTAACGAGATTGATATGATTGATTGGCTCGTTAATTAATGCAGTTCCTCTTCTCTCGTCTAAAGGATCGAGAATAATTGCCCACTCGGCTAATCTTTGCTTCCCAGGGCAATGTTCTTTTCGGGACAGCTCATTAAAAATAAAAATAAAAAGATCCCAAAGCCAAAGCGACCCTGGCAATTGATCCTAGACAGTGAACGTGTAGGATTGTACCTAGGAGAATGCGGAAGGGATCTTCACCCCATGATTTACCCTATGTGGACTAAACCGATTGGACCAAGGCCCGAAAGAATGCCAGCATAAGTGTGGTATGATGGCTATATAGGCATCTTATCATGAATTATTGTTGTATTGTGAAAGTATCTGAGGGATTCTCTAATGTCTGTAAGATCCGGGTACTTGTGTGGACTTATAGTGGGTCATATGGACCCTAGTCATGTGACAATAAGGTAGCATAGCGTACCAACGCCAACGCCAACGCCAACGCCAACGCCACCAGAGAACCTGTCAGTCAGTCAGCCTATTACACCAAGCCAGTACCGGTATGAGGTCGCATCAACATCTGGGGAAAATGTCAATATATCTTAGTGTAACGGCCCAAGACTCGGCCACGCGAATTAGCCCATAGACAAGCGCCGGATATTCCACGCCCACGCCCACGGACGATTTTATTAGCTACCTACCTACCTACCTATTTAAGTTACCTAACGGCATCCGGTACATGGCATCGTCGACGTCCGTTCGCCGGTAGTTAGCGTTGACGTCGCGGCTACAAGTGCCGACGAGAGTTTGAAAGCCCCCTTGTCAAGACGGGAAGACCGTCAACAAACTAGGTACCTAAAGGCTAAACTAGCCCCGTTCGTGGGTTAATTTAACGCGTGCAGCCGCGTGGCAATGCCTGACAACCTTCTAGCTCGTGGGATCGCGCGAGAAATACAGAGTTAGCTCTGGGACCGAGCACATGTCAAACTTCGAACTTCTACTAATAACGACTAACTATAACAAGGCGATCATAATTGCTGGCTTACTTCGTACAGATGTTAGCTGAGCCCTACGAAAAGGAGACGATGGCAAGTAATATGGATCAATTGACGAATCACGAGCGACATCAGACACTAGGATTCAATAATGGAGCCAAAGAATCCCAGTTCAAGTAATTCAGACGATGGCATGCTTATCATACTGTCATGTCAGGAACAGCAGACTTCCAAGGAAGAGGCAGCTCATTTTCGCATACATAGGTATGTATTCCTTCCATCCTGCTTCCATCGTCGTGTGGAGCCGAACCAAGCAATGCAATTTTAAGCTCCCAATGCCGCGATCCTTCAGCTTAACCCCCACCTAGCAATGGGGCTCTCACCTCATCCTATGAGAGGAAACATGTAAGATCGGTATAACACAAATTGGAAAGCAAGATTAAGTTAGACTATTAAGCTCCAACAGTTGATATCATTATAGGATTGATCTGCCGTACTTTTCCGAGGGCGATAGACTTTGATGTTCTTACAATTTTTGACCTAGATTCACATGGATAGCCTTGGTTTGCATGTATCCGGCGAGACCAGCTTCACCCAGTTCTCGGCCGATACCGCTCTGCTTCACGCCTCCGAACGGGACTCTGAAATCAGAATCGTTGGAAGAGTTAATCCAGACCATGCCCGCCTCGATGCGCGCAGCGACACGATGAGCAAGCTCGAGGTTCTGGGTGAAAATAGCTGAGCCTAGCCCGTAGGTGGTGTCATTCGCCATCGTGATTGCTTCATCTTCAGCCTTGAACGGCACGATGACAACGAAAGGCCCGAACACCTCCTCTCGGTAAATCTTCATGTTATTCTTCACATTGGTGAAGACGGTAGGCGCGACGAAGTAACCCTTTCCATTGAGCGGACAGGGGATACCTCCGTCCGTCAGCGTGGCCCCTTCCGACTTACCTGATTCCACAAAGCTCAGGATCCTCTCGTACTGCGCCTTGGTGACTTGAGGACCTTGGAATGTGCCCTCCTCGAAGGGGTCGCCGACCTTGCTCGTGTTCTTGACCTCCTCCCGGAACTTGTCTACGAATTTATCGTAGATATTCTCTTGGACAAGGATACGCGAGGTCGCCGTGCAGATCTGGCCCATGTTGCTCATGATTCCGGCATGAGCCCATTTCGCTGCCTGCTCGATATCAGCGTCTTCGAAGACTAGCAGAGGAGATTTGCCACCAGTTTCGAGAGTGATGTTCTTCATGTTGACACTGGCTGTCTTCATAATCTGCTTTCCTGTTACAGTCGAGCCAGTGAATGCAACCTTGTCGATATCCAGGTGGCTTGCGAGTGCATGGCCAGCCTCTCTACCATACCCATTGGTAATATTGACAACTCCGGGAGGGAAGCCAGCCTTGGGTATGAGACTCGCTAGGTATAGGATGGATAGAGGAGTTTGTTCAGCAGGCTTCAGCACAACTGTATTTCCACAGGCAAGTGCTGGTCCCAATTTCCACGCCGCCATCGCCATTGGGTAGTTCCACTATATTTTCCAGATATCAGCACTCGACCGCACATGTTATATCACATGTCAGATCCTACTAGTAGGTGAGTGAAGGATGTCACGAGGTGTCGCACTTACAGGAATGATCTGAGCGCAGACTCCAATAGGCTGTTTCAATGTGTAGGCAAACTTCTGGCTTGTGGTGGGAATAGTTTCGCCGTGGATCTTGTCAGCATAGCCAGCGTAGTATCGAATGGTGTTGATGACCTCGGATACGTCTCCATGAGAGTCGCCGAGTGGTTTGCCATTATCCCAAGTCTCGATAGTAGCTAGGATATCCTCTTCTTGTTCGACTATATCCGCCAATTTATACATCATCCTACCGCGATCAGTCGGAGAGATATCTCGCCACGACTCATGGTTCAATGCAGCCCTCGCAGCAGCTACGGCTTTGTCAATGTCTTCGACGCTAGCTGCTTCAACGGAGCATATTTCTTGCTCATTTCTAAAGTTGAATTGATTAATATCTATCTAAGTGGTTATATTTTGGGAAGGGGGAAGGGGGAAGGGGGAAGGGGGGAGTCTAACGTCGGGTTGATGCTCGCAATCTTGGCCCCTGAGCTTGATTTAACGAATTCGTTATTGATAAAGAGACCCGTAGGGAGGGTGAACTTCTTGCCGTTTGGGGCAGTGAGATCAACCTTTAAGTCTGCCATGGTGGATAATAGCTTAGATAAGTTGTTGTTTTTATTTAGACGGCGAGATGTCAAACTAGCGCGAATAGTAGCTCTGGCAATAGATTGAAACATGGCCAGAGGGGCAGCGGTTTCCCAGCGGTTTCCCACTTCTCGTTTTATAATATCGCTCTCTCCCTATCAGGCGGGCGGACGAATGGCACCTAGGTGTTTTTGTGGCAAGAGGTTCCCCGCATCAACACAGCCCGTTATCAGTAACTACGTTTTTAACAGCATGCTACAGGTACAGATAGATGTGATACCGCAGGTAAGCGCGTTCATCGGCGGGGGTTGTAGTAAGTGTGCTACCTAGTAAGTCTAGGCACTTACCTAAGTTAGTACCTAATGCTTACGTTCTTGTCTCGGTTACGCTTATCTCCTATGGGGAAACTCTATCTCTTACTTTGATTGAAAAACATGTATAGCCCCGCTGAATGTAAAGGATTAGCTTAGGTCCAATCATATTTTAATTCACATAGGATGTACCTAATCTATAAACACCTTAAACCAAGTATCCCAAAAGATTATAAAACTAACGGTTTAAAGGATTTGTTCTAGGGGCCAACGTAAAACGTAATGTTTTAAAGTGTAGAAAACAAAGTAGTTATAAACGTTAACTCATAATCTATTGTCTAAAACCACTAAGAGATGATTCTAGTCTGTATAGAGAGCGAGGGCGGTGAACAAGACACCATATGTTGCTATACCCATAAACTACACATACCATTCCCCTTCTTCAGGACATCTAACATTAGACGATTCACCCCCGAAGCCAAGGTGCATTACTACATTTCCACTCTGCTCATTCATGGCCTCGGCAAGGTCACTTGGTAGAGATGTAGCACCCCATTTCAATTTCGACTGAGACAATTCTCGCAGCATTCCTTCCTCCCGGTCATCGAAATCATCTGTTGCTAACCTCGTAGTATCATCTTCAAGGTCTTGGGCGTTCACGGCCACTAAACTTATTAGTCCTAGTTATCATTGCTTACAAATGTATATGCTTAACTTGCCTTCGTTGTTCAAGGGTGGACTTGTTTGACTTTGAGCTTCGGTCGAAGAAGATATAAGACAATGACAAGCCGCTGACACAACCAAGGAGTCCGAGCCCCCTACCACCATCTTCCCTTTGGGCTTTCGCAGGCTGAAGAGCAGTGGTAAGGGTACGAGGACACAACAAACAATAAAGATGGACAGCATAGCAGGCGGTGAATACCCGAAAGCAACCAAAGAGTTGTCAGAAACCCGGAAATATGCTTTCGTGCTTGCTGCATAGCTTCTTCCCCAGAATCCTGTTGATCCATTATTATCATGCTCTTGGTAAAGAAGCCATTTAGAGATAAGATAAATCACCCCACAACGGCCATACCCCATAACAGCCATAGCAATTTTAAAACTATCGTCAATTAACCTATTTACATCTATTTGTTTATTTCTTCACCACTATTTTCGTATTTTAACTCAAAATTTACCAATACAACTTTAATACACTTTTACGTAAATTTCCAATTATTTTAAATAACTTTTTATTATATTAAGGTTATATTTACTAGTATATTAATCGGCTTTTTTATTAAACATAACTTTAATTTTACCTTAACTTTTTTTATATTTTTTATACGTATAAAAGCTTAATTTAAGTTTAAAATGACTTTACAACGTTTTTTAAACTTTATTTTTTTTAATGTAACTTATAATTACTCGGTTTAAAACTCGGTAGCGGTAAACTCGTTAATTTTTATATTAAAAACCTTGTTAAATTTATAAAATAAAAGCTACGTAATAAGCGTTAAAAAAATAAAATTAAATAAATTAAATTTTAATTGTATAATTTTTAACTTTTATAATAATTTAAACGTGTTAAAATCGATTTTAACCATTATAACTATAAAATTAATAAATTTAAAAATGGTAAATAATAAAATAATAATATTAAAGTTTTTATTTTGTATTAAATATAAGTTTTTTAACGGTTGCGCCGGTAATATTAACCATAATCTTAAATATTTCCAATTTATAAAAATATATTTTAATATTATTATCGATTGTTATGTTTTTACAAACAATTAAAAAAAGTTTTTTTTGTTTACATTTTATAAAAATTAACCAAATAAACGCATTTATAAATAAAATTTAAAAAAAGCGTTTAAAAACGGCGAATATATTTACATTAAAAAGTTAAAATATATAAAATACATGGGTTAAAAGGAATAAAATATAAACTTTGTGAATTAAGTATTTTTATATAAATTTATTATTTGTATAATTACCGTAACCGTTAAATATAAAAAGTTTTTATTAATTAAAATTTTCGGGTTTTATATAAAGTAAATAAACCTTTTTAAACCATTTAAAAGCAATTTCTTTATTTGTTTAACTGTTAAAAAACGTAATAAAATACTAAGATTTATACAGTTAATCTTTTATATTAAAAAACCATTATTATTATACGTTAACGCCGTTAAAAATTATTAACGGTGGTAACGTTTTATTAACGGTTATAATAACGGTTAAAATAATGATTTATTTTTGTTTTAAAAGGTTTTTAAGCAGTATATATTTGTAATAAGCTTTTTTAAATATTAAAGTATTATTTTTAACACTTTTTTATAACTTAAACTTGTTGGCGTTTATACGTAACGTAAAAAAGATGTCGGCGATTTTTAATAGGTTTAATCAATTAAATAATTTGTTTAACGACTTGGTTGTAACGTTGTTTAAACGTTTATAATTTATTATACGACTTTTTATATTATTTATTTTTAAATAATAACATAAAAAACCGGCGTGTTAGTTTTTTTCGAATGATATATATACGCCGTTATAAAAAAGTAAACGTTAAACGAATAACTTAAATTTTAAATGTAACGGCGTATAATTTAATGTATTTTATATAACGATTTAACAGGTTAAATAATTTTTTTAAGTTTTGGATAATTTTTAACGAGTTTTATTATAATCTTTTTTTGTTTAAATATTTTTAATGCGACGTCGTATATAAATGCGATTAATTTGGTAATATTACAACGTGTTTTAAATTAATTGTTTATTTTTAACGTCGTATATAACGGTAATTGCGCGGAATTAAATTAAAAGTTATATATTATAAAAAAAAAAAAAATTTAAGTAATAAAATAATGTAATTAAATTTAAAATTAAGTTGTGGGAAAGCTTTATTATAAATAAATTTAAATTAATAAATGGATTAAACGTATTTTTAAAAACCTTATAATTGTTATAAGGTATGGCCGTTATGGGGTGATTTATCTTACATACCACCTTCGATTATATACAAAAATAATGCATTAAACAAAAGCCAATGGCAGGCCACGCTCGTAGCTATGAGGGGTATGCTATACTTATAAGGTAGCTGTAACCTATAGCTTAAGACTTGCTGGCCTCTAGGATGAGAAACCCGAAGGGGTTGATATTCTAGGCTATAGGAGTTCCACTCCCGCTCAACTTGGAGGCGGGTAAAAAATGCATTGTAAGAGAAGTAGCAGATTGATAATAGAAGCTGGGGGCTATTAGCAGCAATAATCACGAGTAGATACCCAGCCTCGTCCATTCCACCACTTCTTCGGTTTGTGTCGGACTGACCGAATGGACCCTGGCTAGGCGGAATTAATATCTATGATATTCGATATTAAACTGTAAACTCCTGAAGACTTACAAGGAAAAATTGTTTGCCTCGTAAGAGAGTGCCAACCCTGCAGATAGTAGTCCCATTGAAGGCAGCAGTAATAAAATATACGTACGGATCCATACAGCCCGAGGTATAGCTGATATATAGCGCCTCTCTTGATCAAACCACTGGCGAGGTTTTGTCGTTTCTGTTAAGTAAGATACCTCATCTGATGACCAGAATCGGCGAGGTTGATTATTAAGCCGATGGCTATCAAGAATATCCAGTGACCCAAGCCCGCTCGTGTGGGCATCGGGTTTAGTTATAAAGGATGCTATGGCATCACCTGGAGTAACGATTGTGTATTCCGGTAGCTTCCAGAGAATCACGGCGCACTGGATAACTTTGGTAAATGTGCAGATAATGACAACAAGCAACAACATATTGGATAGACCGACCTTACAGACTCTTGGATAAGGTTCGGCAAGACAGTGCTTGACCGACAAGTTGTCAAACTTCTCATTAAAACCAAATGTAGCCTTTACAACTGGAGACAACTCCACCCCTTGGTGTAAAGAAATCATCCAGTCTGATGACATAGATCCATTTATGTCTTTCGTCATGTTGTTGGTTGGAAATATTTCCCTGCAATTATTATTGCAATCCTCCTCGTCGTATCTTTCTGCTCGGGTTATGTTGCACTGTGTAGAGTACCATAACGAGTTGACACGATTGGGAGGGACGTATTTGTCCCATTGCAGAGACAGGTCATAAGTTAAGTTGAAGACTTCGATCCTACTCCATCCCCTTGTATTATTGTTAATGCCTTTCTCAACAACGATAACCACGTCGCGGTGTTGGTTTCTCGGCTTGCAAGAACTATACTCAGTAAGACAGGTATTGGGATCCAAATTATCCCAGTTTCTCCCATTTGTTGCTGCCTTGCTGATATCCTGCATAGGCTCTGACATTTTATCCGAGTATTGTTCCAGGGGAACCATACCGCCGAAGCCGGTGGGCCAATTACCATGAGAAGATTCATTGGAAAGATAATACGCAGGGTGTGTTGATCCGGCAGGTGCTAGGCTAGCCCCTGGGGGGAAGAAGTCCGCGCCTTGCGTAAAAGCTTTAGTTGCAATAGTAACGTGCCAATTCGAGCCTTGGAATTGTGTTTCGAAAATAGTACTGTTGAAAAAAAGATGTATAGGAAGAGATGATAAGAGCAAGACACTCCAGCACGTTCTTTTAAAATGGGAAACAAGCCCCATGTTCTTAAAAGACGGTATTCCAATATCTAGAGAGTGTAGGAACATGTGAGCTTTGTCGATATCTTTACGTGATGGGGAGCTTATAATTTGCATGAAGTAGTTGGAGGACGCCAAGATACCGGTTGATAGTATATTGAGAAGTAGGTGAAGTATCGTGTTAAGCCCAGACGCGCGGTTGCATTCTCCTTCGAATATAATAGTAGTTCCATTTATGGAGGTTCCTGGTCTCTCGAGGCTTATGATAAGACATACCAACAACGAAATTCCGCACGTCGATATTAGAGCGATATTGATGGAGCCAGTCCGCCGCCAAGCGTCTTGCGCAATGTCTTTGGATGATACCATGTTCACTTCGATGTTTTTAAATTGCAGATAGGGACTAAATAAGAATAATCATAGGCCAAATAGCCCATGAAACTAACACTAGGGAGGTTAGAAGCGAAATAATAGATGTCATCGCCTACGAACTGAAAATCTGCCTTACTGTCTCAGCCACCGCACTAAGAATTAAAGTAATATTATCTACCCCTTAATACAGCATATCAGTTACACAAGTGGCGGCTTATGCTACGACTCGGAGTAGGAAATATAACAACGGTATCGCGACTTGGTAGCGACAAAACCAGAATATCCGCACAGTAGTATAATCTATCAAAATTTCCGATATCTTGTAGGAACATGAGACTCCCAATTGTTAGTATATTACGTTTGGATAATGAAGACATCTACTCGTTAAGGCGACAGGATCGGAACCAATACGAACTCAGGACAGCCCAAGGCCAATGTATAGAAGCCGGAGCATTTGAAAGAACAAGAACAGAGAGTACAAGCAGAACCCAGGGTTTTAACGACTTACAACCCCTCCCGGCGCCTAAATGGAGTTCAGTTCGGACGATTCGTCTTTTATTTAATGGAACCCGACTCTTCTTTGACCTTACCCAATTGACCCTTAACTTATTGCATGATAACGCTATCGTTGATATTATGGTCGATTTTTCTGTCGTAGGTTCCTTACCTATCCATGTTTCTCAAATAAGAAAGAGAACCCAAGTTGACCAAAATCAGGCTGGATTTCTCGTACTATGGGACTTATTAGAAAAGTTTTGCTTAAAGAGCGACAGTCCCTACACTACGGCATCTAAAACATCTATCTCCATAGAGGTAGCTATACCGTTTGGAATAGTTGTTTTGATGTATTTTGTTATTTCGTATCAAGACAAGTCTTCTCTAGAGTTGAATAGTTCCATCGCTATTGATATTTCTGCAACCCTTCTATGGGTCCCTGTCGTGTAAGGTCTCCATTGAAATGATTTGCCTGCCTAAGGTACTACCTATATATGCTAATATATCATTTTCTTTAGAATCTTAAGCGGAGTATTGCTTTATCATCTGGTAATAAGCTACATCCAGAGACGACATGACCGAAAGATTCGGCCAATTGTCGTATTTACCAGGACTGGGGATCCAGTTGCTATTATACCAAGAGCTCGACTATCTAACGATTTAGCATCGAGGGTTTCCATCGACTCTTTGATACAAACCTCCGAAGAGCCCGGCCTACAGGAAGTCCGCGTCCTCTAACGTCGTTCGAAAAGATGCTATATGTCATACGGACAGTAATGCCAAGAGATTGTTGGTTAAAAAAAACAACCAATAAGAGATATAAGATAATTATTTCAGGATTTATTGGATAAAGAATATTACAAGATTATGCAGTTATATATAAACGGAGTTAATATATCGATAAAGATTTAACTAAATTAATAAATATATATTTTAAATTATTTATAAATAAGTTAAGATTTTTTTTAAAAAAAAAAAGGAAAATTAAAAACTTTAAAACTTTAAAAAATTATTAATAATTTTAATTATATTTTAAGTTTTTTATAACTTTTATTATAAATAATTTTTTATTATTTTAAAAAGATTTAATATTTTAAAATAATATATATATTTTAAATTATTATTTATTTTATTTTATATTAAAATTTTAAATTAAAGTTTAATAAAATTTAAAGAAAATTTTTTATTATTTTTTTTTATTAATAAATTTTTTTTATTTTAGTTATTTTTTTTTATTATTATTATTTATTAAAGAAAAAACTAAATTAAGGTATTTTTTTATATTAAAACTTATACTTTTAAAAATTATTTCCTTTTTTATTTAATTAGAAAAAAAATTTACGAAAAAATTTAAAGATTTTATATTTTATAAACGTATAATTAAACCAATTTTTAATTAAAACTTTTTTAAAAAGTATTTTTAAAATAAATATTAAAAATGTTTTTTAATTTAACTTAATATTTCGAAATTACCTTTAATTTAAACCGATAATATAAGTTTAATATATTTTAACAATAGTTATATTTTTATTTTATATAAATTATAAAATTATAAAATAATTATATAAAACGTATCCGAAATTAACATTATTAATTTTATTATTACCAATTTATTTAATTAGTTAATTTAATTATATGGATAAATAAAAAAAATTTATAAATTTTTTTAATTTTTTATACGTTTAATAAATAAAAATTATAAAAATAGTTAAAATTAATTTAATTAATAATATTAAACTTTATAAATAATATATAATATTATAATATAAATATATTAAATTAATATAACGGTTTTAATTAAATAAATTATTTAATTTAAATAATAAATTAAATAATTTAACTTAATATTTTTTTAAAAAATTTAAAAAATAATTACATATTTTTTTAATAATAATAAAATATAACAAATAACAATTATTAAATTAAAAAATGTTACCTAAAAATAATACAAAGTTTTTTTAAACTTTTAAACTTAATAAAAATTTTAAAAAAATTTGTTAAAAAAGGTAATAATTTAAATTATTTAAAAAAAAAATTAAATTAATAACCTTTTAACTTAAAAATATATTAATTTAACATATATAAATAAACATTTTTAAAAATAATTAAAGAAATTTTAAGTTTATATAAAAGTTATATTAACCAAGTTTATTTTAAAATTAACAATTAATTAATTTATTTTTATAAACTTAATTTTATAAAATATTAAAAAAAAGGTAATATTAAAGCTTTTTTTTAATTAACTTTTTTAAAGTTATTAATTAATAATAACGAAAATATTTTTATTTAAATATTTTAGTTTAAAAATTAAAATTAAAAGCATTTTATTAATATAAATATTATAAAACATTTAAATTAAATAAATTTTGGAAAATGCCCATATTTAATTTAAAAAAGTACGTATTAAATCTTTTATTATATTAAAAAAAAATAAAAATAAAAATTAAAATTATTTTATATATTAATAAAAGTTTTAAAAAAAAATTTAAGAAATTTTAATAATAATAATAATAATTAAAAATTATAAGGTTTATTTTAAAAACCATTTTACAGATTTTTATTTTTAAGATTTAATAAATTTAAATAAAATTTAAAATTTTAACGTATAAATAATATTAAAAAACGATTATTATAAACGTTAAAAAAGTTTATTAAACTTATTTTTATAATTATTAATTTAATATATTTAAATAAGCTATTTACATATAACAGTAAAGATTTTATTAAATTCCGAATTTAATAAATAAAAGTTAAATTATATTTAAAAATTTATACGGAAAACTTTTTTAAAAATTACGTTTATATTAACTGGATAAAATTGTTATTTATAAATAAAGTTTAATTATAACATTAATAACGTTTTAATTAAATTAAACGGTTTTATTTTGTAAATTAATAAATTAATTATGTGTTAATTTTATAAAAACGATTTAAAGATTTTTTAAAAAAATATAAAAATTTAAAAAAAATATACAAGTTTAAATATATAAAAAACGTAATTTAATATATTATAAAGTTTTTAAATTTTAATAAAATTATTTAATAGTTTAAAATTATTTTTTAAAATTATATTATTAAAACTTTTTTCGATAAAATTATTAAATTAATATATTTTAAATAAAGTAAAATTTTAAATAACAACGAAAATTTTTTTATTATAATTTAAAAAACCGGTTAAATTTACAAAAATATATTAATTAATTTAAAATTTTTAACAGTAAAAAAAAAGCCTGTTTTAATAACAAAACATTTAAAATTAAATTAATAAAATTATAGTAAAAAAATTTATTTTAATTTAAGTTAAAATTAATTTTTAAAAAGTAAAAATTAATTTAAATTTACCGATAAACTAAAATCTGATTTTAAAAATAATCAATAAATTTTAAATAAAAAAGTTTTTTAAAAAATTAACTAAACAAATATTAATTAACGTAAAAAAAATAAGAAAATATATTAACGATATAAACGTAATATTTACGATATTTTTACTTATTTTATTAAAAAAAATATTAATAATAAAAAATTATTAATATTTTTAAATTGCAAAATTTTTTTAATTAAACGAAAATATAATAATAACAAATAATTAACCTTTTTACTTATAAAAAAATTAAAATAAATATAATAATAAAAAAATTAACTAACTTTATTTTATTACCGAAATTAATAATAATAATTTAAATTTTTAAAAGTTTTTTATATTATATTTTATAAAATGTTAAAATAAAAATAAAATGTTTATTTATATTGGTTTATTACGATTAAATAATTAATTAAAAAGTTTAATAAATTATAAAAAAAAAAACGGGAGGAATTTTATTTAAAAAAAAAATTTTTAATAAAAATAATATTAATATTTAATAAATAAAAATTTTTTATAAAAATATTATTTAATATAAAAGTAATTATATTTATTATGTTTATATTTAAAATTAAATTATAAAATTTTTTTAAAATAAAAAAAAATATATTAAAAATAATTATATTTTTTAATATTATTTATATAAAAAAAAA